AAATGGTGGAGCCCCGGATCGACAAATGTGCAGATTAAAGGTTTAGTTCACTCACCGGTGAAAATTTTGTGATTAATTATTCACCCTTCTGTCGTTCTAATCCCCTGAGACCTTCGTTTATATTTAGAACACAAACTTTGATATTTTGATGAATTGTGAGAGCTCTGTCTTCCTTCTCATACAGAAATTGTCCTGAGACATTCTAGTATGATTGTAACTAATTTTACGATTTGTCAGCTTAGTTGCTAACTCTTATGAATTCGTACAAGTTTAGTCATACGAAAATGTACGGTTTTAAAAAGGAGGCACCCAACCCCACCCCTAAACCAAAACTTTCTATTGGGGATGAGCAAATCGTACTGAAGTGTACGAATGAATGAATAGTATTTATGAGCAATTTCACACTTCGATAGCAGCAATAAAATATGAAAAACACCAATATAAAGATGCTAAGTAAATCAATGAACAATGGCTGAGCATTATATTACATTTAGCTGTAAAAAACAACATTGCCATCAAATCTATTTTACGATTTGTCAGTTTAGTGGCTAATTCATACAAGTTCGAGTTCAGTCGTAAAAAAAATGTAAGATTTTACAAAGTACGAAAAAGAGGCGTGGCACCCAACCCCACCCCTAAACCAAACTTAATTTGCAGATGAGCAAATCATACCGAATTGTATGAATGAACGAACAGTATTTATGCACAATATCACGCTTCAATAGCAGCAATAAAATATAACAAAAACAAAATACAGGTTTAATATTACATTTATCTGAAAAATGTGGTGGTGCAGTAGGTAGTGCTGTCGCCTCACAGCAAGAAGGTTGCTGGTTCGAGCCTTAGATGGGTCAGTTGGTGTTTCTGTGTGGAGTTTGCATGTTCTCCCCGTGTTTGCATGGGTTTTCTTCAGGTGTTCCGGTTTCCCCCACAAGTCCAAAGAAATGTGGTACAAGTGAATTGGGTAGGCTAAAATTGTCTGTAGTGTATGTGTGGATGAGAGTTTATGGGTGTTTCGCAGTGATGAGTTGCAGCTGGAAAGGCATCCGCTGCGTAAAATATATGGTGGATAAGTTGGCGGTTCATTTCGTTGTGGCGACCCTAGATTAATAAAGGGATTGAGCTGAAAAGAAAACGAATGAATGAATTTAGCTGTAAAACATAACATTTCTGTCAAATCAATTTTACAATTTGTCAGTTTATTGGCTTGTTCAGTCCGATTTTAAAAAGGAGGCCGTAGCACTTAACCCCACCCCTAAACCCAAACACCATTTGGGGATGAGCAAATTGTAATGAATTTTACTAATGAGATCATACGAATTAATACAAATTAGCCACTAAATTAAAACATTACGAATTGCCTTGAATTGAATGTTCAATGTCCAAAACATGCCATGTGACTTTAGTCGTTAAAATGTAACCATACAAAGCTGCAAAAAAACACATTTGTGGGCCAAAAAACTAAAAAAAAATAAAAAAAACGTGTAAAACTTCACCCATTTCTTCTGTATCAGATCATTTTTTATCATTGTTTTCTATAAGCAATACAACGCATTGTGTGTTGCACTGCTGACTCTAATGCCAATATGTTGTATTGCCTATAGTAAATGCACACACTGGCCTGATGCTGGAGACAAGGCAAAGGTCAACAAAGTTATATTTATAGGTTTGGTATGATTACAGTTGAACTACTAAATTAACATTTAATGATTTGACAATGTTTTGAATGTAAATGTTTTTAAATAGAGGATAAGAGAGTTCAAATATCTTAATTTGTGTTTTGAAGATGAATAAAGGTTGCAGAAAAACATGAGAGAGAGAGTAATTAACAACAGTATTTCATGTTTGGGTGAACTAACACTTTAAGGGTGGTAATAATATATAATAATATTCCTATCATACATCACCAAGAAAAATAAATCTGAATGGTTCATTTTTCCACATGCTTGCAGAAAAAGGCTTATCAAAATAAATTTGTTGTTTTTTTCTGAGTTGCGCTAGGTGCCCGATTATTGCACTTAAACATAAAAACATTCGATTTTCATGATGCGTCCCCTTTAAAGGCTGTGAAATGAGTTCAAATTCAGCATGCACTGGAGTGCTGTGAAATGGCAAGAGGTGTTTTCTCTCATATTCAAGAGCAGGTGCTTGTCTCACACATCATCGTTTCTTTACACTCACACATTTTGACTGACAGTTAAATGCCAGAAATAGACGTCTCGCTAATCACAGACTGCAAACAGTGAGTCCTTCTGGAAGATTTATCTTACACCACTATCTGAAACAGACATCAGGCACTTCATTCAGAGAAATGCTTGCTTTGCACAAAACAGCATTAGCCTTGTCTGATCTGGGAAGCTAGTGTTCTTTTGTCAGCCATTGTATTATTTAAAAACATCATAATTAAATAATTGTCTGACTCGGTGGTATGATTCAAATGGATTTGGGGTTGCATTAAAGGAAAAAGAGAATTTAAGAGGGATTTATTTGCCTAGCAGTGAGAATTATAAAGTAAACTTTAACTCCAACTTCAAAAGCTCATGTAATAATTTGATGTGAATTGCAAATAATACAAATTTATTTAGTAATGGTACATTATGGATGTGAAGTTAATGTGTTAAGATTGACCCAACCTTCAGAAACAGCACTGAAGAAGTCTTGTGCTAAATAAATTTTATGTAAGTATATACTGGTAACCCTTTACCAACAATCTTTCCTTTGGCACATTTTCTTTGTGAAGTCTCTTATGTCAGTTGGTGTATTCAACAACAGGCAGATCTAGTAAATCTCCAGTTTCTGCAGTGAGTAAACAGAAATGGTCGAAACGTGGGTTGATAAACATGTGGATTAAAGGGCTAGTTCACCCAAATATAAAAATGCTGTGATTAATTACTCACCCTTGTGTTATTCAAATCCCCTAAGAACTTTGTACATCTTTAGGGCACAAATTTCCATAATGGCAAAATGGCAATTGAAATTATTTGTAAAATAAATCAGATATTAGAAATGAGTTATCTATATATATGAACTATATATAACATGCAATAAAAATAATCTTACAATAAAAATGTCTGTATCATATTGCATGAAATGCAGCTACATTAACAGGTATATAGATTGCCTGTTATTCTTTATGCAAAGTATAATTTCACATTTGATCTATTCTTTGTCGTTGAGGTGAAATATAAGGTGGCTAAGGTTCACCCACATTTCCTTTTCACAAAAACATGAAACGAGTTTTCAAAGATCTTCTGTAAGTTGACAGCTATTTTAAGAGAATATGTGCACTCCACCCTGAAGTTATGTTTAAAATACATCTTTGCTTTGCTTTGCTTTGCTTTGCGTTGCTTTGTGTGTGAGGTGTGACTGTGACGTTTCTCTGGAGCTCTGACAGTCGATAAAGAACCACCCAACCCAGTTATGCATGCAGAACAGCATACCTAAAGGTCGCGTTATTCTTCTGCTGTTTGCTCTTTGTTGACATTTGACATTGAGACACAGTAGAGACTGAATGCACTGTCGTACTGTACAAGTATCGCACAAAATGTGCACTTTAAGCAGGTGCTTAACTAAAAACCTGTTGATTTAAAATATACAGTTGAAGTCAGAATTATTAAACCCCCTTTGAATTTTTTCTTTTTTAAATATTTCCCAAATGATGTTTAACAGAGCAAGGACATGTTCACAGCATGTCTAATACTTTATTTTCTGGAGAAAGTCTTATTTGTTTTATTTCAGCTAGAATAAGAGCAGTTAAATTTAAAAAAAAAAACATTTTAAGGTCAAAATTATTAGCCTCTTTAAGCTAATTTTTTTCCAGATACTCTACGGAACAAACCATCATTATACAATAACTTGCCTAATTACCCTAACCTGCATAGTTAACTTAATGAACCTAGTTAAGCCTCTAAATTTCTCTTTAAGCTGTATAAAAGTGTCTTGAAAAATATCTAGTAAAATAATATTTATTGCCGTCATGGCAAAGATAAAATAAATCAGTTAATAGAGATGAGTTATTAAAACTATTATGTTTAGAAATGTTTTTTAAAAAATCTGCTTTCCGCTAAACAGAAATTCAGGAAAAAAATAAACAAGCGGTCTAATAATTCAGGGGGACTGATACTTCTTATACTTTTCTGGAGTAAAACATTGGATTTTTGTTTGTTTAAATTTAATGGTGTTGTGCCCCTTCAAGTAAAGTCATGATAGAATTATGAATTAACATAATGTCAGTTCACGATGGTTAAATTAATCATAAACGAATGTGGTAATTAATACATTTATTTACAAACAAATATGTACTAACAAGTTAATAAGGTAGCCGCTATTCACACATAAACTCTTGTGACTCATGTTAAGTTAGTTTATGATTAGCTCATGCATTTACTCATACTTAGTACACGAATAATGTGTTAATATGTAAAATAAACATTATGAACTGTTTTTGTAAAGTGTTACCAAACAAGATTTGCTATAAATAATCTTAAATTTAATGCTCTAATAATCTATATCACAGTTTTTGCTTGAAATTTGGACTAAATGTTGCCAGAGCTTTTTTATTTATTTTATTCATTTACTTTATTCATTTATTATTATTTTATTTTTATGAATAATGGATACATTAATAGATATTGCTACAATCCCCTCTGTAAAAAAACAGACATTTGGTTATGATGTCAAAGTAATTAAACAAGAATTTGTATACTGACTTCATCAGATGTTTAGATTTTTGTGATTATAAATGTAGACAATCGAACACATATTAAATTAAATAATGTCTTAATAACGTTTTTGCAATGTAATTAAAAAAACTTTACATTAAAAAAGTTTTTTTAATTTAATTAATCACAAGGGAAAGTATTCACTAGTAGTTTCTTGCCTTAATAGAAAGCTAATGTTGTACTGTGCTGTGTTCATAAGCATAAGCCTTTATGTGACTCTGAAAGACCACAGTGTATCATTAGAGGTCCGTCTGAGGTATTAATTCTGCTCTTCTGCAGGAGGCTGATGTGTTTCGTGGAGAGGCGCTGGAAGGATGTTCGGGTGGGGGACTTTGTGAAAGTGCTCTCTAATGAAATCATCCCAGCAGATATCCTGCTCCTGCACACGTCCGACCCCAATGGAGTGTGTCATATGGAGACTGCAAATCTGGATGGAGAAACCAACCTCAAGCAGAGAAAGGTGGTGCCAGGCTTCTCTACTCTGGTAAGGGCAACGAGCGACAAAATATCTGTGCTAAAGATCATAAAGTTATGGTGGGCCCATTAAGATATCGATGAGATAAAATAATGCCAAGATCTTTTTTAAAAGACAAATAAGCATGCTCTCCCTGCCAATACCTATCTTGTAACACCAAAATAGTTGCTGTAATTGGGCTTTAGTTTAAAAAAAAAAAAAAAAAAAAAAATACATACAGACAGTAGCACACTCGCCTCTCATCAAGAAGGTTGCTGGTTCGAGCCCAGGCTGGGCCAGTTGGCATTTCTGGGTGGAGTTTGTATTTTCTCCCCTTGTTTGCGTGGGTTTCCTCTGGGTACTCCAGTTTCCCCCACAGTCCAAAGACATTGGGTAAGCTTAAATTGTCCATAGTGTATGTGTGTGAATGAGTGTGTATGGATGTTTCCCAGTGATAAGTTGCAGCTGGAAGGGCATCCTCTATGTAAAAACATATGCTGGATAAGTTGTTGGCTCATTCCGCTGTGGCGACCCCAGATAAATGAAGAGACTAAGCCGAAAAGAAAATGAATAAATAAATGAATGAATGAATGAATGAAGAGCATTAACATATTTTTTTATTTAATTAGTTTACAAATACAAAACAACTGTTGTACTTTGAAATATTATTGTTTAAAATAAAGTATTTAATATAATTTAGTAAATTATATTTAGTATATTTAGTTTAATAAAATATCATTTGTCATTTATTTTTATGATTGCGATTCAGAATTTTACACACATCTTTCTAAAATCATTCTAAGATGTTGTTGTTGTTGTTGTTATTGTCATTATTATACATTTTTAATCAGTGTTGAAAACAGTTAAAGGTGCAGAATGTAAGACTGTTCGAGACCCAGTGGTTGAACTAGGTATTGCACTTCAAATTCAAAACACTTTTTCACCCGGCCCCTCTTTCAACAACTTTATGCGGAGGCAGGTTGCCAGATTGATGAGTGAGCATGCCTGACTATCGATCATACAATACATACAACAGCAACAGAAAATGTTAAATTAGTTTTTGTCCAAACCATCGCTTGAAATTCATATTTTAGAAATGGTTTCTCTTTCTTGTGGCTGAACATCAGTATGAACTACAATGACTATGATCATCTTAGGTACTAACGATTATGTGCTTTTTTCAGTGTTAAATTATACCAATGTGAGTTTAAATATCATTTGATGTGGCATTTATTGACATACTGAAAGCAGCAGTACCTCAGCCCTTGACCATAAAATAAACATATTTGAAAATGATGTTAGAACTGTGAATCAGTGCAAACCAACAAATATCAGTCACTCAGCTTGTATATTAAATAATGCTGAAGAAGGTCATATGTATTAATTAGATTATAACCTTTACCATTTTGTTAAAGTGCAGTGAGTGCACTATTCTGTGCTTCTAAAAAAACTATATTTAAACATTTTTGTTGTGTTGTAGCTAGTGCCGACAGTCAAAATGCTTGTTGCTGGAATTTTGTCACATTGTATGTTGTTAGGGCATGGTGTTAAAATGTAAACTGCTCAGCTAATGCTCACATTTTTAATATTTATATGGTATTACTTTATTTTGATGGTCCATTTGAGGATTAGTAGACTGTCTGCTTAATATCTGTTGATACTGCTCCTTCAACAGACAATTAGCTTACTATAGGAAACTTTGGGTAAACTGGCAGTGGATGGGTCATACAAGCAAACAAAAAAGACTGACATTCCGACACGGACTGCACATTTTCAAAGGAGAATCTTAGCATTATTTTTCAGATAAACAAGTGTGTTCACTTAACATGTTTCTTAAATCTCTGCAAACATATTTTGGCATTTTTATTCTTTATAAGAGGAAAAAAACTTACATGCAGCACCCTTAAAGGGACAGTTCACCCTACACTTGTTTCAATCTTGAGATTTCTTTTCTTCTTGAGTTTGCTTTTATTTTCCAAAAAGCCACCCTTTGTTTTTATACTTTCATGTTTGACAGCATCTGACGTGTCATGCAGGTCTACTGACTCAGCTCACTAACTTTCTGAAGCACAACTCATTATGACTAAGCCCGGTATCATTGACAACAGTAAAGTATGTGATTGTGTAATAGATAGCTAACAACTCCCGTACACCTACATTCCTATCATCCACATCTGAGCAACACACAAAACACTGCTGCCTGTCTTTAATTTGTGCAGGCAAGACATGTTGATGTTTGTTTTTGTCTGGGCTGCTCAGGCTGTCACACGCAGTTTTCTGTCAGTCGGCAGTTCTTGTTGGACAACTCTGTTCAAATTACTGAATGATGTGGAAAAAATGAGGATAAACATGTTGGAGGAGGAAGAAACAGCAAAAATATACTGACTGTATGATCTCTTTGCATGTGTTTTAGGGTGAACCCTTTCAACCTCAGACATTTGACAGCACAGTTGTGTGTGAAAACCCCAACAACAACCTCAACCTGTTCAAAGGTTTCATGTGAGTTTCTGAAATCAATTTCACTCAATTTCATGCGCGATTAACTACATCACGACTCCATCGTGACTGCCTCTTTTGTCAGATCCACACCAATGAACAGCGTTTGTTTGGCCTTCACATGTCATTCTCCAATCAGGGAAATTGCATCAACCCTCTGATGCGTCACAATGAAAAACATGACATTTTTTTTAAAAATAAAAACAAATATATAACCATTAGCAATCTGTCCACTGCAATAGAAAATAATGATAACTGTTTCAGAGGTCACTGCATCAGCTCCTTCATCAGCCATGTTGAGTTCATATTGGTAAAAATAATAAACACAATATTCAAGTTGGTTAGGGTCAAACATGTAAGAACAATATATATATTCTTTAGTTTTTTATATAAAGTAAAAAGGCAACAATGAAAAATAACAATACTGTTAATATGCTATCAATAAAATGGTTGTCATACCAAATTCCTAGTGTTAATCAGAAGCTGAAAACACTTGCCCTGCCTGTAAGTTCATCTGATTGGTTCACTGCTTTGGAACTGACACATGACAACTGATCAGCAGTGCTCTATAAAAGAGTAAAAGTTCTTTTATCTTGACACAGTGTCTAAAAAAACTTGATGCACATAGGAGAAGCACTGCAAAAGACATAGAGTGCCCTATCATACACCCAGCTCAATAAGGCGCTAGATGTGTTTGGCAGAGATGGGGGTCATACATGTGCAAGGCACAAGCTAGTCAAATTGAATTTTTTCGTCCTTAAAATAGCAAAAGTTAATTCCGACACTCCCTTAATGCTTTTCAGCCATGCGCTTAAGACTTTGCACCTAAATCGTTAAAATAGAGCCCTTTGTCTATATTATTTTATTCCTTGTTATTCTGTGAATGAAATCACTTTAATTTAAATCTTTATTTATTTTTTAGGATTCAGTTCAGTTTAGATTAGAGTAAAAAGCACATGGCACATTGATGTTATCAATAAAAAATATTTGACAATAAAGGGCCCTATGAAATGTTTTCTTTTTTTAATTTTTCACTCTGTGCAATAAAAACAATAAAATAGTAACCTTTTACATCACAATTTAGATTTTTCTCAGTTTTCTTCTGAGCAAAAAAACCCCATTTTTGATTATACCATGAAATTCAGAGTTTATATAAAATAATATTATAGATTAAAATATAAATAATATATATAGAAAATAAATAGAAAATCTTCTTTTTCTTTAAAATCTTTTGAAACATAGAATTCTAAGTTAAAATTTTTTTTAAATGTTTTCGTTATATTATTCAATAAATCAAAATTTTACAACAGGATTCTACAATTTCAGCATTAACTTATTTACAAGGCTCTATTCACGTAGGTCATGGATGTAAATCTACCTGAAAGGTTATAAATTATCCTTATACTTGCACGGTTGCAAAGTTTCCCCACACATCCAGGCCATGAAGTAGGCTGGAAAACAGATTTGTCCCCATTTTTTTTTATCCCGTTGCAGCCATATTAACTGGGTTATCATCACGGCGAGAGATGATTCTGATGTTCCCAAGCATTATAAAGCTCTTATCCTGCGCCTCTATTGAAAGATGGGCCCGTACCTCACGTGGCATACACACACACACACACACACACACACACACACACAAACACACACACACACACACACACACACACACACACACACACACACACACACTCAGAGGTAATTAGTCTGTGTGACTGGGGAAGATGCTGTGTTTGATGTGGCAGAGAGAGGCCTGATAAGAGGAGAAGCGGCTTCGGCATCGACAGTCTTCTGCTGCGCGGCTGCACTGTCAGAAATACTGATGACGCCGCTGGAATAGTGGTGTACGCAGGTATAATTCAGCACCACATTTTTGCAATACTGTTCATACTGTACTATTGGTTCACAAGGGAGATCCTAAAATACACTACTAATGTACTTAAAGCTGCTGTAGTATAGGACTCCTAATAAGCAACATTTATATTATGAGCTAGTAAATCATGAAACCACCTTCCAAAGTGTGCTTTTGTGTTATGCTGAATTGCTACAGTGAGCTATAATAAGTGTTTATATTGGGGCTACTTTAGATGTGTTAGGCTGATCTGCAGTATTTTTGTGACATATAATATGCTGTACATAAACTAAGAGAAGAAGCTTCATCTGTAAACTGTGTTTCTGCAAGAAGTTTTTGGTTTTATTTATTAAAGTGCCCCTATTATGGATTATAAAAGGTTCACATTTTAGTTTTGGAAGTCCTCAACAAAGGGATGATATACCTGCAAGATAAAAAACAACATTTGTATACATATAATGCATATGAAAAACAACATATGCATTATATTATAATAATATGCATTCTTTTTTTACTTAATTATCCCAATGACTCCCATATGTTTTGTTCAGTGATTTTTCCAAAAGCACTCATTTGTGTGATGCTAATCTGTGCTGATTGGTCTGATGACCCAGTCTGTTGTGATTGGTCAACTGTGTCCAGCTTGAGCCGGAAATTAATTGAGCACTGCAGTTCGTACACCATCGCAATATACTTCTTTATAAGTAATCCAAGTAATATCAACAACAAACATTCAGTATTAATCGACACATTTCTGCGCAGTGGCAAAGGTTGGACTATTTTGAACTTTGACTGTGGCACAATCACAAGATTGTTAAAGGTGCCCTCTGCTCCTTGTGTGGTTTATTCGACGCAACCTGGTTCGAGATTTCCTGGGTTCTGTGCACAAAACAAGTGGGAGGGTTATGTTTTACTGAGAGGTCAGAAAGAAACAGCCAAAGATTCTTTTGGAGAGTAAGTCAAAAACTTTCAACACAGTGAACTTTCAGATTTTAAATCTAGCAGTGTTTTCATTCTTAAAGATGTGTTACACACTGCATGAAAGGTCATTAAAAAAATAAATAAAAATCATAATGGGGCACTTTAAAGCACCAAGTTACACACTGTAGCTTTAATTACCTACAGAAATGTTTGGTTTTAAAGAGTTATTTTTAATCATGGGAACATTATACTATAGTAATTTACTGTAAATTTAAGATATGGTGCTAATGAGTATCATATGCATATTTGTTTTACAGTGGATATACAGTGGATTTTTTTGTGATAGTAAATTTCTCCAGAAGAAAGCTAAAAGTTCTGCTTTTTAAAGCTGCACTGTAAAAATATCCTTAAGTTAGCAGTTCTGTATTTTGTAATATTTTTTATTTTATTTTTCCACATTTATTTATGCTTTTGAATTGCACTATGGGACTTTGATATTTCTTCCAAAAACGTTTAATCTTGAAAAGTTCAAAAAAGTTACTTTTATTAACATTTATAATAGTTTAAAGTAATATATTGCCTGGGTTCTTGTTGTATATTACCGTAAAAAACTGGTATAACCTAACAGTATATTTTCTGTTATTTTACAGACTTATTTCACTATATATTATTTCTTATAAGTTACATATTATTTCAAACGACTGAAATGTCAAAAAAGTCACTTTGTTAAACTGTAGAGTTGAATTTTTAACATCAAATGTCAACAGAGCAGAGATCAAGATCTCAAAATGCAATTAATAACCGTAAATAAATGTAAAACACTTATTACAAATACAACAACTGTTAATTAACAGATTTATTTACAGTGTGTCATGATATTTCACAGTTTGTGTTTGAGATTAGATGAACGCATCTGTATAGAATTTTTGTGTGGCTCAGGTCCATTTGGTCTTGAAGAAACAATTTTTTTATTAATCTATATTGTCTCTGATTAGCTACTTCTCATTGATAAGTGTTTTCTATAATTGAATTTGTTTAAAATCCTTTGAATTTATAACTCCTTTATAATGAGTCTATAATTAATTGGTCTCACTTTATTTTGATGGTCCATTTGTTACATAGCATCTACATGCCAAATAATTCTCATTATAAGTAGACTGTTGGGGTTGGGGTTAGGGTTGGTGTAAGTTGACATGTACTTGAAAGTTTCTTATAGTTAAATGTCGGTTGAAGGAGCAGACAGTCTACTAATACTCAAATGGACCATCAAAATAAACTGTTACCTTCAATTTTTTTCTAAATGTATGAAATCTACGTATTTATATCCAACAAAACATAATAAAACAAAAAAAATTAATTGCACTTGCAGAAATTTCAACTTTCAGATAAAAATGTGATCAGTATTTTGTTTTGCAATTGTCTGTGAATTTGTTTATCAACACAAATCTGTCAAAAAATGAATTATGAGTATTTAATGTCCTTACTGACCCCAAAACTTGAACGTTATTTTCATTAAATCACTTTCTCTTCCTTTTCTTTTTCCATATTCATATCCGTAAGCTGTTTTATACCATTATACATCTTCATTCATCATCCACCCTCATTTGTAACGATAAAGCCTAATATGCTGTGACTGTAACACCTAATAGTGCAATAACCCCATGCTATACAGCTAGACTCTTCTTGTTTTAAGTCTTTAAGATCCCATTTACACTGGCAGGGACGCAACAAACTAGAACGCTCTCCCATTATAATCAATGAAGCTGTCCATAAAGCAAGCGCACCACAGCTTAGTTGATTATAATGGAGGCATTACAGTTTGTTCCGTCGCATTGTTTTGAAGATGGCAGTTCTGGAGCTCACTATGGCTCTCTTGATAAATTATACACATGGCATGCCTTGTAAATGGGTGTTGCTATTTTACAAATGTTCTTGTTTTTATGTCATGATTTATTCATTGCAGGACATGAGACCAAATCCATGTTGAACAACAACGGGCCCAGGTACAAACGCAGCAAGATTGAGAGGAAGATGAATACGGATGTTCTCTTCTGTGTGCTTCTTCTATTTTTCATGTGTCTCATCGGAGCCCTGGGTACAGTACTGGGAACAAAACCCTCGAAAATTCCAAATACACTACAATACTTTAACACACAAGCTCTAAAACGACACTTTGATTTCTGACTTGCAAGAAGTTGTGTATCTGTTCTCCTTTGTTCTCTTGACTGTTTAGTAATAAATATAAGCCATGGTGCTAATGATTAGCGTATACAGGTTACATTTACAGAGGCTGTTTGTGATGGTAATGAGAGAAAAGACATTTATAATGTTATATGTCTCATTTCTCCTGACTATTTACTGTATATAAGCAATGGTGCCAATGATTAACACATGCATGTTGAATTTACAATGGTTGTGCATTGGTAGTTTTCTATATTATTGTTTATGGTAAAATAAAAAAACTGATATACACAACCTGAAATTAATCATGGCAAATTCTGACTTAAAGTTTTTGTTCAAATGTGGAAAAAAAAAGCTGAGAAATCTATATATATTTTCACAATGATGCCTCTTGTAAATTTTCTTATTATTTTTTTGCTTGTGTCATTTCTGGTCAAAAAAACCTGCTGGTTGTATAAAAGTAAATCTAAGTCAGAATTTGTAAGGAGTATGAATCATTTTGAGCTTGATTGTATATACCATGGTACATGTTTGAATTTGCATATTAAAAAAAACATTAAATTGGCATTAAATTGATCAAATATGAGTGTAAAGACATTTGGAATGTTATAAAAGATAGCAAATAAATTGTAAAACTTTACTTGAAGGTGGCGTTTATAAGACTGTGATAGAACATTCATAATTACAACATATGTCCCTAATATGAATGAGATTTTATGCATGCTTTTGACAACTGTAATTATGTGTAGGGCCAGATGGAATCTGCTGACATTTTTTGCTATTTCTGTGCTGAATTTAGCTAAAAATCTGCGGATTTATGCTAAATGATTTTGGGGATATCATAACTAAAACCTTAATATATGAAATAAAAAATACCTTTTTAATTTTTATTTAAGGTTTAAAATGCAAATCCAATTAGATCCACTTTATTTGGTAAAAAAGCAAGTCTCTCATTTAATATAGCTACCAAAAGACAGAAAATATTACTTTACAAACTATGTTGTAAATAAATCGTATGAATATTTTCATATAAATGAATAATATTGAAAATAAATAAAAAGTAGTAAATAAAGTAAATAAACAGAATCAATGATGGACTAAAAATCTGCGGAATTCTGCGTAAAGAGATTCCGTGTGGCCTAATGTTCCGTGTGGGACAACATGAAATTACCAAGACAACATTACTTGTCATATATCTGTCATCAACATAATTGTCATGAGGCCATTTTAATTGTCTAATGAAATTTTAACAGCGTCATTAAAACTTTTTCCTGAGCTCAACTACAGTTGGATGTGTCATTAAATTAAGTTTATTCATAAACTAATTTCGAGAGGATCACATGCTTATGATTTATCACGACCGGTCCTGTATTTGCTTATTACTATCTTCCAATCATATGAGCCCTAAGCTACTGTAAATAACCACAGTTTTCAGTTCATTTTATCTTTGTTTGTAAGAAACCCCCCCTCCTCCCCTATTCTCCTCCTTTACCTCTGATTGTGCAGCACGGCGGCCCAGTGGTTAGCACTGTGAGCCTCACAGCAAGAACACTGCTGGCCCTGGTCCCATAGGGCCGGTGGGTATTTTTGTGAGGAGTTTGTATGTTCTCCCCGTGTCCGCGTGGGTTTTCCCCGGTTTCTCCGGTTTCCTCCCACCATCCAAAGACATTCAACACGTATAACAATCAAGCATTTGTCTAACCCATCTGTTCCCTTAGCTACCGCAGTCAGGGAGTTCTGAAATCCACCGAGCTCAGGCTCCCCTCTCGCTCTGCCAACGGGAGGAAACCCCGGGCTCGAGGATCCCTTGAGCTCGGGGCTCTCTCCCGCGACAGCATGCCAAACAAGCTTTTATAAATCATCAGCTCAGTGTGAACTCTTGAAATGACATTAAATATCATTTAACGTTAATGATTGTGTAATAAAATTATTTGACATATCATTGACACTTTTAATAAGAAGTTTAATGACAAAATATTTGTCATTTCACTGAACAAATTTATCAGAAAAATGTTCATGACACAATTAGAATCATCAATCTAAACAGGGGTGCCCAAACTTTGTTTTATGTAGGGCCAAAAACCAAACTTGATTGAGGGAGGCGGGCCAAAGCTAAATACGTATACCAAACTGCATTACATTAAAGTAAACTTTCTAATTTGATTAATAATAATGATTCAAATATAAAGGAAAAAATTATTTAATTATCAATAATTATATATATTTTACAAGAAATGTGTTTTAGGGTTTCATTACCCTTTAAAATATCTGATTCACATTTAATTGAAACATTTAGAGACCTCCCAACTTGGGAAAAGTCATTTCTGGCTGGGACATAGATGATGGTTTGGAGACTGCACGACATATCTGAAGAGCGGAGGGTTTGGGGGTGGGGCATTGATTTTGCACACCTATCTAAAAAGGGCAGGTAGGGTGGTGTATGTGGTGTGGGGCGGGGGTGTGTGAGGTATCTGAAAATGTGGGAGGTGCTTGCGTGACATATCTTGAAAAGGCAGGGGTGTGACGTATCAGAAAAGTGGGGAGTGTTGTGATGGAGAGTGTTGTGCAACGTATTTGAGGACCAGGGAGGGGGACGCGTGATTTCCGGGAGATTATCAGTCAACTGCAGGCATCCAGGAGCATATGCATGTGTGGGAGACTTGGGATGTCTGCATTTAATTTCATTTTTTTTTGTAGCTCAGCAATTAAACAAACAAACAAACAAACATAAGTTTATGTAAAATTAGAACAGATTATCTCTAAGAGATTCACTCCAACCTTCCCCCTCATTTGTCTATCTTTTCTCTGATTGGTTGGCTAGTTTAGGCATTTCTCATCTAAATGATCATGTTTATGACTGATTTATGACAAGTGATGTTGTCTTGTTTATGTCAGGTTTTCATAACAAAGACATCTGTAACAATGACATCTTTACATATAAAACAGCTGAGCCAATGACATTTAATCACAGTTGTTATAAGCATGCATAATGTCTATGAAGGTGTCTTTACACTCTTATGAACGCCCCTTCAAGTAAAGTGTTATCATACAGGCAGCACATCCACTGATAATTCAAAACACCCTACACCCTAAAAGTGCATTGCTTTAAAATACAAGCTCCAAAACGACACTTTGATTTGCGAACTGCTACAAACGGCTTGTCTGTTCTCCTGAGCCGCTTCAGCATGCGGCTGATCTCACAGCAGTCTCAGAGATAAAGAATAAAGCGCTGTTACGACCTCACACAATCCTCACGCTCTCTGCTTTTCCTTCTGCAAGGCGTGAGCCAAAGAAGGACACTACCGATACCCAGAATAGCTCACTTATACGCCAGTCTCTTATGAAAGCAATGATTAATCTCGCTCTCTTTCTCCCCGGTTCGAGTTCAGTGACGCTTTATTGGAATATCTGAATTGAAATACAGTACTGTCAGAAGCGATGCCATTAATGAATGTAAATGTCTCCATCTTTTAGGCCATGCGATCTGGTTGGAAACTTTTAGCACCATGCCCTCATACATCGTCCCTGACAGTAATGGCAATTATATCTCTTCAGCGCTGGCAGGATTTTACATGTTCTTCACAATGATCATCTTACTACAGGTACACAATCTGTCACTTTCAGCATTGCTCATCATGTACTTACCTTTCTGTTTGGCTTTCAAAAGAATTTATTTTGAAAAAAAAATGTTGGAAACCTGAAAACATTACATTTTCAAAATATCTTTTTTTTTATTATCAACAGAAGAAAGAAACCCATAAAAGTTTGGAACCAGTTTAGGGTGACTAAACAGTTAGAAAATTAAAATGAGTGATCTTTTTAAAGGCATACTTCTGACATAAAAAGTCAAAATCTAATACATTCACCCCCAGGCCATCTAATATGTAGATGACTGTTTTTTTCTTCAGTAGAATTTTAAATGAAGATTTTTAGCCTTTATAGTTGCGTGTAAAATGCACATCAATATTATCAAAATAAATGGTTACACTTTATTTTAAGGGTCCAAAACAATACTTTAGTTAAGCATTAATTAATAGTCAATTTATGTTGGCTTAATATCGGTTGATACTGTTCCTTCGATAGACATTTAACTGACTATAAGAAACTTTGCAAGTACATGTCTACCTACACTAACCCTAACCCCAACCTAACAGTCTACTAATGAGAGTAGAATTAGTTGGCATGTAGATGCAATGTAACTTAAATTCAACAAACAGACCATCAGAATAAAGTGTGACCCAATGTAGATCATGTCAAAGCACCTTAGATAAAGCGGAAACTGCTGCAGGACAGTTTTCACCGTTAAAGTTGTGCAGGGCTTAAATTTGTATTTTTTGGCTTTTTTAACTGAAATTAAAGGGTCAGTCTAAATGCATTAATCGTGTCAGTGCTTTTGGAGACTCAGTTTGTTTTTTTGTAAAGTTAATGACTTCTTAAAAAATTACCACAGTTATGATATCATAAAACTAAAAAATTTCACACACCCCTACTTAACCATAATCATGGAAGTACTTTCTGTCCAGGTGATGATTCCTGTGTCATTGTATGTGTCCATTGAGCTGGTGAAGATGGGTCAGATATTCTTCATCACTCAAGATGCAGAGCTTTACGATCAGGAGCTGGACAGTCGAGTCCAATGTCGTGCTCTGAACATCACAGAAGACTTAGGACAGATCCAATATGTCTTCTCTGATAAGACAGGGACTCTTACAGAAAACAAGATGGTATTCAAGCGCTGCACCATCATGGGGACCGAATACTGTCATGAAGAGAACGGTGCGTGATCCAAACAATTTTTATATTTTATACTTTATATATTTTTAAAAGTGTTGTCCAAAATTAGTGTGTTAACGCATGTGATTCATTTTCAGTTTAAGAGTATTCCAATGTTTAACTCAGTTAACAAAGAGGAGAAGAAAATCTTATTTTCTCTTAAGAAAAGTTGCGTTTTTTGTATTCACAATGTCTTCATGACCACATCAAATTGGAGGCTTTAGAAAAAAGCGAGCTCTCTACAGTATTCTTTGAGATTAAACTGCTATATCATATTAAAATGCACCTAATTTTTGAGCATGCTGTATCAATGCTGTCAACAGTTAAGTCATTAAACAAAAAAGGCTATTAAACAACTACATATAACTGATATAAATATCTTTAAGATTGTTTGTATAAGTTGTTGTTTTTGAAAATATATAACATTTCATTTTGAGCTCTCTAAGTTATACTTCATACACTGTAAAAATATCCATAATTTTAGGATTTTTTTCGGCAGCTGGGGCCGTCAGATTACGTAGATTACGGCCATCAGATTACAGAAATTTACGATAAAATAACAGACATTAAAATACAGAAATTTACCAGAAATTTAAATTTAAGGAAAGTTCTGTAATTTAACATTTATTATTCTACTTTAAATTCCTGTAATTTAAAGGCTGTTAATTTACTTTTTTTTCGACATCCCAATTAAGGATTGTTTTAAAGTGTAGGCTTAGTGGTTAAATATTACAAAAAATCTATTTTCTGAGAGATCATTAGAAGTAAAAGTATTAGTAAATCATTTAAAATATGCATTATTTGAAGACCAAATGTGAAATTATTACAATATAAAACCATACTGTATTTGATTAATTCATTTGTTTTCAGCAATGTGAAAGAACATTTTTTCTAAGTTTGTATGGATTTTTGAGCCATGTTTGGTGTCAAAATGGATTTTAGTCAGCTACTTTATCCATTACTTTTAATGGTTATAATTAATAAATTAACAAGCTTTATTTTTGACATTGCACAGCTGCTCGCTTGGCGGTCATCAATGGTGGAGGAAATGAAGAGGAGGAGGTCACCATCTACCAGAAGACAAAGCTTCCTCCACTCTTCCCTCTGGAAGAATTACAGGACGACCACACGGGGCACAAAAATCACGCCAACACTCAAGTCGCAGCTGCCAGTCGACGCAGATCAAAAGTGGCAGCGGGAGCCCAAAGTGACATGGCCTTCAGCAGTCCTCTGGTGAGATCCTAGATCAGAAGACTATTATATCTGCGTTTCAGGGTGAAGATTGGCAATTCTAGATGATTTGTTTTGAAAGAAACGTCTCTTTCGTGCTTTATTAAAATTGGCAGTTTTTTTTGACACAACGGCAATTTAGTAGATAAACAAGAGGCTTGTTTTATTTGCCAGTTTCTTTGGCCATGTGCACACTGTAATGTGTTTTCTCCATATCTGTATACAACAGACTCTGTTCTGAAACTGTGATGATTGACAGTGTGCTGGCAATAGCAACATTCTGGAATCTCACGTACTTTGGTCAATAGCAGATAACAGAGTAATATTAAAGTGACCATTCACTGTTACATTCAGCATTTCAACTAAACAACTGTCGAAAGAGCATCGTGTTTGATTTATGTTTGGCAGGCTGTTTCACAAAATATGCTATAGAAGTGTTACCATGGGCACTTATTATAAGCAGTTTTAGATATGTTGTTTGTCTTAGCTTTTAAAGAAATTATGTTCATAGTGTTTTTAAAGTGTGGAGGTGTGTGTTGGGATACTTTTGTTCTTATTTTTTATTTACATATTTTACTGGGTATCTGCAGGGGCTTAAATTCACTGAAATATTGTCTTGTAGGACTTAAAAACTTTTAAACGGGTCTTAATTTTCCCTTGTTTATGTAAAGCAACCCAATCGATTTAACAAACATCCAATCCCCGTTAATAAAACACAATAGCTATATTTATGACTAATATTATAACAGTCTGTTGTCCATACATTTAGTTTTTAAAGAGTTTTTTTTAAAGTTATGTTGCAAAATATTTATGTAAAGAACTAGGCTCTGCTTGTTTTGACGCATTATTTAAAATATGTGGCTTAGAAATAGCTAATTGGGTTTTTTTATGATGGAGCAAGTACTTTTTTTTTTTTTTTGCTGAGCCATAACAAAATCCTTAGCATTTAGCCCTAAATAAGTCTAAAATTTCATTCGTCATGGTCTAAAAAGTCTTAAAATATCTTAAATTTGACTTGATGAAACCTGCAGAAACCCTCTTTTAGATGTATGTTGGTTTATTATGAGAATTCTTATTATGCATTCACACAGGGCTCCAACGTCAACGTTTGACCGAGGATGTGTCTGAAGTTAAGGCTGACGTGATTGTCATAGCAGCGTCAGCCACTGAAATTAGTCCGCAATTGGCTACTGTCTGAGCTGGTGTATTTGCATGAAGCGATCTAATTGACTGACACTTCTGTTGGCGATTGAAAAGTTGAGAATTTCCCAACTTCTGCAGTGAGCAACACCACTTAAGTAGCACTGACGGATCCACAATGCAATTTGGCAACAACTGGGAAGTGTTGACACTGACGCCCCGTGTGAATGGAGCATTAATGTTTGATGTTTTTCTAACAAAATCTGGCAACACATACAAGAGAAAAATTAAAACTTAAAAAAATATATAATAATAATAAATCTTTGCACACTGAAGTCTGAAATTTTTGGGTGCATTTTTTTCGTATTCAAATGCGAAAAATTCATCACTTATACAAACCTTGCACACTGAGGCCGATGCGCATTAATCAATCCAATTAAGAACTAGGCTGCATATTGTGTTTATCCAATAAATTGGAAGGAGAGTTTAACTCATTATTAAAGAGCTCTGCTGGATTATCCGGAAGTTTATTTCAGGAAATCAGTTGTATTTTGATACCACATTTACATATGTAAACAAATCCTGAAGATAGACTGGCAGTACCTACAGACATTATAGTAGATGGCGGCCGCATTGACATATCGAAGGCGTACCATTATTTCTATTGTAATGTCTATGGGCTGTACGTCAGATGTAAGGACACACACACCATGCAGCAGCAGGGTAGAGGTTTGCCAGTCACTGAATCCAGCATGTAAGGGTTCTCTAGCTGTTCACCACATTCTGTCTTTATTTTATGATAAAGTTATCTGTAGCTCAAATGACGGCATTCTGTAGCCTAATTAGATTTTTGCTTGTACGGTGACTCAACTGTCAAAACACCTCTCAAAGTGCTTTTTCGAATGCGAAAAGTGGAAAAAAATCAAACCCGGTTAGATTTTTTTTATGCTGGATGAAAATTTTGGAGGCAGTGTGTCAGTGCGATTCACACAACCTGAGGTCAAATTTATTTTTTAACGTGTGAAAATTATGGACGAAAATTTAGGATTTATTGTGCAATAACCTTAAAATTGATATGAAGTCAATAGAGCCGGATGCTAATTCATAATTCTTGACAACAAAAGGATACATTTCAAAACTCATTTTTCTAATTTCTAATTTAAAAAAATCTGAATTGTGAGTTTAAATTACAATACAATTTTAAATAATTATGTGAGATTGCAAAAAAAAAGTAAAACTGGTGAAATATAAATTGACAACTCTAAAGAAACTCTGAACTGTGAGCTATCAACTGGCAACTGTGATAAAAATGCAGTTACCTTATTTAAATGGAGTTACCTTCTTAACATTTTTATTCATTGTTGAAAACAGAACTCTGATGCGTCTCATTTTATTAAACTATTTTTTCCTTTGGATGCTAACACACTGCATATAATCTGGAAAATGCAGAAATAGGCTAGCAAATGCGCTTATCATGCCTGTAAGTGACCAAACTCTGTTGTGCATACAGAACAGGATTAATCACTAAAACATGAAGCGACAACTGAATTTTACTGCAGTCTGTACTCAATCAATTAAAAAAGTCATTTATTAGAAATGACACCATGTTTTTCCTCGTGGATTTAAACGATGAAGCTGAAGTAAATAATCCCCGACATCTTATCGTTGACCCATCTTCTTTCCTCTATTCTCCTGCATGCTCACGGTCTGCCCTGCAGATGGCCGAGCAGTTTGGTGTCAGTTATGAGCACAGCAATGCTGGCTCTGATCCGCTATGTTTCGATCGGTTGACATATGGGGCCGCTGGGGTGCATTAAACATGGGCTACTGATACTGTACAGATTGTCTCGTGTCCCGCTGCCTCTTCATGTGACGATGTGCCTTTTGTTGTCATACGATACGTGTAATTTTCCACCTATGGAAAGATACCACATGGTCTTGTTGTGCATGATGTAATCAGGCACGCGCCTAACCGCTTTTATTTCCTCAAACAGGAAACAGTGGTGGTTCCAGACAGGAAGCTAATGCTGGAAGTGGACCATCAGATGGCGAGCATTCAGACCGGGCCCTACCTGGACTTTTTTCTGGCGTTGGCCATCTGCAACACAGTGGTGGTTTCCACATTGACCGCCCAGAGACAGAGGGTGAGCTGTTTGGAGCTGAAAGGGTTGAGATGTACATTTAAAATCCAGACAAATCAGAATTGTGAGATGCAGACTCAGAATTCAGAGAAAAAAAGGGTAGATGTATAGTAAGTGCAGAATACTGCAGGAAAAAAATATGAATTGCCAGATGTTTACCCTCTGGCTTTTCTAAAAGATATATTAATGGCTAATGCTTGATGACTCAATATGTAAACAGCATGTATGAATGTATCAGTCTCTGAAATAAGGCCAGAAAAAAAGTGAATATATTTACTGCATTAAGCCATTCTCTACATTCTCTATTGATAATGGCCAGGGCTTTCAATACAAAATTATTTTTAATCATCCGGCCCACAGATTCACATTAAATTCTTATTTTTTTTATAATTTTATTATAAAATTATTATTTTATTAAGTTAGTTCACGATTTTTTTTAAATATGAAGTCAGAATTCTTAGAAAAGAGTTTGGAGCATATTTTTAGAATTCTGAAATTTTTTTTAGATTTGTGAATAAAATTCAGAATAGCAAGATGTTAATTCATCTTGTTCTGAAAGAAAATGCAACATATATTCTGAATTCAAATGTCATAATTGCAGAATATGATCTCCAAAATCTGGAGATAAATTCAAAATAATGCAAATCAGAATTTTATTTTTTTTTCTAAATATGAACTGAAGATTTTTTTTAGAGATAAATCAGTCAGAAGTCTAGAATATTTGCACACTGATGGCCCAAAGTCAGAATGTAAGCACGCTTGACACTACTGACCTTGCTGGAGCTGAAAGGGTTTGGCGACATGCTTAGCTCTCTGACTCACAGCAAAAAAAAAACTGCCCTCATGTCAAAACAATAACTATAATAGCCCACCATGTAAATTATGCCTCTTGCACAGTGAGTACCTGTGGCCGCAGTCCCGTTGCCCCGAGATATTTTATTACTGCCCCTGCATGACTAATTCAACTTTGGCTAGTGCTTCGCAGCCCGGTGGTTTGTTTTATAATTACTACATTTTAATTCTCGAGCAAGCGCCAATGGCTTACTTGGTCCAGGCAATTAGATTTTTCATCAGTCAGGCGGACTGCGTCCCCCCACACGTCTGTAATGAGTTGAGTCTGAGAGAGAAGTTTAGTGTAGCTGAGTATCCTTCACTGCTGGTCAGTGCTAATTTCCCAAATTGCACTTGAGGACCCCGAGCAAAGCACTTTGTCCAGGGTAGAAATTATATTTGGCCTCAGACCTGTAGCACTGAGACATTCAAAGACATTGGGTCAACATTAATTAAGTTGATTACCAATGGAGCATGATTGTATCACCCTGGGTCCATCACAACTTAAGAGGCAGTCACAATGAATGCGGATCCGCAGCACCTGAAGAACTAGATTATTAGCGGATTAGAGTGCCGGCCGACAGCATGGACTCAGTTTTAATATTTGCAATATTTCAGTTTTAGAATCATTAACTGAACACACAGTTTTACAGAAAATTAGATTTATCTTCTCAGCAATGTTTTTTTAGCGATGGATTCCTCATTGCTTTCTAAAATGCATTCCATCAAGCGGGGAAGCCACGGGAGGCTGGAGGGACAACATTTTACATCATGATGTTTTTTGCTTTTCAAATAGGATGAGACTCTCCCTCCACTAATGGGCTATTAACAAATATTAGACATATATAATATATTATTTTTCCTATGTCATTATAAGGTGTTTGTCAATTACATCAGATTAAACAAATAAGGCTTTAAGTTATAACTGTATAACTTATTTAGTTAAATTTTTTTCTGCTTAATTACACACACGCACACAACACACACACACACACACACACACACAAACACACGCACACACTCATATATAGTTTATGAGGACTCAACATTGGTGTAATCTATTTTAAACTGTAAAGTTTAAAATACCCCTAAACCCAAGCCTCACAGGAAAATGTGGCAAATTTTAAATGTCAAAAGACCATGTTGAGTATGATTTTTAAGCATTTCCTTGTAAAAGATCTTCATATAGTACAACTAGGTCAAACTAATGTTATACTATTTAGTGTCCTCATAGGTCACATAAACAAGTACACATACATATACCATACTGTACTGTACCATACCATCACACTTTCTATCACTCACACTGAAACTGGCCTAACACCAGATGGCACAGATCATGCCTTCAAAAAAAGTTGATTAAAAAGGAATGGATGCATCAGATGGATGAAATTATTGGCTACCATTGATGATGACAGACAACGTTTTAGGCAAGGTGAAACAAACGCCGACAAAACATGTTTTTTTTTTTTCTTAATCAGCCAATACTCTAAAACTAGAGCTAAAATAAGGAGCTTGTATACTGTTGAATGCACTTTGTTAATGGTCATGAAATTTCAAATACAATGTTGTACATTGTATGCTATTTCATATGCACCATTTTCTATGTGTTTTCCTGATTCTGTAAAATCTATTTTAGACTACATACTGTTTACGTTTGCTTGAAGTCAGCTTTATTTAAGTTATGATCCATGTGTTTTTTTCCCCTGATTGAGCAACATCTATTTTAGACTGTTCAGTTGCAAAAGTGATAATGAAATAGACTTTCATCATATTCCATAGGGTCAAAGTGTTGTGAATATGTATAAATTTTTATGACCTTTCAAAATGTATTTAATTAAAACATTTGCCAATAATATACTGTTTAAATAAAATCAATATTACAACAATTGAGAGCAGAAATGCAGTAATATAGCTATACTAATGCATCATAAAGCAGTAACAACACTGTAATAAAGCAGTATTAATGTTGTAATAAAGCAAAATAAAAATCAGTAATAGCACTAATAAAGCAGTACTACTGCTGCAATAAAGCAGTAATAAAGCAGTATTGACACTAATAAAGCAGTACTAATGCTGTAATAGAGCAGTAATAAAGCTGTAAAAATTCTGTAATAAAGCTATACTAATGCATATTAAAGCAGTTATAACACCAATAAAACGGTAATAAGCTGTAACAGAGCAGTAAAGCTGTAATGCATGTAGTAACAAAGCAATACTAATAAATAATAAAGCAGTAATAAAGTGTAAAGCAGTAATAACACTGTTTTAAGCAGTAATAACACAGCAATAAATGGAGTACTAATGCTGTAATGCAGTAATAAAGCAATACTAATGTGTAATAAAGCAGCAATAACACTAATAAAGTGGTAAAAACCCTGTAATAAAGCAGTAATAACACTGTAATAAAACAGTAGCAACTCTGTAATAGAGCAGTAATAAAGTTGTAATAATGCAGTAATAAAGCAGCAATAAAGCTGTAATAACTCTGTAATAAAGCAGTAATAACTGTAATAGAGCAGTAATAAAGCTGTAATAAATGCAGTAATAAAGCAATACTAAAGCGTAATAAAGCAGCAATAAAGCAGTAATAACACTGTAATAGAGTAGTAATAACATTGCAATAAAGCAGTAATAACACTGTAAGAGAGCAGTAGTAAAGCAGTAATAACACTGTAAAAAAACGTATAAATGCTATAATAAAACAGTAATAATCCACTAATAAGCAATACAAATGCAGTAAACAATCTAATGTGAAATAAACCAGTAACAATGTAGTAATAATGCACCAATAAAGCAATACTAATGTAGTAATAAAACAATACTAATGTGAAATTAAGTAATGACACAGTGATAAAGCTGTAATAAAGGAGGAACAAAGCTGTAATAGTGCAATAATAAAGTAAGACTAATGCATAATAAAACTTTAAATAAAGCAGTAATAACACTATAATAGAGAAGTATTAAAGCTGTAATAAAGCAGTAATGCACTAAAAAGTAATACTTATGCAGTAATAAAACAATACTAATGCAAAAAAGTGTAATAATGCAGTAATATTGCTGTAGTAATAAAGCATCATCTTTTTGCAGTAATATGCTGGTATGCTAATTTGAGGGTGACAAGTAAAAACAGACTTTTAAAAATTGATCATCTATCTCAAAAGATTGTGGGCACAAATCTTAACAGTACTGAACGTCTATAAGGTGAAAGTCATAAAGAGACCCATGTTCATTTTTGCAGATGAGAACCATCCACTTTATTCAAAGTTTTGCCTCTTGCCATCAGGCAGAAGGTATACTTGTTTTTAGCAGGGTCCAACATTTGCATTCATTTGTTCCAACTGCAGTTGGATTACTTTTTTTACTTTTTTTTTTCGTGGTCATGGTTAGTTTTATTGTTTACTGTTACTTCTATGTTGTTCGATTGTGACCCATTGCTGCTAACTGTCGGCTATTGCTGTAAACCTAATTGCCCTTTGGGCACAACAAAGACATTCAAATTCCAAGAAAACAATACTAATGTGAAATAAAGCTGTAACAAAGCAGTAATAATCCAATAATAAAGCAGCTCTATACCATTAAACAATACTAATGCAAAATAAAGCAGTAATGATGCACTAATAAAGCTGTATTAATGAAGAAACAAAGCTGTATTAGAGTATCAATAAAGCTGTAATTATGCAGTAATTAAGCATTACTAATGCAGTAATAAGGCAGATATAAAACAATATTAATGCAATAATAAAGCTGTAATAAAGCAGTAATAATGAAGTAATAAAACTGTAGTGTCAGTAACACAACTGTAATAGAGCAATAATAACGCTGTAATAATGCAGTAATAAAGCTAGTATAAAGTAGTAATAATATAGTAATGAAGCAATGATACTGCAGTAATAAAGCTATAATAGTGTAGTAACATACGTAAGAGCAGTAACAAAGCTGTAATAAAGCATTATTACTGCAGTAATAATGCTGTAATTAAGCAGTAATAAATCAGTAATAAAGTTGTAAATAAGCAGTAATAAAGTAATACTAATGCAGTTATAGGGCTGTAATAAAGCAGTAATACTGCACTAAGTATTATATACATCATCTTTAAAACAAGTAAATGTTTTCTTTTCCAGGTCAAAGGCCGTCGTAACTCCTCATACTCAGGAAGTTCGAGTCACAACATGGGACAGTGGTTCAAAATAAGCTCTCTGCAAAAGTTTTTCTCCTCTATGAGGTTTAAGAGAAACAGAGAGACAATGGCAGATCCCTTTGCTATAGATGAAGACGAGCCAGACACATTTCACATCTCCAGTGTCTCAGACTCCAGGCCGGGCCAGAAGGTCATTTCAAGTGAAGGCAAGGATAAACGCAGTCTGTCGAGGTCAGAAGAGGTGTGTTATGAGGCCCACAGTCCAGATGAGGCCGCTCTGATACACGCAGCAAAGGCTTATGGGTTCACCATGGTCGAACGCACTCCTCGTTATGTGACTGTCAAGCTGCCCAATGAAACGTTGCTGAAGTTTGAGGTGCTGGACGTCTTGACCTTCGACTCGACGCGGCGGAGGATGTCCATTATAGTACGTCATCCGCACACCAATGAAATCATCATGTACACTAAAGGGGCTGATTCAGCTGTTATGGAGAAACTGGGGAATGTTTTCTCAGGTGAGCATGAAATATTCAGTCAGATCAAATACATTAAGGCAACATACATGATTTAATAGTTTGAGGTCTCTACATTCTGAGAAATAAAGGCACACAACCTGTCAGTGGAGCAGTTTTCAAAAGTTACACTTTTGCACCTAACAGGTCCACATTGGTAGCTTAATGGTACACTTTTTATATCTTAAAGGGATACAAACGCTCTCTTATTCAAAACATATTTGAGTTTCTTCGGTTATATTTTGGAGAAATCTGGTTGCTGAGATCTACTGACTTTCATAGAAGGGAAAAAAATTGAATGAAGTCAATGGGTCCCAGCAACCAAAATATTTCAAAATATTTTAACAGAAGAAAATGACGAGATATTTTTCATTTTTGGGTGAACTATCCCTTTTATGATTACTTACAAAATACTACTACTAAAATGTACACATTTTGAGTGTAATGATGCCTTTATTGATCATGAATACCGTAAACCTGTCATGTTGTGAAATAATATTACAAAAAACACAGGTTTGTTTTATCCGAATATATTTTAAAGTGTATTTTTCCTGTTTTCAAAGCAGAATTTTCAGCATCATTACTTCAGTTTTCTGTGTCACATTATTCTTCAGAAAATCATTTTAATATGATTATTTGCTGCTTAATATTTTGTCAAAAACCATGATAGTGTTTTTTTACTACATCACACATTTATTTTATATTGGCACATTGCATTCATTTTACCACACTTTTTAAAGAATACAAATACCTGCACAATAACTCCCCTACAATATTTAAAGTGAAGTTTTTTTTTAATAATATTCAATTTTGTAAATTTTAAATGTAAATAGCTAAATTATAAAAACTATTTGTAAATAATTGTACATTTACTTGGCTAATATACTCAACATGGCAGATCTGAAAGTGATGCAGTGTGTTGCTATATACATTTCTGGAGAGCACCAAATACATTCCAGGAGCTAATTTTTTTTTGCAGTTTTTTTGCGAATCCATCAGAGGCTGCTGTGTGTGCTTTTTGAGATGTTAAATTTCTTTGGCGAGTGCCATTCCTGCCAGAGGCTGCTGTCGACTGACGACTGACTGAAGGTCTGACTGAATGACCGATCAGCTGACCCATCCCTCCCCTTCCGTAAACCCAACCAATAGTGTTTTCAAAAGCACTGATTGACCCACCCACTCACTTCCGTAAATCCAACCAAAAGTTGTAAAAAGCAATCCAAAAAAAAAACAGGTCCTCGCCTAATTTTTACCATGTTTTTTAGATTTTACCACATTCTCACCCTGTTATTTACTTGTTTATTTTATTTTTTTGGCTTCTGTTTTTGTCTTACCTGCTTTCTGGAACCGTTCTTTACCGGACTCAAACCTCGTCGTTGTGGTCAACTCCTCAATGCGTCTCAAGTCTGCCGATATACATGAAGAGCTAACTGTACAAACGGGTTTAAGCAGGAAAGCCGTCAAGGTCAGCTGGTCAGCTGAAAAGCAAGAAAAGGAACGGCTTCATACTGCACCATAGCTTTTGTTTTAAAACAAAATGCAGCCATACATAGCGCTGGCTACATAATTTTTGATCTCCAGAAATGTATATTGGGCTATGTTTTCAGAACGAGCCTATGTTGCGAGTGTCATTTGTTTTCCACAAATATGTCACCAGTTGAAAGTGCAGCGAAGCGAATTGCTGTGAGAACTCAAAAAGACCTTGACATGTACGCCAGGGATGGATTACGAACACTGTGCTTTGCCAAAAAGGTAAAGTTTTGGTTGGAAAATTATACATTAAAACCAACTATATTTGAAAACTGCTTAATAGTCTTGCTGGATTATTCTCTAAAGGTTATCAGTGAACAGGAGTTCAAGGCCTGGTTTACTAGCAGACAAGAGGCTTTGTCAGCCATCGATGAGAAAGAAGAACGCCTCATGGAGACCGCAAATGACATTGAGAACAACCTCACTCTATTGGGTATAATCTCTGCTCCCTTCATTGATATTACAATGCACTTATCCTTTACACTTTGAGTTAATATTTAATCTAGATATTTTTGCAAGCAACTTGTTCAGGTTAATTTATTTGTTCAGTACAAAATTAAAAAATAAATTCTATCTTAAGCCTAACTTTAAAAAAAAATTTAGTTAAGTGTTTTCAGGTAATAGGTTTCCGCAAATGTTTTAATTATTCTGAGTATGTCTGAACGATTACCTCCCTAAAAATGCACACATGCAGAAAAAAATTATCGTAACTTAATATTAAACACTAACAGATCTCTTCATATATTAATATTTTATAAAACACACAAATTATGAATGTCATAATCACTAAAATACACTGTAAAAATGTCTGTAAATTAGCAGTTTTCCATATTTTTCATTCATGTTTTTATTTTTCATTTTTCAGATCTTTCTTTCTAAAACTTTTGACCTTGAAAAGTTCTAAAAAGTGACTTTTATTAATATTTGTAATAGTTTAAAGTGATATATTGCCTGGGTTGGTGTTACATATTTAGGCCTGTGACAATAATCAATACATCGACTTATCACACAACACATGGACAATCATTTTTGGTGATGCAATATATATCGCCCAAACCAATACTAGCAACATTTCCGCTGATTGCACAACCTCTCTATCTCTTTTGGATGTGTCACTCTCAGTATGGTTGAAAACACTATAGGTTTTATTATACATTACTATAGCAATTGTTTTATGTGGGTACTGTATCTGAAAACTGGAATTAGATAAGGTAGCACGTATTGCAGTTACTTTTTATCTTGCACATTTTTGTTAATATTTTTTATTATTTATTTGTTAAGGATATACGCTTTCACGTTCTGATTCTAATGTCTAGTTATTAAATTGTTAATATTACTATGATTAAATGAAATATTCTTAAGAATAAAATATGAAGAGTGTTCTTGCATTGTGATGCTACTATATTGTCATTCTGTCCTTATATAATGAGTGGCATAAAATGGTCTTAAAATTACGATAATATAATTTATCACATATTTTGGTGCAATATATCATGCAACAACAAAAAAAAAAGATATTGTGATAGGTCTATGCTTAATTATAACTGAAAAACCTTGTAATAAATTGCCAGTACAGTTTCTTTTATATTACAGACTTATTTCTTTATACATTATTACTTATACATTATATTATTTAAAACTACTAAAATGTCAATAAAAGTCACTTTGTTAGAGTTTTTTTAATTTTTTTATTTTTAACATTAAAAGTCATCAGAGCAGAGATCTAGGTCCTATAATGCAACTGTAAGTAAGCAACACAAAACAGTAAACTGTTAATTAACAGATATATTTTAGTGTAACTTTCAAAGTCAATTCTATGGTAAGCATCTTCACAGTTTGGTGACATGATCTAACTTGTGTACCCACAGGGGCCACTGGCATTGAAGATCGGCTCCAAGAAAACGTCCCAGAAACAATTCAGGCTCTGAGACGGGCTGGCATGCAGGTTTGGGTGCTGACAGGAGACAAACCCGAGACGGCTGTCAACATCGCTTACTCCTGCAAGCTGCTGGACCATGAAGACCTGGTGTTCACTTTCACCACAAACAAGAAGGTATCTGATCTGGCTGATTCAATGCCAGCTAACTAATGCTTTTACAATGTTGTTCCTAACAAAGACTTGGCCTCTGTTAGTCAACCAGCTTCATCAGAAGAATTATTTAACGTATGACATTAAAGTGCCCCATAATGCTTTTCGAATGTTACCTTCATATAGGGTGAGATGTAGCTGTTTGTGATTGTGACAGGTCTAAAAAAATGGAAGAGTATAAATAAATGCAGTTGTTTGCACAGAAATGTAAAAAAATAATTATTATTTAACCTCTAAAACATCCTTTATATTTGGATAAAATATTATTTTTATTTATATTATTTTAATTTAATTATTATATAATATTAATAATTTAATAATACATGAATAATAAATTGAGAGTTGTGAACAAAACAATTGATTGTGGCGTATACTTCACAAAGAAGAAATAAAAATATTTTTTCTCACAATTTAAGTATATTTGCAATGGCAAGGTAATTGACCCACCCTTTATATAAAAAAGTATGTTTTCTTCCTTAATCTGTCATATGAAATGTAGTAATAAAGCTCTAACAAAGCTGTAAAAAGCAGTATTAATGCTACAATAAAATTTTTAAAAGTATAATAAATAATGCAGTAATAAAGCATTAGTAATGCAGTATGAACAAAAATGTGGTACTAAAGCTGTAAAAATGCAGTAACAATGGAGTAATAAAGCAAAACCAATTTAGTAATAAATCAGTAATTTTGCAGTAATAAGGCAGTAATAAAGCGATATTATGTAGTAAAAACAATAAAGCTAAAAAAGCAGTAAAAATCATAAAGTAGTATTAATGCTGTAAAAGCAATTCAATAATAAAGCTGTGCTAAAGCTGTATTAAAGCAATAATAATGCAGTAAAAGTAGTAACAAATCTGTTAAAAAGTGTAATAACGCTGTAATAAATCAGTAATAATGCAGTAATAAAGCTATAATAAAGCAATACTAATGAGGTGATAGAGCGTATAAAGCTTTACTAAAGCTGTAGTAATAATGCAGTAGTAAAGCAGTTATAAAGCGGTAATAATATAGTAGCAAGTCTGTAACAGAGCAGTAATAAAGCTGTAATGATGCAGTACTAAACAATAATGTGGAAATAAAGCTGTAATAAAGCAATAAATATACAGTAACACAGCAGTAGCAAAGCAATAATAAAGCAATACTAATTCAATAATAAAGCTGCAATTATGCAGTAATAAGGCAGTAATAAAGCAATAATTATTCAGCAAAAACTAATAAAGCTATAATAAAGCAGTAATCCATCAGTAATAATGCTATAATAAAGTAGTAATAATGCTGTTAAAGCAATTCAATAATAAAGGTCAGTTGGCATTTCTGTGTGGAGTTTGCATGTTCTCCCATGTTCACAACAAATTTCCTCTGGGTGCTCCAGTATCCCCCACAGTCAGTCCAAAAACATGCACTTTAGGTTAGTTGGGTGAGTTAAATTGACCGTGTGTGTGTGTGAATGAGAGTGTATGGGTGTTTCCCAGTGATCGGTTGCTGCTAGAAGGGCATGTGTTGCATAACACATATGCTGGATAAGTTGGCGGTTCATTCCACTGTGGTAAAGAAAATGAATGAATGAATGAAAATTACCAAATTACTGTTTACACAATAATTTTTCCAAATAACCTACATTTGAATGAATCCAAATTAAAGCATTACCAAACACCTGAGCAACAACAACACTACCACATACTCCAGGAGATTATTTTTTGCTGAAAATGTTGTCGTGTAAACAGCCCCTTATGATTCAGATATGGTAATGAGCATTTGGCTTCCAAGACATGCTATAAAGACTAGTCCAATCATCACAGACTGGAAGATCTGACCATTTAGAGCACAGTAGGCTCTCAGGAAAGATGTGTTAAAAAAACAGACCCTGGAACAAAAAAAAGAGCTGATGCTGCAATGTTACAATTATTACATTTCATGTTTTTTGACCTTGAATTAAGTTGAACCTATTTTAGCAGACCTCAAAAACAAAATTAGTAACCTTTAATTATACAATAATAAGGGTACTTTAACATAATTTAACCGGGTCATTTAACAGGAATAATCAGGTCATTAAGAGTAGCTGAGTGTTTTTCATATGTTGCAAGTGTTTTTTAGGATTTAAAACAGTGAAGCGGCACAAAAGGAAAAGGGTTAATTGGTTTATCTGGGACAACAGAGGCTTCAGTGTTGCAAGGGTTCATCCCCTCAAGAGTGAAGTTCTGCTTAGCGTGTTCAAACACATAAATGCGCTTGCAACAATTTGTCAGATATGCTGTTTTTCATTTCAAGTCTGCCTGAGTCTGTGTTTAAGAGAGCTGAGAAAAAGTGCATTCACCATTTTGAATGGCTCATATTGCTGCTCTGTAATCCCATTTTCACACTTCTGAGGAGGGCAGGAAACCGTTCTACTTTCATTTCAACATTAAATCCCTTCCTGAAGACTCACACATATTGTTTTACGCACATTTTGTAAACGCATCATCTTATGCATCTAAAACCTTCACTTTTTTTATTGCCCTAGTAGGTTTTTTTTAACCAAAGGTACAAGATTATTTGTCATCTTAGTTCATCCCTCAAATGGAAATCTGTTTGGAAATGAGGGAATCATAAGCCATTTATGTAACATGAAAAGTAAATTTAGACATAACCCAGATATATTCTGAAAGCAGTCATGTTAAGGGTGGATGCGGCTTCGTGACATGGCATGTCTCAGCTCATGAATATTAATGAGGTTGTGCTGTCATTGCTACACTTAGGTAATGTTGTGTAAGATAAGATTTGAAATGCTGACAACTTGATGTGACGTCACGCAAACATGTGCCACAAGACACCTGAGGGAAGCAGTTGATCTTCAGAAAAAAACTGAAAACATGATGGGAAATCTCTTGCTGACATCATGGCGAGACATTTTGTTCTTGTCTACAATTTTAGTCCATTATCTTTAAAATCATTTAGACTGAAAAATGGATGGGAAATAATAAATTAAATAGTAGGTACACTAAAAGGTTTGGAGTCAGTACCATTTTCTTTCGTGTGAATGTAATACTTTAATTCAACAAAGATGCATTGCTGGGAAAGTGACAGCAAAGACTTACAATTTATTTTCAAATAAATGCTGTTTCTTTGAACTTTCATTAAAACAGGATCACGTGACACTGACAACTGGAATAATATCATCAGAAATTCAGCTTTAATCACTGTAATAAATAACATTTTAATCGTAAACACTGTAAAAATTTTATTATTTTTTTTAATGTTAGTTAACTGATATTCTTGCTTGGTCTTAGCAGACAATACATTATATTAACTTAGTAAAATGATTCTTTAAATATATTAAATGAAGATAACCAACTTCAAAATTACAATTGGAGTATTCAAGACAATTTAATGAAATGTATCAAATGAGAGTTAAACAGAAAGTTCTTGTCATCATTGGAGATTGTTCACATCCTTCACATATAAAATTTCAGCTTTTGCCTTCAAAAAGAAAGGAAAAATATATATCAAGTGTCATTTTTGATAACTGCCATTACAGTTTTAAACACTGAGATTTGAGTATGAGTAAGGTTAATTGTATTATGTTTTTTTAATGTGACGTGATGTTGAATGTATTGTGTTTGTTTTTTTTACATGACATATTTGTTAATGTTAAAAGTAATTATGTGGCAAAGCCAAAGACGAATTTCCACTTGTGGATATTAAAGAAAGTCAAAGTTGAGTATTCAATTATGAAAAGAGGAATTCAAAATGAATAATTAGTTGAAGCTGTTTAGATTTTTTTTTTTTTTTGCTGTGTAAAAACACTATGGGCTCTATTTTATGATCTCGGCACAAAAGTGTAAAGCACATAGCACAATAGCATTAAGGGTGTTTCAAATCCACTTTTGCTATTTTGAGGATGGAAAAATACTGTTTGCGCCTAGCGTATGATCTATCAGGGTTGTGCTTATTTTCTTAATGAGTTGTTTTGACCATAACGTGCAATAAACCAATCAGAGTCTCATCTCTTATTCCCTTTAAGAGTCAGTTGTGTCAAACCATGGCACATTTACTTGGCGGATATTGTTAAAGGAAAAACTGAATGCATCACTAGAGAGAAAACGGTTAAACAGACCATCTGCTGCGCGAGAATAAAGAAAGCGCCAGCCTCTTAACTTTCTCTTTACTTTTACTCTACTTTTGTGGATAAGGAAACAGTGTTGTACACATTCTACTGAAGATATCCTTTAGCCTACATATTTAATTTTGTTCGCTAAGCGCAAAGATTTGTTTGAAATGTGGTCAAAAAACTGTTTTTAGTCTATCCAAATACACGTCCAGGGCTTAATTTGTGCCGGAACCAGCCGAATCCAGCACCTCTGAAATCTGATCTGGCACCTCATTTAGCCGATCCCCCTCCTCAACCGCCCCTGCTCCCCCGTCCGCTATTCACTTTCACTTTCTATTGTGACTCCCCAACGCTCTTGACTTTCTCGACAACCCCCTTCCCTGCTCTTTAGCCCCTCCGCCATTAATTGCCCCGCTATAAACGCTAAAAAAATGTGTATTGTTGTTCATCCTGTGTGTATTAAGCAATGTGTAAGCATTTGGACCCACATAGGCACATAACTAATGCACTTTGTGCTGGACTTTAGACCAGCTGTTAGTTGGTCAATGGCGTGGTCAATTTCAGTTTCTCAAAATAGCAACGTGCTAACGATGCGCCTTAACACACCTCCTTTTTTGACCGGAACAGCCATGAGTCCACAAAGCTGTGCAAATGGATTTGCTATTCAAACAACGTGCCGCAAAACTTGAAAATTAGGGTTGTGCTGGGCTAAAAATAGCAACAAATTGTAAAATTCACGTTGTATTTTTGATTAAATAATATGGTGAGAATAAGCTGAACATTATCAAATCTTGTCAACACCAAATTTTCAAATAGCAATAACTGTCATAAATATGATCAAATGTGAGATGTAATCCTTTTTTTTTGCAGTCGGTGTGTAAAATGCGATTAGAAGATACGCTGAGCGAGGTGCGACGAACTTGGGGCGGACTTGGTTTGGACCCCCAGTTTAGGGGTTATAACTCAACATTTACTGGCCCACTGATGGAACCCAGTATCGGGCTGGTGATAGATGGGCCAACTCTAAACATGGCCCTGTCGGAGGACCTGGTGGAGCAATTTGTGGAGCTCTGCAAACACTGCCGCGCAGTGCTCTGCTGTCGAGTGACGCCGCTGCAGAAGAGTAGTGTGGTCAAAGTTATCCGGCAGAAACTGAGGGTCATGACCCTTGCTGTAGGTAATGAAACCTATGATTGGAGGTGAATGGGTTTCTGAAATCATTTATAAGATTACTTTTTGTGAAGTGCATTGTTTTTTTTTCTGTTGTGATACATTATGAGTTGTGTCGCTTTAGGGGACGGCGCCAATGATGTGAACATGATTCAAGCTGCAGACGTTGGAATCGGAGTTTCTGGACAAGAAGGCATGCAGGTTTGTATTGTTGTGTTTTTTAAGTCATTTTCAGGTAAAGGCCCTGAAATGATGTCTTAGTCAGTAAGACCTTAATTCAGTCAGGAGTGTTTTAAAATGGGCTCTATAGAATTTTGAAACTTTCGTAGCATTGGCCACTAGGTGAACTCCAGACAGCCATTCATTGCTAATGTTTGCACAAATAATGTATAAGAGGCTGAACATGTTTCAAGGTCTAAATACACTCAATGTTTGCTATACAATAAGTTTTTTATACTTTGATTAGAAGTGAAAAAAAAAAGTTAGAAATAAATGTGTAGCCTAAAGTGATAAAGAATGCGTATTAGATCAATATGTAAATAGTATGTGTTATGCTTTCTCATTTTAATAACATAATTAAATAACATAATTAAACACAGGAATGTAAGCAGTAAGAAAGCAACAGTACAGAATATGTTTAGAAAGTGCATCACAGACTACACAAATATGGCTGTTAGTTTCAGTGTTTGTAAGCCTGACTGCAATTACAGTCCTTAAATTTAAAACATCTCTTTCTGCATTAGCTTTAAAATATTAAGCGTTTGTTTCATGTGTGAGAACAAACGTGAGTGTCTCGAGAGCAAGTTTAAAAATCCCATTTATTTGATTTTGTTGAAATGTATTGCTAAAACTGCCAATTTGTGCTGATTTGCTCTGTAGTATAAGGAGATAGATTATATTCTTGCCATGAGAACATGCTGCTCAACTCTTTGTCCAGGCTCTTGTCCTGTCCAGGATGAACTATTGCAATGCTCTGTTGGCCTCCCAACCAACACCATCAAGAAATCTGCTGATTGTGAATGCAGTAGTCTTTAATAAACCTAAAGGAGTGCATGTCACACCTTTATTTATCAGTCTACACTTGCTGCCAATTGCTTGTCACATCAAAGGCTCTGTATCCACCTACTTGAGCACACAACTTCAGGTTTATGTGCCTGGCAGGACTTTGCTTCAGATCATCGCTTTGTCGTTCCATCCCAATGGGCAACAAAATCAATCGTAAGACCTTCACCTTCAATGTTCCATACTGGTGGAACAACTTGCCAAACTGTATGTGAACAGCTGAGTCTCTAGCCATTTTTAAGAAACATCTAAAATGTATCTGTTTCATCAAAACTCAATTGTTTATTTGTCCAACAATACACTTCCTGTTTATTTTGTACCATGCACTTTTTTTATAAATGAGCCAAGTTTCTGGAAAACACTGTGCAGTACTGAGTGTGCTTAACACAGATGAGTGAGCTTGATAAAGCCCCTGTACAAGACACACTTTTGTGTGTGTGTGTGTGTGTGTGTGTGTGTGTGTGTGTGTGTGTGTGTGTGTGTGTGTGTGTGTGTGTGTGTGTGTGTGTGTGTGTGTGTGTGTGTGTGTGTGTGTGTGTGTGTGTGTGTGTGTATGTGTGAGTGTGTTTATGTCAAACCTGCCAACACTCCCAATTTTCCCAGGAGTCTGCTGTATTTCAGACCCATCTCCCGCCACCCTCCCATTTTGTTATTTCTCCCAGGAAACTCTCGTAATTTCACCCAACACACAGTTCTCTGCTTTTTTGGTACAGTTTGTAACACCCCAAGGTCTCCAACTTTGTCATAGTATCTGATTGCTGCGGCCAGTTACAGTTACTAACATCACAGTACAGTTACTAACCCAGTTCTTAGTTGTGTTATTGTACTGTACTGTACTGTAATGTGTATTTATATAGCGCATTTATCATTTATGGCCATACACTTAAAGTGCTTCACAATCATAAAGGGGGTCTCTCCACACCACCACCAGTGTGCAGCATCCACATGGATGATGCAACAGCAACTACAGGACAACGGCGTCAGTGTGCTTACCACACACTAGCTATTGGTGAAGTGGAGAGACAGTGAAAGAGCCAATTTGGTGGGTGGGGATGGGGAATTTGGCCAGGACTCTGGGGTTACACCCCTATTCTTCACTAGAAGTGCCATGATATTTTTAATGACCACAAAGAGTCAGGACCTTGGTTTAATGTCTCATTTGAAAGACATGTTATTCAGACAAACACACACCACCACCCCCAAATTTAATTGCATCTTCTAAATGAATAAATGTATATTTCAAAATTGTGGACAGGCTTTCATAGACAGCTTAATATTTTTACACGTGGGCTCTTTAAATCTCTATAAAACATAAATTGCATTTCCCCCCTTCCTATTGTGACATATTTGAGTGAAACAGAAAATACAATATATTTACTGACAATAGATGGCGACGCAGTTGCGTAGTAGGTAGTGCTGTCGCCTCACAGCAAGAATGTCGCTGGTTCGAACCTCGGTTCAGTTGCTGTTTTTGTGTGGAGTTTGCATGTTCGGCTTGCGTTCGCGTGGGTTTCCTCCGGGTGCTCCGGTTTCCCCCGCAGTCCAAAGACATGCGGTACAGGTGAATTGGGTAGGCTAAATTGTCCGTAGTGTATGAGTGTATGTGTGTGTGTGTGTGTTTGTGTGGATGTTTTCCACAGATAGGTTGTGGCTGGAAGGGCATCCGCTGCGTAAAAACGTGCTGGATAAGTTGGCAGTTCATTCTGCTGTGGCGACCCCAGAATAATAAAGGGACTAAGCTGACAAGAAAATGAATGAATGAATAAATACAATGAATATAAAGGGACCTATTTGGCAAAATATAGACAGGCTCTAATGGTAAAAGTGTAATAATTATATTTTATATTATCACACTTTATAAAAAGTGTAAAGAAAGACTTTGATATACATTTTACTTTTGTAAATGTCATTAGAATGGGAAAGTCCCACCAATTAGTGACAATCTGTCTAAAGCCGCGGTCACACTGCACTTTTTGCCCCATAGACGTCCATTCATACACAAGCGAATGGAGCAGACTGGACAGGCAAGTTTGGGCAACAAGTTATGCAGTTCGCTGCGTTGCAAAGTTAAAACTTGGTGAATTGTAACCTGCAAAATTGCATCACATGACTGCATGAGACCAATCAATGATTAAAAGATGACCTCTCAGAACAGAAATTTAAAATATGGACTCATCACTCACTTTTTTTTTATGTCCGATCTTCTTGTTTATTCCCGCCCCCTGCCGTACAACACAATTTTTTCATGCTCAAACTCTAGTATGACTGAGGCATGAGGTTATAAAAAAAATGTATTTTACCTTTTGTCAAAATTGGCATAAAACGTTCCTTTTAATGCTGAGTTTAACCATTTTGTTTGTTCTACAGGCAGTCATGGCTAGTGATTTTGCCATCACACGCTTCAAACACCTGCAAAGACTGCTGCTGGTTCACGGTCACTGGTGCTACTCAAGACTCGCCAATATGGTCATCTATTTCTTCTACAAGAATGTGGTAAGTGTCACCACTGCTTTTATTTTAAAAGAAAACAAAGACATACAGTATCGACATCCTAGTAGCCATCTAACAACATGTCAGTGAATTGAACAAGGGTCAGATCCAAATGCAGCTTTTATTAAGAGTAGTCAGGCAGGCAAGGTTGGTACAAGAGCAAACAGTAGCATAAAAGTAATCCAAAAGAGTAGTCGTAGTAACAGAAAAAGAAGTTGAGGCTGGCAGCAAAACAAACATAAACAGTAAAACAAACAAGGGCTCAAAAACAAAGATGTGTGTGTGAGTGGTGTGTAAATAGTCGAGCTTCATACGAGCTTCAGCTGTGTGCGTGTAATCAAGAGGGGACCTAGAGCCTGTGTGTGACTGCACTGGTCAGTGGCAGATGTGATGTGTATAGTGCCCTCTAGCGTGTCTTCGCAACATCCTGGACTAACTAGCTTTTTAGGCTATACTATGAACATTTCACACTTGTAATTTAGAAGTGGAGTTTGAAGTTTTACTTCAAAACAAGGTAAAAATCAACAATCACTGCTTTTGCAACGTTAACCCAGCATTGCAGTACTAAATCTGTACAATGTAGAATAGAATGTTATGGCTAGGTGTTTTGCAACTGAGAGCCCAACATCTTATGCCTCATATATATGAGCTTGGACTGTCATGGACACTTTATATGTTATATATATATATATATATATATATATATATATATATAATCAATTATTTGACTGCTTGAGGAGAAAGACATCAAATAGTGACAGGAAATGCATCAGATACAGCAAGATATTGTTTTCCTGGAATTTAAAAAGACTCAAGGTTAGCTGGTTTAAGTGTGAAAAGCTCTATTTCACAAAGTTGTTCACGCAGCATATGTATTTCTTCAGAACATCTTGTTCTGGCTAAACTGTATCTTAATGCTGCAATTATGCAAAAGGTCTCTATAAACCTTTTTATTTCATCAATGAAGAATGTAATTGTTACAAATGATTTCTGTTTCTTGGGAAACATCATTTATTTACAGTTTCCAGAAAAATGTTAGGGTTAATGCACATGTTATACATTTAATTGAATGAAATAATTTTTCCGGTAACAATTTATAATACGGTTGTGTTAGTTAATGGTAATTACTTTATTTACTAAAATTAACAATAAATTAATTACAGTATTTATTCACCTTTGTTAATGTTAGTTCAAGAAAATAAAGTTGATTGTTGTTAGTTCATGTTAGTTCACATTAACTGCATTAACTAATCTTAGCAAGCACTAGTGTGAATTTTAATAATGCATAAGTAAATGTATGAAGGATTAATAAATGCTGTAGAAGTATTGTACACTATTAATTCATGTTAGTAAATACATATAATATTAATGACATTTAAAAATGTAACAATTAACTTTTTTTTTTTTTTAACTACTTTAAGGTCAATATTATTAAGGATTTCTTTTTTTTGATGGGATACTCAACAAAACCACTATTGTCCAATAACTTGTCTAGTTGACCTAACTCGCTTAGTTAACTTAACTATATTAAACTTTTAAGCAAAGCTCAATACAGGTATCTTGCACTAGTAAAATATTATGTACTGTCATCATAACAACGACAAACGAAAATAGTTACTACAAATGAGTTTAATATCATGTTGAATAAAGTGTTGAAAAACTTGGGAAATATTAGAGTGTGTAAAATAAGATACAGTTGAAGTCAGAATTATTAGCCCTCCTTTGAATTTTTTTTTAAAAAAAGGATGTTTAACAGAGAAAGGGCATTTTATATAATATATATTTTTTGATAGTCTACAGAACAAACCATCATAATACAATAACTTGTCTAATTACCCTAACCTGCCTAGTTAATTAACCATAAATGTCACTTTAAGCTGTATACAAGTGTCTTGAAAAATATCTAGTCAAATATTATTTACTGTCGTCATGGCAAAGATAAAATAAATCAGTTATAAAAAATTAGTTATTAAAACTATTATGTTTAGAAATGTGTTGAAAAAAATCTGCTCTCCGTTAAACAGAAATTGAGAGAAAAAAAATAAACAGGGGGGCTAATAATTCAGGGGGGCTAATGATTCTGACTTCAACTGTATATCTCATTATTTCTTATATTATGTGCATGAAATACAGTTGTTTAGAATTAACAACTGTATGTCACATTTGCTTCTTAAATGAAACTTTTTAATTGCATTCAGTTATTTTCTGTACACATAATAAAATAACCAGCACCAACATTTACGAAATAACCAGAGTGGTTTCCCGCATGCAGGCATATGTGAATCTGCTCTTCTGGTATCAGTTCTTCTGTGGCTTCTCCGGCACAGCCATGATCGACTACTGGCTCATGATATTTTTCAACCTGTTCTTCACCTCTGCTCCTCCCATCATGTTTGGCATAATGGACAAGGAGGTGTCAGATTCAACTTTACTGAGCCTGCCTGAGCTTTACAGGAGAGGACAGCACTCAGAGGTGAGGAAACACTGGCTGTCAATACTGCACTTCTGCATTCACTCACTTTGAGCTATTTTAATTACAATTTTAAAAATGGAATTAGGGACTTGGAATCAGAATTTAATTTAACCCAATATTTGTTTCTAAATCTAAATGTATTCAGATATTTTTAAAAAATGCTGCATGCAGTTTTATAGAAACCATGGTTACAAGTAGCTGACCATGGTAATGAGGGGTCATTAAAGGAACCATAGAAACATATAGCTTCTACAAATATCACAGACTATATTTTCTATGCAAGATCTCTGGTCATTTTAAAAAAAAACATTTTTTAAATTCAGAACTAATATACATAATATTCATGAAATGTGATAATTTACAGTATTTTCTTGTTTTTCCTTAAGGTGAGGCAACATCCAAAGCAAACTTTTAATTGTTTCTTTTATTAGTTTATTCAAATTATGTTTTTAATATAAATTAAAATGTTTATACTTAAACATTTTAATTTATATTAAAAATTTCATTTATTTGTGTCTGTAGATTTCAATTACAATAAATCTTCACACAAATTTTCTTTACATTTTTTTTTTGGTAACACTTTATAAACTACACACAATCAATAATTTTTTAAGCATTAGCAAATAGTTAATTCATTATCTGTTAAGCATTATCTCTACATTAACAGATGTTAGCAAGCTGTTTATAACTGCAGATACAAATGCTCTATTCTTGACTTATAAGCACATTGGTCACACTTCACAATAAGGTTCATTAGTTAATGTTAAGTAATCATTTACCAACACGAACAAACACTGAACAATACATTTACTACAATAATTATTCATGTTAATAAACGTTAGTTAATGAAAATACACTTGTTCATTGTTAGTTCATGTTAACTCATGGTGCATTAACTAATGTTAACAAGCATGGACTTGAATGTTAATAATGCATTAATAAATGTTCAAATATGATGTACAAGTGTTGTTCATGTTTAGTTCATGTTAGTAAATGCATTAACTAATGAACCTTATTGTAAAGTGTTACCAGCATATTTATAATGTGCTTAATGATTGTAGTTTAATATTTTTTTATTATTTAAGTAAGCATTGCATATTTACAAGCAAAAAACAAAAACAAAATTAAGAAAAGAATTGATTAAATTTTATTTAATTGTATTTATTTCATAACTTTATTTTGGCACTCTTGTTATTCGGCAATGTTTGAAGTTAACAATAATCTTATTTTTTGGTATTTTCTCAGTATTTGATACTGAGCCTTTAAATGTAATTTATAAGGGATTTATAAGCATGAATAGTCCTCACTTAAGATTAGGTCACAAAACTGGATGAAGTTGTGTTAATAAAGCATTTATTAACATACATAGTAATCATTACTATATGCCTGAGTAATAAGGTATATAAATGTTGATTTGAATAGTTTATTAATCATTTACTGACTCATTCTGAATGATTCTAAAAGCCCTCAACTACTCTTAAATACAAGCACATTTTTAATTGAATAGATTATTTACAAATAATTTGTAAGTCAAGATCGCTGCATTTGTAGGTGTATTTATAAACTGCTTACTAACGGCTATTAATGTACAGTTAAAGTTCCACAAATAATGATTTCACTATTTGCTAATGCTTAATAGATAATTCATAGTGTGTAGTTATTATAAAGTGTTACTTTTTTTCTTCTTCACAAAGCCACTGTGCTGTACAATGTTATTCATATCATAATATCCATATATTTTCTTACACTTTTTCAGAGTTCTTTGTTCATATGTCATTTGTCAGATTATATACAACATTGTTGGGATGCTCTACAAAAATTTCTTTTCTGGCCATTCACAATATTTTATGAATTATAGAGTGAAAAAAAAAGATTCTGAAAATCTGCTTTGTAAAATCATTTGACTCTAATACAGGGGTGTCCAAACTCGGTCCTGGAGGTCCAGTGTCCTGGAGAGTTTAGCTCCAACCCTAATCAAACACACCTGAGCCAGCTAATCAAGCACTTACTAGACATACTAGAAACTTCCTGGCAAGTGTGTTGAAGCAAGTTGGAGCTAAACTCAGCAGGACACCGGCCCTCCAGGACCGAGTTTGGACACGCCTGCTCTAATATGTCAAAAAAAGAACAAGAATTTTAATGCTTTCATTCAATATTTTGTCTAGAAATGTATACAAATTACTGCATATGTAATTAAATAATGCATTATTTGCATATGTAAACATGACATATTTAGAAAATTTGTAATTAGGCATGGGATACCACGATTTTGAGAAGTCAAGGTTTTAAAACCGCCAAAATGTTTTGCTACTCTGTTACTGCGGTATATGTAAAAAAAAGAAATTTTTTTGGTTGTTTTTAGGAAAACAGTATCTCCAACAGAAAAGATATCCAAAGATGCTGTTTAAAATTGTAAAGAAATCTGGGTTTTTGAATCTGATAAAGACTGCAGAAGTCAATGGTTCATTTAAATTAGTCAGCCTGACATTTAGTTTAATGTTTCATAAAATAAAGTATTTTGTGTTGAAAGAGGGAAAAAGTTTTTTGTTTTTAACCCAGACATTTAAAAATAATATTTATTTTAGAGCAGTAATCACAATACCGTCAAACTGTGATGTTTTTATTCAAGGTTATCATTAGGGATGTGCCTATCAGGCTTTTTTGCCCTCGAGTCCGAGTCTATCAGTATCTACCGATATTAAAAACTGATCCGATACTTCTATAATGCATAAAAAAAGAATAAAGAAGAGCAAAGAAACAGATCCAGGATGGAGTCAATCCATTGTTGTGGTAAGGCCTAGTAGAGACATGGAAGCTACGGACAACCTTCATATGTCTGTGGTGAGCAAAACATGGGGTACATCTTATAACAGGACAAGTAGTTTGTCAGAAATCTTCTTCTAAAGGGTTGGCAGAGCTTTCTCTGTGAAATAGTGGCTAGATAGCATTTCAAATTGAGTTGTCGTCATCAGACCGCCGACATACTCGCATTTTCCACAATTTAAGTCCTGATCGGGAGGTAATGTTTGCTTTTGATCTAGTCTGAAACCGTGAGATCGGATTTCTGCTCAAATGATCGAATCTGGACATTCCTAGTTATCATACCGTCAGAATCTTTTGCCGGCCCTACTACTTGTAATCCATAAAATGTGTGCAGGTATTAAAGTAATCACAGATTAAGTATAATTACTATTAGTATTAAAGAGCCCATATTATACATGAAATAGGGTCATATCTTGGTTGTAAGGGTCTCCAACAACAGTTTAATATGCATGCAAGGTCAAAAAACACTTTTATAGTCTTATAATCTGCATTTATTTTTACCTAATTATCCCAGCGACTCCTGTATGAATCGTCCAGTGATTCATTTGTTCCCAAACCCCTCCTTAGCGCGAAGCTAATCTGCGCTGATTGGACCAATCACAGCCTGTTGCGATTGGTCGACTGCCTTCAGTCAGAGAGTGAAATGCCAAACAGCTAATCAGCAATATAAAAGTAATCACAGTTCATACACGCTCGATAGTGTAGGCGTGGATTTTAGCTGCCAGTGGGTCAATGTAAATACAGACTATGGACTTGAAAATACAGACGACTGACTATTTTATTGAGCAAAAACTCCAAAAACAGTTGAGGAGATCTCCTAGCTTCTCACTCTGCTCTTTTCACAGACACACACACACATATTGCACAAACACACACACGCAGTTAACCCTGCTCCGGACGACGCACACACACACACACACACACCTCCGGACGACAGCGCGCGCACACGCATACACACAGACACACACACTACTCCTCGTCCACGGAGCTCCGTTAACAAAGCAGCACGCGTCGCGTTTTTAACGTGACTTTGCACGCGATAAGAGAATATAGCCAGTTAACCTGATACAGTACACGCGGTTACAAGTAACAATTCACAACTAAATACATTTGCAAGCTAGAGTCAACGAGGCAACTTTAATCGCACGTACTTACACTTGAGAAATGGAGGAAGAAAAATCCATCCTGACGTCCATCAGTAAGTTACTCTTTACTGATCCTTCCTTTAACAAACGCTGATGAAGTATTCTTTGTAGCATGTAGTTTCCAGAAGTGTCCAGTAGTTTCCAACTGCTTGGCTATAATGCTGAGGTTTCATGTTTGGGTAGAGACTCAATATATCCATCTGCAGTGTGACTTCAATCGACCGGCATGTTTGTGTGTGTGTGTGTGTGTGTGTGTGTGTGTGTCTGGGTTTCTGCGTCAAAGGGCGGGGCCACAGGTTTGAAATCTCCCGGGTTTGCGCGTGCACGTGAATAACTTGGTTTCGTTCGTACGTCATGGCGAAACACCTAATGAATCGGTATCAAGGCGACTCGTTTGAAGCACTATGAGTCGACTCTTTTATAGATGAATCAACAGTTTTAAACACTGTACACTAACAGATTTAAGCCATAGCTGGATACTTCACTTCACTTAGAGCTGTGTTACACACTACATGGAGGGGAATTTTCAAAAACCCATAATATGGGCTCTTTAATTTGTATTAATTACCATAACTATTAGTTCAGATTTACTTGCAGTGATTTGCCTTAAAAGGAATAATGTTTTCAATGTTGGATTACAGGGATACAGACGTTCAACGTTTTGGATTGCAATTCTTGATGCTTTCTATCAGAGTCTGGTGTGCTTCTTTATTCCATACTGGGTAAGAACATCTGTTCAGTCTCATGTCTGTGTCAGTAGCATGTGTTTTGGAGTTACGCGTTGTCTGATCGCTGCTTGTACTTTCTCAAGACGTACAACGATTCAGACATCGGCATCTTCTCATTTGGCACTCCCATGAACACAGTCTCTCTGTTCACCATCATCCTGCATCTGGCCATTGAAATCAAGAGCTGGGTGAGTTTACGCTCCACTTCATCGTTCATAGCAAAATCACACTGCATCCATCATCTCACCGCAACATTTTCTTTACAGATTAACATTCAAAAAATGTAAATGTGAATGAAAGAATTTTGATAAACTGTTTTTTGTGTTCCCTTGTTCCTATTTGGTCAGTGTTTCTTGACTCTCACTGGTTTTGCTACTTGTACCTCTAAGACTACAAAAACAGCTTATTTTGTGATTGGCTAGTTTTTTTTACGCATACAAAATGAGTAACAGCATTTACTTACGGGTTATGGGTTTGTTGTCAAGTCCAATACAATTTTCTCTGCCCCACAGCCACACCATATTTGGCTGGACCTTTCCTGCATTTCTACTTATTGTTAGTTATGTCCAAAACTCTTCAGATGTTATTTTTTGTAGTTTATTTATTTATTTTATTTTTTTTACAAAAAAGTTGTATTTTTGTGGGTGACGTGGTGGCGCAGCAGGTAGTGCTGTCGTCTTACAGCAAGGAGGTCGCTGGTTCGAGCCTTAGCTGGGTCGGTTGGCATTTCTGTGTGGAGTTTGCATGTTCTCCCCGTGTTCACATGGGTTTCCTCTGGGTCCTCTGGTTTACCCCACAGTCCAAAGACATGCAGTACAGGTGAATTGGGTAAGATAAATTGTCTGTAGTGTATGTGTGTGAATGAGTGTGTATGGTTGTTTCCCAGTGATGGGTTGCAGCTGGAAGGGAAGCCACTAAATGGAATCCGCTGCATGTGCTGAAAAAGTTGGCGGTTCGTTCTGCTGTGGCAACCCCAGATTTGGTAGGGGGACTAAGCCGAAATGAAAATGAATTAATGAATTTTACTTTTGTGAATCTGGACCACAAAACCAGGTACAAATGATTTTTGGAAATTGAGATTTATACATCAATGAGCTTTCCTATGATGCATATAATTTGTTAGCGTAGGACAATTTTTGGCTAAGTTACAACTGTCTGAAATTTTGGAGTCTGAGCATTCTGAAAAACATTGCCTTTAAAGTTGTTTAAATGAATTGCTTAAGAATACACATTACCAATCAAAAAATTATTTTAAGTCAGCATGATGGGCATCCAGAGTTCAAATCTTGGCTTGAGGACATTTCCCGATCTTACCCACTTCTCTTCCTGTCTAATTACTGTCCTATCTAATAAAGGAAAAACTAAATCTATAAAAAAAAATTTTAAAAATATTTACGGTAAGAAATTTACAAAATGTCACCCTGGAACATGATCTTCATGTAAAACCCTTTACATATGATTTTTGGAAATCTAGGCCGATTTTCCCCCTTACAATGTATTTTTGGTTTTTGCCAAAACATGCCTGTCCTGCTTAAAATATACAGTATAGTCCAGGATTAGATTAACAAAAATAAACTATTCTTTTCTTATAGTAAAAGTCTAGTAATTATGCTTTTGTTCATATAAACATTTTAAGCTATGGTCATTGTAGCTAAACCATGATAGATTTGCTCATTTTATTGATATAAAATGACGAAGCACAACACTCCTTGTGCAAGGTGGTGAAACTGAAAGTTAAGTTGTAATATCATTGCGCCTGCTCCAGCCATTGTACAGCTGCAAAGTTCCTTGATTATTATGCCAGAATGAAGTTATAAAGTAGTCAACATTTGAGGTGGATCAAAACATTTTTCTAAATTGCCCTAGGACTAGAATGGATGTTGTTCAATAGTTTTAAAACAACTTTGATGAAAGATTTTTATCCACTAAAAATGTTGCCTACTATAGCCATTTCGGGCTAGAAAATAGCCACTAGGTTTTCTGTTAGTCTTAGTGACAAATGTAACTACAGAAGAGTCAAGCTATAAAGAGGAAAATTATTGAAACTCTGCTCATTTTGAGAAAGATGCTAATGGTCTAATCCGATTCAATGATCTATGCTACACTGTAAAAAAAATGCAGGGTTCCACATAATTCATTCATGCTGACCCAACACAAAGCGATTAAGTTAACTAAAATTTTAACAAATTTATGTGGAAAAATCAAGTTGTCCCAAATGAAATCCCAAAAATTGTGTTGTTTCAGGTCATTTTAACCTCCTAGTGCTTGAGTGTCCACATACGTGGACAGCACATTTTAGCTCTTAAGTGGCTATTTAAAATACTTTGAATGTTTTATATTTTGTTACAGACATACAGTGTCATCCTGCAACTGTTTTGCAGCATATGAAATGTCCCAAACACTTTTTTTAACTGTCCAAAACGAGGAAAACATTTTGTTTTTACTCTCTCATAGTCAAAACATGTTCAAAGAATTTTCCATGTTAAATTTACATTACAAAACAGTCAGGAAAAAGTGTTTTTTGTAAATTCAGACCACGAGTCCACAAAAATGGACATCATTTTTTCCAAAAGTACATCATATAAAAAGATGATACTCAGATTTTTATTCTAATTAGGTTCTAATAAGCCCAAACAGCTAAGAGAAATAAAAAAAATGCATGTAAAAAACAACTTGGGCCTTAGTAGATTAATTAAGTAGTTTAAACAAGCAAAAAAAGTTATTTTTGAGTGTAAGCTAAGCTAAAAGTTTTCCCACCAGAACTAGAAATTTGCTGGATAGATACAAAAATAGCACAGCTGAATTGTTTACCTCTTGGGGAGTTATAAAATAAGCCTATTTTTTATAAAGTGTCTTTGAAAATGTGCTTAAAAACTCCCTAATAGTGACCTCTAAAAGTGCAGGTTGTTCTCCAATTTTAATCTCCACTGTTAACATTTGACCTTAAAAATGACAGAATTAACTATGTCTAGTCAACAGAATAAAGGCATGTCTAAAGGTATGTATTTGTCCTTTGTTTGCCTGGCAGACGGTGGTACATTGGGTGATCATGGTTGGCAGTGTGCTGGTTTACTTCATACTGACTCTGGCCTACAGTGCCATCTGCATTAGTTGCAACCCTCCGTCTGACCCTTACTGGATCATGCACAAGCAAATGGCCGATCCCATGTTTTACCTCGTCTGTGTTTTAACAACAGTTGTTGCTTTACTACCAAGGTAAGTTAAGCATTAGCATCATGTGCGTATGGTCTATCTGTCATTGTTTAGATGTCATCCATGCAATTTTTCTTCTGTGTTTCCTGTAGGTACACCTTGCGTGTACTAAAGGGAACGCTGGCACCATCTCTTCACCTCCGTGCACGGCAGCTGGAGCGTCTGCCCTCCTCCTGTCGAGAGCAGCAGATCAGAGAGTGGCGTGGTTTCAGAGACACGTGTATCTCTGCTTCTCTCAGCTCCACTGCCTGCCCCAGTGCATGAACTACACAGCATTCAGAGAATGACAGTGAGTTCTGCAATACAGAGAACTGCCAACCGCAACTGATATTTATGTATTGCACTCATGGATGCACTGCAGAAAGAGCATCCAATGGCGTTTGACACGCTTGTGTTGATTTAGCCTGGATTATGGCAAGCCGTTTTAAGATTCTGTCAATAGACTGTACTTGAATCCATTTTTATGCTACTAGTAGCTACCTATTTTTAGACACTAGATCCTTTTAAAAATATTATTTATTCATTAGCCAGTAGTTCCTATTTTTTAAGATACTAGAACTTAGACACAAGTGGTTAGGCTAGTATACATGACAAGTCCTTATTAAAAGATAGCCTACTAATATTTATTCAAAAGATCCTAGATACTAGATTCTCAATCATCCCCATCCACTGAATTGGCTCTATCACTGTCTCTCCACTCCACCTATAGTGCCGTTGTCCTGTGTCTGCTGTCGCATCATCCAAATGGATGCTGCACACTGGTAGTGTGCTGTCAATTTTGTGCTGTCAGTTGTCAAATGATTGTGTAAAAATACACTAGTCATCAAATAGAAGTAACTTACTATAAGTGAAGTCTGTTTTACTAGTTTGTTTTTGGATTATTAATATCATTGTTTTAGCCAATACATATGTTTAGATGTCTATTAGACATCTTTTAAATACAAAAAGTCTTGGGGAGCAGTACCTATCTTTAAATACCAACCCATTCTGAAAACATTTCTCTATATAAATTTCTGGAGACTGCGTAATACGTCCCAGGAGGTACGTTTTTTTTTGTTTTGTTTTGTTTTTTGCAGTTTTTGTTTTTGCAAATCCACAAGAGGCCACTGTGTACGCTTTTTGAGATCTCAAAATTTTCTTGCAAGTGCCATTCGTTTCTGCTGTTCTCACAGAAATCCACCAGAGGCCACTCTCAAATGACTGACTGATTGACTGATTAATCGACTGACCCACCCTCCTTCCCTCAACCCAACCAATTTTATTGATTGACTCGCCCACCCCCTTCCCTAAACCCAACCAACAATTTTCAAAAGCAATCCAGAAAAAGAAAAGCCCTCGTATGATTTTTACTGTGTTTTCAGATTTTACCACATTCTCACCCTGTTATTTACTATTTTATTTTATTTTTTGGATTCTGCTTTTGTCTTCCCCACTTTCTGCAACTGTTTTTCACTGGACTCAATCCTCGTCATCATGGTAAACTCCTCTCTGCGTCTCAAGTCCACCGACAAACATGGCAAGCTAATAGGACAAACTGGTTACAACAGGAAAGCTGTCCATATGGAGGTAAGCAGCTAGCTGGTAAACACGAAAAGGAATGGCGTCATACTGCCCTGTAGTGTTCGTTTTAAAAATGAAATGAAGCCATACGTACCAATATAATTTGCGGTCTCCTGAAATATAAGGCTTTTTCAGAATGAGCCTGTGTTGTTAAATACTAGTACTCATTTATTATATACTTGTACTTTTTTATTATTTAATTGTACATATTCAATAGATAGTACCTTTTTGTTACACAAATGTTATTGATTAGCTACCAGCATCTATTCTATGTGTTTAATACATTATTAGTTGCAATTTTAAAATAAATTACTAATCACTATTGGGATAACTACTTGGTTGTATCCAAAATGGATACTACTATTCTATAAAAACAATACACACTAGTCAAAGTGTGGAGCTCTCACTGTTATCTCATTGATCAACATCAATGTAAAAACAAACTCTACACTTGTTAGTAGTTAGTAGTAAAAACAGAACAGTAATAGTATATTGAAATAACTATTGTCTGTTTAAACTAGATTTGTATTGAATGAATGGCTACTAGTAACCTATGTAATGTTATTCGAACCCAATGCTGGGTCAAATATGGACAAACGGAACAGTTGGGCATTAAAAAATTAACCCAGCATTGGTTTGTCCATATTAGACCCTGAGGAGCCGATTTGAATATTATGACTCGATTGAATGGGCATTATCAGTGGTTATCAGCTGATAGATATGGGCTAGTAGGGGCCTTCTGCATGGACTGGTAAGCTCAGAAGGCTGTTATCCATCCACATGGGTAAACAGCTATAGACCATTTCAATGTAGTGATGTCTTTGGCCCATGAACATTTCCTGCTTGTTATCAAACCATTTCATAACTGTAACAAGAGAGAATTCAATCAGAACTTCATGCTAAAGCAGCTATCATAACATTATTTATAAATATGTGGCTCTTTTTAGATTCTCTAAAACTAAAGAAATTAAAACTGTAAAACAGGAAATTCAATGGGACCATTGTTTTTGTTTACATCCCTTAAAATCTATAAGGTCTATAGATCGCATACGGCTGCGGACAGAAGTTAACAAGAATTATTTATATTATTTATTATATATTCCATGAATTGTATTTTATTAATGTCTGCCCCTACCCCAATGCTTAACCAAATCATCACCAGTATGTAAAAAACGTCCTGGATCTTGAGTCTTCTCTATTAGTATAGCTGATTAACCAGTTTATATTATTTATTAAATTTCCCATTAATTGTATTTTATTAACGTCTACCCCTACCCCAACCCTAAATCCAACCATCACAGTATTGTAAAAACAGATCTGGATACTTCTCTATTAGTATAGCTGATCAACCATGTGGATGGATGATGCCCCTTTTGGCCCATATTTATCAGCTGATAACCACCGATAACACCCATTCAATAAAGTGATTACATTCAAATTAGGTGACCTCCAAGTGGGAGTGTTTACACCAAGTAGGTTGGGTGACTTCCAAGTTGGAGGAACTTAAACCACAAGTAGGTTGGGTTTAGGTGGTGCAGATATTAATAAAACACATCAGGTTACTGTGAGGTTGGGTTTAGGGTTGGAGTAGGTGTACGTGTGTAGACATTTATAAAGCATAATATTGGACTCCATGTCATGTACAAGACATTAAATAAATAAAAACTCCAGGTTTGCACAGCCCACTTGGAGTTCGAAGGCCCACCCACTTGGAGCTCAAGTGCCACTGCCACCCACTTGAAGCTGGCTCTGACCTCCGTTCATAGCCTTCTCGTTAGTACAACCCAGCACTACCAGTAAGCAATAGTTAACCTAGTTACTAGTATCTAATAAATAAAACTACTATGTAAAGAATAAGTTCCCAGTGATTGATTGCAGCTGGAAGGGCATCCGCTGCGAAAAACATATGCTGGATAAGTTGGCGGTTCATTCCGCTGAGGTGACCCCAGATTAATAAAGGGACTAAGCCAAAAAGAAAATGAATGAATGAATAAATTTAAAGAAAAGCACTAGTGCCTAAAAAACAAACACTTGTGAAGAATGTATAAGGAAAAAACAAACAAGTCATGACCTATAAAACAAGTAGCTACTATTAGTAGCACTATTTTTTCTTAAACATATATATTATTTGTTTTATACGTCAAATTTTAAACGGCTTGTCATACCCAGCTAATAAATCATCTTAAAAACTTGGAAACTGTGCCTTTCAGAAACCAACTTTGCACTTTTTTTTTCCTGCTGCATCCGACCAACCGTTATGAGCATTTTCTCAGAGCATGCGTATGATTTCTCCACGGCACGTATGTAATCTGGTCGGTGGATGCAGCTGAGCCTTTCCCCTTCTGCCAAACCTACTTCCTGTTGTCATGTGGAGCACATTTATATGCACTTGCGCTTTGAGCTGCTCATGTAATAATTGAGGTTTGCAGATGTTACATAATATCTCGGTTCATATATTCAGAGCTCGTTGTGGATGCTGACAAAACGGCAAGCTGCACACGGAGATAAAGGAGGCTGGATCTCCTTCTTCTCCATGTAATTATTAATTCCTAATAAAATGTATTGGCTTGTGTGCGTATGCGTGTAATGCACTAAGGCAGATCACACACAATCCTGCGCCGCTGTTTGAATATTTGATATCTCTTCTGACGTCTGTCTGACGTTCTTGACTCATGATGACCTCACGCTCAGACAGATCATCGCACAGCGAGCCTGATTTTTTCCCCTCCTCATCCTTCCAGCATGTGTGTAACATACACCACAGTCGAGGCTTAGGATGGAAAAAAGGGTCGTTTTGCAGAACCCAAGGCGGTTTTATGTAATGACGTGTTTCTATCAGGCCGCTACTGCTATCTAGTGGCGGCCTGGCGGACTGTAAACACCACCGTCCATTTAGAGAGAGGAAAGACACAAGATGGTTGATGTCTGACTGTCAAGAAGACAGATAATTTATTGAAGCCGGTCGTTTTGTGAAAGGTTACTTAAATGGCAGGTATAGTGCCTTGGGTGAAGAAGCTTTGATTAAATTTCAATAAAATTGTAAATAAGAATGTATTTTTGTATATTTTTGTATTTTAATAATGCAGGTTTGGGATACTGTTTGAATGAATAAGGGCAAAATAACATTTTATTTTAGGTGAAACAAACAAATGTCGCATTTATTTACATAAACAGTTTTTAAAAAAATTATATTTAATTAAAACATGCAGGCCTGTAGTGAATGTAAGGGTGTATATGGATAATATTTTGGTAACACTTAACAATAAGGTTGTTTTAGTTCATTTTAATTGCTAACATGCACTATTGATGAACAATACATTAACTATGGTATTTGTTCATGTTTGTTAACATTAGTCAATAAAAAATACAGTTGTTCATCCCCAGCAGGCACACAACATCATAAGACATTAATATTAGGTTCGATTTAGGTCATGACGTCAGGTGACCAAAATTCAATGTCTAGCCAGCGTCTAAGCAAGGACGTTATTGTGACACCCAATAATGACGTTAAATTACGTTGATATTTGGTTAATTTTAGGTTGTGTTGGAAAGTGACCAAATTACAGTTTTCCGGGATAAATAACAAAATGGGAGGGTGGCAGGTGATGGGTCTGAAATGTGAGAGATGGGTCTGAAATACAGGAGACTTCCTTGAAAAACGGGAGTGTTGGCAGGTATACACTATGCACTCTGACTACTCCAATATTGTTGATAAGCCGTGGTAGCCATTTCACTCTGTCTCACGCTAAACGATGTCAACCCATCGCAACAGACTGTCATCGTCCAATCAGCACAGATTAGCATTGCGCTAAGGAGGGGTTTAGGAACAAATGAATCACTGAACAAATCATTTGGGAGTCATTGGGATATTAGGTAAAAATAAATGCATATTATAAGACAGTGAAAGGGGTTTTTGACCTTGCATGCATATCAGACTGTTGTTGAAGTCCCCCAAAACCAAAATATAACACTTTTTAGTCTATAAAAAAATTGGGGCGGTCACTGGATCGAGCCCGGCTGGGTCAGTTGCCATTTCTATGTGGAGTTTGCATGTTGACCCTCCAGGAGCTCTGGGGTGTCCACCACAAGTCCAAAGACTTGCCCTATAGGTGAGGTAAGCCAAATCATCCATAGTGTATGCATGTATGTACTGATCCTCCAGGTTGGGCGTTGAGTGTTGAGCTAACGACCCACCTTGTAAAAATTAGATGTTACGAAACACCAACATGATAAGGGCTAAATATCAACTTCGATTTAAAACAGCCCTGGGAGTAAGTAAATAAGTAGTAAATACATCTACTAATGAAGCCTTGTTGTAAAGTGTGACCTATTTTTTTTTAAAGACTCCCAGTGGCACAAAAATCAAAAATGCAAATTGATTTTATGTCAAAAACCCTACATCTATATGACATCAACATTTTGAAGCCTCGTTAACAACTAAAATAACAACACAAAACATACTACATTATAAGAAAAGTTTTATTTTCTTAAAGCTTCCAAATTTGTACACTGGATTTTGTATGCCTACAATGACTGTAAACTTCCTTATCAAACATATTTGACCCCAATAATAGATGTCAATTTAACGTCATTTTGACATCAAGGTCTTCAGTCGATGTCAAGTTAATTTAGCATTTTTGACATTGTTTTGACATCAAGGTGCCCGCTTGGCAATTAAAGACATAGCTCATTCAAAAATAAAAAATTAACGCCCATTCACTCTCCCTCATGTCATTTTACCCATTAACCAACATTCCTCAAAATATCTTATTTCAACAAAAGAAATCCAAATAGGTTTTGAAAAAGAGTGAGTAAATTATTTCATTTTGGTTGAACTATCAATTTAAAGCATAAAGAAGAAAAGAAAGTGGCATTGAAAGTATGGGTTTCTATATTTATCTGTAAACACACATTTGCACTTTGATTTATGTTTATAATATGAACAAAACAGAAAAACAGCTTTTGAATGATGCTATGTAATTCTGCAATGAATTCAAAATAAAAGCATGATCAGCAATGTTCATTTCTGTGGCCTCGTTGAGTTTTCGTGTTTTTAATGGAACCTTTTCACAAGCCTGTTATGATGTGTTTAATGGTCATCAGAATCTTAAATACTTAAAAGTTTTTAATATTTTGATTTTCAAAAAATGGTAGAAACATTTATGTGTATTTATGAATGCATTTATATCATCTTTGTGTCAAGTTACAAAAAACAAATTACCGCTTATGTGAGGTGATAGTAATTTTAGGTTATCTCTCCTCTGGCTGCCGTCATCAGTCTCACACAATGTTTTTCCTTTTTTCTGAAAGTCTTGATAACACCATCGTCAAGTATTTATTTTATTATTTCAGCAAATAAAATTGTAAAAAAAAGATATTTGTTGTACTTTCGGATTCACTGCGCTCTAATTTTACCCAACCATGATGCCTTCCGCTACTGAGAAACCCAGAGATTTGAAAAGGGTCTATTGTATTCATATCATTCATTTGTATAAATCCTTTTTAATAATTATGAGCATGAAACATTAGTACCCTCTCTTAAAGCCATAAGACCAACACAAAATAATTAAAGATAAATCAAAATATCCACATAAAAAACTAATTTGGATTTAAAAAAAAAACAAACACATTTTGTTACAATATGTTGATTCATAATATTGACCTCCCTTCGAAATATAAATATTTATATGTTCAGCATTCTACATACTACCAAACAAGTGCTAGTTTTACCAGCAGTTGCACTGGTATTTATAAGACTCATAGTGTAAATGTATGTAAAATTCTACATGTTTATAAATCTAAAAAATACAGAAGAGCACAGTGATTCATCAGGGCCTGAATACTGTGGTCACTATTTTGAAACGTGCAAGAATAAAAATAAAAAAATCATTTAATTAATTCATGACTTTATAAAATAGACGTTATGTACAAATAAAAGAAGTTATGTGCAAATGTATTATCTCGCCAGAGAATGGTTGTTTTCAGTGTAGCGACTCATAGTCCATTAATACATTTTCTGTAAAAAAAAAATTGGTTACACCAATAAGGTCTCACTTGTTGACATTATTTACATCAGGGGTTCCCAAACTTTCCAGCTCGCGACTCCTCAAAAAATGCAATTCCAGTGACTCACGACCTACCTACTATCGTTGTAAATGGTTATAAACATACAAACATTGCACTCAACAGTGCACACACACCAATAGAAACTATAGAAACAAGTTTGCTGACAACACAAGAAAACGTCCAACAGTCTAACAACTATATGTATTTATAGTCAATATTCATTTGTTTAATTTAATATTACTTCAATGGTAAAGGGAATGGTGAGCACAATGTTTACAGCACAAGATTATTCTTGGTTTAAATTTGAAGATGACCACTTAGAGATCGTCCTCTATGCTTTATTTTCTGTGTTATATTTTTGATGTACGTGACTGCTGTAAAAGTGTCAAAGTTAAACATTGTGCTATAAAATCAGTTTGCTGCAACTAACACTATTGCTTTGTCATTAATCTAGCGTTATAACCTCAGGGGCGCAATCCAATACAAAAAGAATTGAAAGGCCGATGACTTTTTATTTGCATGTTGTTGTTTTCAATAACTATTAAATGCTACTTTTATCTTCTGTAGGTTACGGATAAAATATGGTCATTCTAAGAGTTCAATAACATATATGATATTAATGGAAATCACCAAGCAACCCCCCAACATTGTCTCGCGACCTCCACTTTGGGAACCACTGATTTACATAAACAACGAGACATATTGTACAAATATTTCTCAAATAAAAAGTGTATTCGAGCCTGTTCACACCAAGCAAGATAACTATAACAATAACTATACAAAATTAGCAAATACTACTTTAGCACATTACCATCCACATGAGCGGACAATGTTTTTCCGTTTATTATGATGATGTGCTGCAGTTTTGTTGTCTACTCATTTAAATGTTCAATGCTCTTTAAAGCAGGATGAATTCTTCTGTCAGTGTCTTTATTGTTCATTGACTAGAACAAAATAAAGTGCAAGAGTTTCCTACTGAATTGTTGCTCTTTGCCATTATACTGTAATAGTTATGGTGTAGACTGTGCTTTGGATTTGTTTTATGAACATTTTTAGAACTACAGTTCTGGGAAAAATAAGACAAGTTATTGTTTTTAAAAGTTATTAGAGGCAGGTATTAAAGGGTTTAATGGTTTGTGAGTTGGACTAGTAACCCAAAGGTTGCTGGTTCAATTCTCAGTCTCAACAGGAATTGAAGATGGAGGGAGTTTGTGAGTTGGACTAGTAACCCAAGGGTTGCTGGTTCAATTCCCAGTCTGAACAGGAATTGAAGATGGAGGGAGTGTATAAACCGCACTCTCCGTCTTGGATACTCAGCTGAGGTGCCCTTGAGCAAGGCACCTAACCCCTAATTGCTCCCCAGGCTCGGGAAGCAATTGCTACCCACTTCTCTGGGTGTATCCTTACAATGGCTGCGTCCGAAATTGCCTACCACTCAGTAGGTATTGCATTTGATTTTAAATTTGCTATTCAAGCATTAGAAAAGTATGTTCTATACAGTATGAATATAAGTAGCATGAATGGAACTCGGATGTACTACATCCGCCATTTTGTCATCATCACTAATCAACAACTAGTCCAGAAAAGTACCAAAAACATCCTCAAAACAGAACATATGCCTTCAGTGGTTCAATCTCAATATTTTCAAGCTACAAGAATCCTTTTTTGTGCACAAAAAAACAAAAATCACGTTCATGGAGCACTATGTTGAGAAGGGTTTGTCTTTGGTGTTTTTCTGGACTCAGTGCAAGTCGGGAAGCTTGTCTATAGAAGGTGAGTACCCAGCAAGCATTTTTTGTTTTTAAAAGATGTCTAAAAGATGTCTAATAGATGTCTAATAGGAGTCTAAACAGTCATTCTGGCTAAATTAAGGCTTAATTTGAGCTGTCAGTGAAAATCTAATAGACATCTAAGAATAAGCCAAAACTAAACTAGTCATCAAGTAAACAGAAATGAATGACTACACATATAAAGTCTGTCTAATTTGTATATGTGACGACTAGTCTAGTTTCGGGCTATTCTTAGATGTCTATTAGATATTTACTAACAGCCCAAGTTTAGCCTTGTGTTAGCCTAGCTGTCTACATTTAGATGTCTAGTAGACGTCTATTAAACACAAAATTGTTTGCTGGGTAAGCTCTATGATTTCATCTAAAATCTCTTCATTTGTATTCAGATTATAAACGAAGGTCTCAGGAGATTGGAACAACATTAGCGTGAGTAAATAATAAAATTGTTTACATTTTTGTCTGAACAAACACTTGATGTTAGGCTTATTGTTATCTTAGCTTAGTAAATGCTGTAGATTAATCAGGTTGACTAATGTAGTTAATGAATGTCAACAAATCAAACATTACTGTAAAGTGTCACCAAATTACCATTGGATTCGCCCCTTGTTATTGTTATAATCAGAGAAAAGTGGGTCATCTTTTTCCAACAATTAGTCGCTGAAAGTATTCTGGTTATGTCTTAAAAATACAGACTAAGTGCCACAGAGTCATTGTGTGCCCAATGAATGCCTCAAAATGTACGGCTTTCACGTGCGTGCACTTGTGTGGATCTGTAAACACTTTGTATTCCAATCCTATCGTCGAGATCCAATCACAAATGATGTTTCTACTACAGCAGCACTTCCACACTAATGATCCAGATGTGGAGTCAGATGTTCCGTTTCCCATGCTAAATTTTAATTACCCAGTTCTGCCTAATGGCTGCCGTGTTTGCCAAATGCAAACGGCTTGTTTACGTAGGTAGACTGGAGTGGATTTGTCGAAATGTTTGGATTTATCTACCATGTGGGCATCATATCCGGAAACCAAATGCGGCCCAAATGTTTGGAGACCTCGCTGTGGATCTGCTCGATGTTGTAGGTGTTGTCTGGGATGAGCACCTCCTCCATGATGGACAGCTGGCTCAATCGGCCTCCGCACATCTTCACAAACTCCATAAAGCCGCTGCAGGTCACCTCGCATTCACCTAGGCCGATGGCCGTCAGGCTCTTGCAGCGATCTGCGATACGGATCAGCTCCTCGTCCAGCGGCTCCAGCCCGTTCGCACACACCACCAGCTCCACCAGTCGAGGACAGTTGAGTCCGATACGACCCAGCATGTCTTTGCTGACCGCTCGACCGAAATACAGATGTGTGACGGGTGTCTCCTCGCGGAAGAAGGGCTCGAACTCCTCCTCGTACAGGAAGAAGTACATGACGATGTTCACCTGGGGCGAGTGGCGGATGAGGGCATCCCAGCTGCTCTTCTTGATGGTGTGGAACTGGGTCTGGCCCGGGTTCTCGCTCACCACATCGATGCGCAGGTGCTCCAGGTGGACGTGCTTTTCTGAGGACAACGCCAGCAGGAGCTCGTCACTCAGCAGGTGGTAGTTAAGAGCCAGTTCTCGAAGGCCATGACACTGATCGGCCACACATAGGATGCCTGGATAAGCAAGAAGCCAACAGGTGAGCTTGTGTTTGTAAGATCGGGGAAATGATTATAGGACCAAGCTTGGGGAAGTTACTTCAAAAAAGTTTATTACTATTTATTACTAATAATGCAGGTTAACTATGTTTATACATTTAACTGTTAAGGGCTATTAGTTACTAGTTAGTTAAAGTTATTAGTAAGTAAATAATTCATGGTAATTAATAACCTTATCTTTTCTGAATTTGATAGTAATGCAATAATGTGCACCTTTTGTTAAGCTGCTCTGAAACAATAATTATTGTGAGAAGCGTTTTACAAATAAACTTGAATTGAATTAAATAGTTACAATAGGGTTCCCACTCTTTCATGAACAGCAGATTAAAGTACTATATAAAGCACCATAAATCTCGAATCAAGCATCTTTGTAATTCACACCTGCTGCATATGTAGCCCCATGAAAGTCCTTAGTGTAATTAACATTAACATCACTTACACTTTATAATGGCATTAAAATATCAGAGTAATCATGATGTTTTGAACAGGTCATTTTCAAACATTTTGGTTGTTTTAAAAGAGCTTCAAAGAACTTTAAAGGTGCAGTAGGTGATTATCTTCAGAAGCATTTGTTGTTGTGTCAGTTGAAGGTCTCTCCACATTCCAATAGTAATGATTAAAGTAAATGATCTAAATGTATTTGTTTGGATTTTCATATTCTTGGTAAGGCACAAGACTAAAAAAATGTTTGTCCAATTAAAATTTGTCGGTGCGACAATTCTTATAATTCTGTTAAGTAGCTCAAACTGTCTCTCAACAAATGTAGATCTTAACATCTGCGCACCCCTGTTCACGCATATCCGCCGTCTACACATGCACGCATGTTCATGTGCACACGAGAGTGTGACAGAGGTAAAAACAAACGCTCAATCAAAACTTTTTAAAACCCTGAATTAATATTGGAGTTACTTTTGCACACTGGGGGCAGGATGACACCATGGCTGAAGTATTTCTGTTAGACAGGTCATGTTCTGTTTTAAAACTATTAAAAGCACGCAGAGCTGATGTAGATTTTGTTGTTATGAATGAGTTTTATGCAGGAAAGTGTTGTTCAGCCACTGAAATCTGATTCAAGATTGATGTGACAATTTTCAGTTTCATGAGGGACTTTTTACAGCATCGATAATGTAGATTTTTATTTAGTTTAACAGCAACACAGAAGTCAATAGTGCTGTTGCGCCTAGTCTGCTTTACTTAGCTGAAGTTGGTTTTATATTTACAATGGTTTATTTTTAAACAGTGAGAACCTGTGACGCTCTCCCTATATTGTTTACCATGCTACTTTGAATATTTGGTCTGAAACATCGTGTAAGTGTGGCTTAGTAATAAGTGTAGTTCCTGCATGTCACCAGCCAACCACTAAGCATACAGCTTTGCTTATTATGCTCATATTAATGCTCAATCAACACTTACTTTATCACTTAAATATCTAATTACTTCAACTTAAATAAAGTAAGTTCAAAGTACTCATATAGATTAGTTTTTGAACTTAAATGGTTTGTAGCAATCAAAATTGAATTGCCTTACCATATTGAGTTTTACAGAACTTGATTGGTTTTTGTTCTTTTAATTTTTGGGCTTTACTGTGTTGCTTCATTTACTCAAATGGGTTAAGTTCACAGTATAATTAGGATTTTTTTTTATTTTTTTATCTTAAATGGTTTGAGTAACCTTAACTTATTTGGTTATACAGTGTGTACTTACTATACAGATTTTAAGGCAAGTCATTGTAAGTAACTGTATTTAAATTACCTAAAAATTTATCATAATCCCTTACTTATTTTTTTTCAGCAGATAAGTAATTTAATTACAGTAACTATTCAGTCCCTCCAGGTTGTTGTAAGTCTCCTGCAGTTGCAAACACTCCAAAAAAGTGTTTAATTCTTTTAACCAATAGTTCTAGGAACTATGAAATAGTTTCTCAGGTGTGACAATCCTTTATTTAACAAAAGTAAAACTAAATTAAATAAATAAAAAAAAATAAAATAAAATAATTTTTAAAAAGTTAAAAATATGGTTTTCAAAGAAAAAAATGGCAACTGTTGTAAGGCCAATTGTTTTTAGCCAAATCACATCACACAATTCTAAGTATGGGAGTTTATTAAATAAACTTTGATAAAGAAAATAAGTGCTTTAATATATCACAAAATAAAGAAATATGGCAATGCTAAGTTTTTCAACATCGTGAAGATCTAGTGGAATACTAAATATGTATTATAAAAATATAATTAAAAAGATATTCATATGTGAGTTGAAAGCATGCAGAAGTACAATAGTCAACAACCTAACTTTAGCTTATATTAGTTTGTATATAATTGAATTAATGAGCTCCTATTAAGGGTTTTTGAAAACGACCTTCCTTGCAGTGAGTAACCCAGCTGTAAGTGAAGTGAAATATCCAGCTAAGGTTTAAATCTAAAAATGTGCACCATGTTTAAAACTATTGATTCATTTATAAAATAGTCAGAGTGGTTCAAACGAATTGTCTAGGTAACGAATCTTTAGCCGTTTAGGCGTGACGTCGACACAGAACTCAATCCCCGCTCTATTGTTACACGCACAGACATGGGAAAATTGAAACTCCCGCCCACAAACACTGTAGCAAAAAATAAGAGGAAGACAAACACTGTAGCAGATCCTGGTTGTATCATGTTGTGACGACTCTATGGTCTGACGTGTGAGGTAAAGTTAGTGTTATTTTCCTATTACAAAGATCAGACTGTGAAGAGTCAGTGGTTGAAGTTTATTTTTGCAAAAATACCTCGGCATTATAGCCCCAGCCTTGTGCTGTGTTCCCGTCATTTTTCTGACAAGTGCTTTAGCAATCTACACGCTTACAACGGGGGATTCATCAGTCGTTTGTTAAAGGAAAAATCAGAAAAGGCTATTGATGTATGGGACTTTGTCAGCTTGACAGGAACTATACAGTACACAGTTGATGGATCAGTTCCTTCCTCCATTTCACAAGTGAAAGTAACGTAAAAGTGATTAAAGAGGCTGCCTCCTTGTTTTCTCTTGCTTGCAAATAATGTATTTAATAGTGTTTTGTTACTTGTAATGTATTGTACAGTACATTTGGTTAACTCTTTATATTCTCATATCGTGTCTAAAACTATGTTGAAAACGCGATGCGTGACGCTTTCTTTACCGATGTAAATGCGTTTATGAGCTTGCAATCCTCTGCCATTTGTCGTTGCTAAGGCCACCGTCAGCTGTTCCTCCACATGTGGCGGTCAATTTTCAAAATAGTTCAGCTTTTGCCACTGTGTGGATTAATACTGACACTGTGTGTCATGGTTAAGAATAGAGTAATATGCTGATGTTAAACTGCATTGCTTTACGGCACTCCTGCATTGGGCTCACACATACACTCTGCACTCTGACTACTTCAACAATGTCTGTCTTACTATGAAGCAGTCGACTAATCACAACAGACTGGGTCTTCGGACCAATCAGCGCAAATTAGCAGGGAGGGTTTGGGAACGAATGAATCACTGAATGAATCATATGGTAGTCATTGAGATAATTAGGTAAAAATAAATGCATATTTCAAGACAATGAAAGTGTTTTTGATGTGTATCAGCCTGTTGTTGGAGACCCCCAAAACCAAAATATGACCTTTTTTAATGCATAACAGGGGCTCTTTAAGTTAATAAAATCATGCACAAGACTAGGAAGAGGTATTTAAAAAGGCAGATTTCTTGTAGACTTGAAAGCAGTGTATATTCCACCCTATTAGATGTGTTATGACTCAGACGGTGACGTACTGACCTGCAGGAGAAACATGCGGACAGCTACTCATCTTCAGCAGCTTGAGCGTGTCACTGTTGTTGGCGACCAGTACCTTCAGGGACGGGTCATCAACCGGTGTGTCATCAATTTTTATAGAGGAAAGAGACTTGGAATTCACAAACACCACCGTCAGGGCCGAGACAAAGTGTGACTGAGAACAGACCAGACAAGACAGGCAAAGTCAGTGCCGCTGGCTTCTCATAGCCTTTACACCAGGCATTATTTCATTATTTCATTGAGGTCACCCTGCTGTGCTGCTATTTGTGTTGTAGGCATGCTGGTACATTGTCTTGACCTATAAACACAACCCTAATAATAACATGTCTTTATAAAAACAATACACGGTATACAGTATATAATAGTATTTATTTGGAAACAAAGTCATGAAGAATTCTCAACCAAACTACAATCATACAGTTCGATGTAAATCGTGTCGATCTATTATTGAAGACAAAATGATTAGCACTCCTATGAATTTTCTATTCTTTTTCAAATATTTCCCAAGTGATGTTTAACAGAGGAAGGAACATTTTTACAGTATTTCCTATTGTATTTTTATGGAGAAAATCACACTCAGGATCCTTGGCTTTTACAGAATAATTACATAAGGAAATATATATTTGTATACGATAAACTATACATCCGTTTTATCATTTTCTTCTCAGCTTTGTATTTATACTGATGTTCTGGAAATTTTGTATTCTTTTTTAACCAATTAACTAAACAAATATGCAACTACACCATCATTTATCTTATGAATAAAACAACTGAATCACTAAAATTCTGACCTAAATTCAACATAAAAGGATTCTGGATATTGGCTCATAATTTAGAGAGAGAATACTGCCATCTGCAGGTTACAGAATAAACGTTTAAAATTACTGTTAAAAAAGAAGTTGTAGTTTCCACATATATCCAGCAGGGGTCTGTGAAGACCCATTGAGTGAATAATATTCTATGTAATCTATAGAAATTTAACTCGAGTCATACTCTGAGCATTTAAATGTAATAGACATTAATTATAATTCCTTGATATTTGTAATTGTTATATGTAATCCAAATAATTTCTAATAATTCATGTATATATTACTTTTGTTATGTCATTTGATGTACTTATTAAGAGTAAGCAGAGTTTATTGACACAACTTACTGTTGTTAAACATGATTATTATTTTAAATATAAAAGGGCATTTAGTTGAAGACAAAATTATTAGTCTTTCTGTTAAATTGTAAATATTGTAAAATATTTCAAATATTTTAATTGCTGATTTTGATTGTTTTTTCAACACATTTTTAAACAATAGTTTCAAAAACTAATTTGTAATAACTAATGTCTTTTGTCTTTGCCATGATAACAGTACATAACATTTTATTAGTTATTTAGAAGAAGGCATGGGCCGGTATGAGATTCTGACAGTATGATAACCTTGGATAAAAATATCACGGTTTCACGGTATTGTGATTACTGCTCTAAAATAAGTTTTTTTTTTTACTTGTCAGGTTAAAAACAAAAAAATTTCCCTCATTGAACACACTATATATTTTTTTTAGAAACCGTTAAAATATTTTGACAGTAAACATGTGCCATCAAAATAGAGTATTTTTTATTTGCTTTAAATCAAAAAACAAGAAAACAAATGAGCGTGAAACATGACCAATCATAGAAAAGGATTTTCTTTTCTGCCTGGAGAAAGAAAACGCAGATGCAAGAAACTGGCAGCTACAAGGTGTGTGCAAATGCTCTTAGATTTCTAAAAAATACTTCATATTCCTGGTTTAATCAATAAAATAAATACAAATAATAAGTAAATAACACTAAATTTGTGCCTGTGCATCACTTAACAATGCGCGGTTAAAGGCTAAAAAAAACTAAATTAAGTAGTTGTTAAAAAAACAAACAAACAAAAAAAAATTTACATATACCGTAGAAACGGTATGACAGAATTTGTTTTTTTAAAAACCTCAACCTTTCCAAACCGCGGTAAACCTTGAAACCGGTGATCACCCTGTGGTTTTTTAGAAGATAGTTGTTACGATCACCAGCGATTAAGGAGTTGCAGATCACTGGTATACACACAGTTCACTAAAAAAACTACAAATTCGCCAATATATGGATTAAAACTCCTGTCATGCATCGCTTACTCACACCGGTTCCTCATTCCGTTGATTACACACACACTCACACAGACACTGAAGCTCTTCACTTATTCGTTACCCAGACTATATAGAGAGTTCTCTCACACACGTGAGTCCTGTAAACTGTTTTGTGAACATTACGACACGTTTTCTTTTCCTTTCCTTGCCGTGTTTTTGACCCTCACCTTGTTTGTTTGTTTGTTTGTTTATGACCATTCACCTGTGTATTTGACTACAACTCTGGATTTTCCTGCATACTAGTGGTGGGCAAAGCGAGGCTTTATGAAACTGAAACAGTTGAAGCAGATGTGTCGAAGCTTTGAAACGTTTTTGAAACCTGTCTCTACAGTGACACCTAGTGGTCATTTTGTAATGTATTGCTCTAAAACAGCTTCATTAAAGAAACAGTTAAGCAAATTGAGGTATTAAACCCGACGTTGTAGACTTGATGCTTCAAGTGATTTAGTGGAGTTCATGACTAGCATGCATAGATAATGGGTTCGAACTCAGGGTGATGCAGCTATAGATGTTAGGTTTGAAATGCTTTGTTCTTGTGATGTGTTTTGTTTTAACATTGGTCTGACATCCGAACGAACACTTTAAGAATAAATTTGACATGTTTTTGTCTTAAAACGAGTTGGAGAAAACGAGTTGTTGATAGATCACATTCAGTTGAGGCTGGAAGTCAACAAAATTGATGTATATTATTGATTAAATTTCCCATTTATTGTATTTTATTAATGTCTTCCCCAACCCTAAACCCAACCATCACAGTACTGTAAAAATATGAATTATTATTATACAGTGTTGCAAAAATGATGCTATATTGATAGCGTATCCGCAGCTACATCCTATCTAGACTCCACCATAAAACAGTAACATTATTAAAATACATGAAATCATAATTTCGCCATATTTGTCGGGATTCGAAAAATCAATTTGGAGCACAATAACTTTGTGCACACGCACGGCCCACTAGGCCAGGGGTGTCCAAACTCGGTCCTGGATGGCAGGTGTCCTGCACAGTTTAGCTCCAACTTCCTTTAACACACCTGCCTTGGAAGTTTTTAGTATACCTAGAAAGAGCTTGATTAGCTGTTTCAGGTGTGTTTAACTGGGGTTGGAACTAAAATATGCAGGACACTGGCCCCCCAGGACCAAGTCTGGACACCCCTGCACTAGGCAATATGAGACCTATGAGACCTATAATATTCTGACCCTGTCAGTCAAATGAAGATTCGCCAGATCTCGAAACGCTTCTGGAATGATTAATGCTTTGAATCGCTTTAGTCACGTGATCAGCTGTTTCGAGAAACTTTAGTTACATGACCTGTGGTGTTTCAAATCACCTTAGATACGTGGCCTGGGTGTTTCGGATCATGCTTTGGTGCTGTGTTTTGAAACACTTGGGCTTCGGGATCTTGACACGGTGTCAATACGTCAGTTTCACGTCAGCCATCCCTACTACATACATCTGTTTGCTCCTTATTGTGACCGTTGCTTGCCTGACCATCCTCAGTAAACATGCATTTGAATCTGCACCTCCCTTGTCAGCAGGTTTACTTCCACATTACAATACTAGTATTTAGCTGAAGGTGCCATTTTTAAAGGATTAATTAGGTTAATTAGTCTTTGGAGAACAATGATCTATACAATAGAGTATGTTCTGTAGCCAATCAAAACTAATCATTTCTAAATTGGGAAAAAATATTGACCTCAGTAGTTTTTACATTAAAAAAAACTAAAAAGAATAAAAATTATTTATGCTGCTTCTTCAAGAAGCCACTTATTTAAAATGAGCTGAATCAACACAATTCTTAAGTTTTTTTGGAGAACAACCTAATTGTTTGATGTTCAATCCACTTAACTTTGTAAAATAATTAAGTAAATTTAATTTGTGTTGGGACAACATCATGTAAATGTGTGAAACTCAGCAGTTTTCACAGAATAGTAAATATTATGAAAACATTTCCTTAATCTGTTAAACATCAACTGGGAATTATATAAAAATAAAAGAATGCAAATTTCAAGCAGAGCTATTAGATCTCAGTCTTGAAATATATTATCATTAAAAATCCATTTTCATGTGGAAAATATGACAATGCACTTCTGAAGCCCGATTGTTAGCCTCTGTTCATCCTGTTGATTTATTATTTCTTCATCAGGATGTTTTGAGGAGCCATTTCCTCTCTGGAGAAAATGGCCCTGACCTCGACAAAGTACACTAGACGAGAGTGAAATGACGACTGAAAGATAATCAAGCCTCCAGGTAAGGGCACTGACTCATCCAGATCTTCCTGGCTGTTGTTTACTGTGACGCCAGTAAGTTAAAAGAAGCACACAAACAACAGATCCAGAGCTGCAACTGACATTACAGTGGCATTATAAATCCTCTAAAATCCCACTATTAAGTCAGTGCCTCACAGGACTAAGGACACACATTTTTTTTTTTTTTTTGTAGTTGGTGTTTTTAAATCTTTTGTGACTAGTATACGCTACAACGAGCCTCAACTTGTCATTTTCAATACTGGTTTTACTGCAGTGTTTCAGGCTGTCAGGGTTTTGTGGAGGGTGAAATTACACAAGTTTGACAGAAGCGACATTGTAATATTTACTAGCGACTGGGTTTAAAACAGATGTTTGATGTCATATTCAACTACAAGCAAACGCTGTATGGTAAAGAGTGAATGTGTTTCTGTTTCACCTGAGATACGTCCATGAAACTCGGCCGCGCTGTGGAAATCAGACCCAGTGTCTTAATGGTGCAGTTCACCAGCTGAGAGAGAATGTTACAGGCTGCTTCTGCAGATTCTGTGCAGCTGTCAACCTGAAAAAAAAAAACAACAACAACATATACATATATTTTTTATTATTATATATAAAAACTATTGAGTATACCTGCTTCAGGTCTAACAGATACATATACGACTGTCAACAGCTCAAAAAATGTGTTTTGGTGTTTCGTGACCCTTTAAGGCAGGGGTGTCCAAACTTTTTAGGCCGAGGGCCAGATGCAAAAAAAACAACGTTGTCGCGGGCCAAATTTTACATACATCCCACAGACACGCATATATATATATATATATATATATATATATATATATATATATATATATATATATATATATACAGTTGAAGTCAGAATGGTTAGCCCCCCTAAATTGTTAGCCCCCGTTTATTTTTTCCCCAATTTCTGTTTAACGGAGAGAAGATTTTTTTCCACACATTTCTTCACATATTAGTTTTAGTAACTCATTTCTAATAACTGATTTATTTTATCTTTGCCATGATGACAGTAAATAATATTTGACTAGATATTTTTAAGACACTTCTATACAGCTTAAAGTGACATTTAAAGGCTTAACTAGGTTAATCAAGTTAACTAGTCAAGTTAAGGTAATTAGGCAAGTTATTTTATTACAATGGTTTGTTCTGAAGACTTAAGGGGCTAATAATTTTGACCTTAAATGGTTCATAAAAAAATTAAAACCACTTTTATTCTAGCCGAAATACAACAAATAAGTCTTTCTCCAGAAGAAAAAATATTATCAGACATACTGTGAAAATGTTCTTGCTCTGTTAAACATCATTTGGGAAATATTTAAAAAAGAAGAAATAAATCAAAAAGGGGCTAATAATTCAGACTTCAACTGTGTGTATATAGACAGACAGACAGACAGACAGACAGACAGACAGACAGACAGACAGACAGACAGACAGACAGACAGACAGACAGACAGACAGACAGATAGATAGATAGATAGATAGATAGATAGATAGATAGATAGATAGATAGATAGATAGATAGATAGATAGATAGATAGATAGATAGATAGACCATAACAAGAACTGCTGCTTAATTGAATGCATGTAATAGCGACACCCGGTGGTTATTTATTGAATTACGTTCATTTTTGTATAGCGGGCCAGATTCTATTGATATTTATAAAAAGCCTCGCGGGCCGCCACAAAACTGACTGCGGGCCGCAGATGGCCCACGGGCCGTAGTTTGGACACGCCTGCTTTAAGGGCTATATGTGGATTTGAGAAACACTTGGTATTAGCGACACCTGTGGTCATTGTGTGTACTGCGGCTAGTAATGTACGTGCAGGTCCCTAAACGCACATATTAATGTAATGTGCAAGAGACTGAATATGATTCAAGGACCTGATATACTCACGACAACATTCTTTTTATATACTATGATTGTACAAAAAGAAATACTTTTGTAGCAATTAAAAAAACATCAACCCATAAAGGTTAATCCTCAAGTGAGGGACTTCCTTTATAAAATATCTAGAATATCTATCCCTCAAACTATCCTTCTATTTTACTCCTTTTTCAAGATTTGATATGTTGTTTGTGTCTGTAAAGTTTCAGCTCAAAACACCTGTCAGGTTTTTTTATTATACCTTTCAGAGGTTTGTAATTTACAGCTCTGAGCATGGTAACTATTTTTGTTGCTTGTCCGTTTAAAGGGTCATGACACCCCACACTTTCGTTTCAGGTCTACCACAGAATTTTTTAAAAAGATGCATGATAATGGGCGTGGAGCTCTGCGAGCAAAGGGCAGGGGTGGGCGTGGCCAGCAGGGGAAAAGGAGGGGAGCGAACAACTGTTGTTGTCGGCTAGCTCACAAAATGAGACACAAACCGTGAGGAGACGCATGACTTTATAGTTTACAAAGTTAAAATGCAAAGAAATAAATATTTGATTTAATGCCCTGCTACATTTGTTATTCGTAATTTTATATACATATAACCACAATTTATATCATTATAAAGAAAATCTTGTTCATATAAACACTATAAATGAGGACTTTTCCCTCAATCCCCGGGTCTGAATGCAGACTTAGTGCAGCAGGTCTCCTGCTCAGTCTATTTCAACCATTAGCCCTGCTGGTAATTTAGAGAATTTAGGTGAAAACAGCAGCACAGCGATGTGTCTAAATGTGAACAAACTCCTGATAAAAGACAACGTCCACCATTCTCCAATTGTCGTACTGCTCTCCCAACAAAAAAGCTTGCTGGACACAAACAGCTTTGCTGTATCCGCCCTGACAGGATCGATATGATTATATGCGCTACTACGGAGACATGTTACTAAAAGGCTGTCAATCAATTCGGTGGGCGGGGAAACCACACTCCTATGTCAGGTTGCGGTGGGCTTTAAAATGGGAGGGATTTGGATCATATTTTACCATCAGTAAATTAAAAAAAAAGATACTTATTGTGTTTGTCACACACGCTTCTGTTCAAACAGCTTACAAAAGATGATTTTCATCATAGGTGCCCTTTAATACATTTTTGGAATATTTATTAACTTAAACATTATTTAATCATGTAATTTCTACTATAACTATTATTATACTTGTGTAGCACCCCCTACACTCTCAAGAGTTTCACACCTTCTAAGTTCTATTAGGACGGAGCACCGGGTTCTGGTAATAAGATTGTCACACTGTTAATAAATGTATTATTCCCCTTTAGTATTAACTTGACTTAGAATTAAATTAACCGCCCTAATTATATTTTAAGTAAAGGTTATCATAATACTTATACTTGCAGTATAATGCAGAAAATGACTTCCTGTATGTATAAAAATACTGAGTATTTATTAACAGATAATAGGAATAAATATGTAAACATAGACCAATAAATAGAGAAAGATGGCAATAAATAAAAATAAATGAATAAATAAATAAATAAAAGCAAAACTATGCAATACTTATTACAGAATCACTTTTGAAAATCTTAAAAGTAAAAAAAACTGTCAAATGTGTCACTGTGCTATTTTTACTGTATATTTCACCAATTAAAATTCAAATGTAAACAGCCGTGCAGGTTATGCAGAAATGTTGTGCACCAGTGAAAATATACTAAACCATGTGGTAAACGCCTTCAAAAAGATCAATAAAATACCAATAAACTATTAAAATGTTTTACTTCTATAAATAAAGGGCTAGTCCAGAGTGTACTTTAAAGGAAAGCGATGTGTGCTCATGCTTCATCGTGTGTGTGTGTGTGTGTGTGTGTGTGTGTGTGTGCGTGTGTGTGTGTGTGTGTGGTCCTTTACTGACAGCCGCATATGTGAATCTTGTCTGAAAATATGGTGCAAAGTCCTACATGAAGGTGTTTACTGATCGCTGTGTTTACTTCAATAATGCCACTAATATATGCATACTCCACATCTTAATTCCATTTCTGTTTAGTCCAGTTATGACTTTAGTTGGATTAAGGTGACAAAAATCGCTGTTTCGAGCTTATGTAGGCCTACATTTCAAAATTCCTGTTTAACTGAATAAACAGTTAGTAAACACAAGAACATCTTATTGAACATCATTTATTTTCATCACCAATTATCATAGTAGAACAGTTTCTCAAGCAGTTTGTGTTGCATTTTGGAAACAGGAGATGAGCCCCTGGTCTAATGCGCCACCTGGCTTGAGAAACCCATTCTCAAAAACGTATTATTTGGGTAGCACACATATTCTGAACGCCTTCGGCAGAATTCATATGAGCCATTTTAATCTAGATTAATAATAAATGTATTTACATTCCTCCTAATATTAACAATGGCGTGCTCGATTCATGCAATTAGTTTGGGCTGGGGTGTATCCGGCAAAACCATAGAGTAAAAACAGACGGCAAAATGGGAAAATGTAAGTTTGCGCACTCCTGATTAAAGAAAGACGAGTTTAAACAATGGCTGAAATCTGTCGCTGAAAAGAACCGCATAATTTATTACTTTTAGCTTTGTTTCTTCCAAGCTTATCTGAGTTCTGTTTCATGGTTGTGCTCCATTGATTTATTTAACTACAACTGTTTATTAACAAATATTTTTTAAGTTAAAGGTTTAATACTGATTAGAACTTTACGTGGCAATGAGGTCTTTAAAATATTCCGAGAAGGTCTTTAATAAGTTTTAAAAAGGTATTGAAAGTACCTTTAGGATTCCTGCATACACCCTGTATTTGGATAAAGGTGCCAAATGTGTGTAACTGCTATAAGAGTCTGGCTCTTTCTTAGATAGCCCTACCTTGAAGCTAACATACTGCAAATGCTGAGCGTGTCTCTTGATGATCTGCTGGATCAAATCCGGATGTGTGGACCTTAGGTAAGATGTAGCCGGCTGGTTCAGCTCGAACTCAAACCTTCTCCAGAGATCTGGGATGTGAAAGACTTCGTTCCAGCGGCGGCACACAGAAGACGCTCGAGCCCGGTCCACCAGAGACAGATACTGGAATATGTGCAGGACCACATGGTGCGGCAGGTTTCCCCATGTCTCCTCTGTGGCGTTCTGAAAATTGGTGGAGCCTGTCTGGACATACACTGGTGTGGTGCTTCTGTGTCTCTTGTTTCTGCCCTCTGATGGGGTGAAGCTCTGACACTTTGATCGTCCCCTTTTCATCCTGTTTAGTGGAAAAACAACAGGATTCAGAAACTAACTGAAAAGCATTGGGATATGTGATGTTATGTGATGACATTCATTTAGAGTGCACATTCATTTAGAGTGCACACTACATAAAATGAAGCTGAACCCATAAGGAATTAATTCTTACTATACCAAGGTACAAAATATTGAAATGGTCATTTTTTAGGTGAAACATTGAAGGCAAAAGTGTAGTTTTTCCAGCCTAATCACTTTTTAATCACAGTTTAACTGTTTATAATGTGCTTAAATTTAAGAGCTTATTTTATCAATTTGTGTCTGTACATTTTAATTACAATATAATTTTAAAAGGTTTGCATTCTTTTATAAATTATTAAGTGCTAAAAAGAGAGTCCACTCTATAAAGTACTAAACAAGAATTTTAAATCTGACTACTTATAATGTTCAGATTTTTGTGCAATCAATGTTTGCAAATTAGCATGTTTAATGAAATAATGCCTTATGTGGATATTCAAACCTAACATTTTAGAAACCTTGAAAAATCTGAATTCTTAATGCAAACAACCAACTGGGGAAGTATTGCAATAACTTTTATTTTTTCTTCTTAATTACTTGCAGTGCCTTCTCCAAAAGTGACAGCTGATTTGTTACAGTCCTCTAAAGGGACATGAGGTGAGGGTGCAATGTTGATCAGTTAACAATCAACAAGCCAGATTTTCAACCACTATTTTTCTACTCTGTTCAAAAGTCTGGGATCAAAGGGATTTTTTAAATAATTAGATGCGAATATTAATCAAGAGCACATTAAACTGATGTAAAATATCAGTAAATGCATTTATAATTTTGCATAACATTTCTCACACACTGACTTTTCTTTGGTTTGTTCCCTCATTATCAGGGGTTGTCACAGTGGAATGAACCCCCAATTACTGCCATATGTTTTATTCAGCGGATGCCATTCCATCTACTCACAGCAAATGTGACAGGATACAAAATAATATACAGCGGGTACGGAAAGTATTCAAACCCCTTAAATTTTTCATTTGCTAAAATCATCACACAAATTATTTTTTTCCTTAATAATGTACACACAGCAACCCATATTGACAGAAAAACACAGAAATGTTGACATTTTTGCAGAATCAATAAAAAAGATAAACTGAAATATCACATGGTTCTAAGTATTCAGACCCTTTGCTCAGTATTAAGTAGAAGTCTTTTTGGGAAAGATGCAACAACTTTTTCACACCTGGGTTTGGCGATCCTCTGTCATTCCTCCTTGCAGATCCTCCCCAGTTCTGTCAGGTCGGATGGTAAACGTTGGTGGACAGCTATTTTTGGTCTCTCCAGAGATGCTCAATAGGGCTTAAGTCAGGGCTCTGGCTGGGCCATTCAAAAACAGTCACAGAGTTGTTGTGAAGCCACTCCTTCATTATTTTATCTGTTTGCTTAGGCCAGTCTGAGGTCCTGAGCCTCTCTGGAGAAGGTTTTCATCTGGTCAGGGGTGTCCACACTTGGTCCTAGAGGGCCAGTGTCCTGGAGAGTTCAGCTCCAACCCTAATCACACCTGAACAAGCTAATCAAGCTCTTACTAGGTATACTAGAAACTTCCTGGCAAGTGTGTTGAAGCAAGTTGGAGCTAAAGTCAGCAGGACACCGGCCCTCCAGGTCCGACTTTGGACCCCGTGATTTAGGATATCCCTGTACTTGGCCGAATTCATCTTTTTCTTGATTGCAACCAGTCCTCCTGTCCCTGCAGCTGAAAAACACCCAAAAAGCATGGTGCTGCCACCACCACGCTTCACTGTTGAGACTTTGGGCTCTTCTTTACCTCTCTCACTAAAGCTCTTCCCCGCGATAACTCAGTTTGGCTGGACGGCCAGCTATATGAAGGATTCTGGTCATCCCAAACGTTTTTCATTTAAGTATTATGGAGGCCACTGTGCTTTTAGGAACCCTAAGTGCAGTATACATTTTTTGTTAGCTTGGCCAGATCTGTGCCTTGCCACAATTCTGTCTCTGAGCTCTTTTGGTAGTTCCTTTGACCTCATAATTCTCAATTGCTCTGACATGCATTGTGAGCTGTAACGCCTGTTTCACACCGCAAGCGTCAGCGGCGCGTGAGCAGAGCGTGAGCAGCGCGTGTGTTTTCGGCGTCCATGTTAACAGATTAGAGCTTTCATACCGCACGCAGCAGCAGCGCGTCAGTGCGAGGCGTGAGCGTCGCCGAAGCAGCAGTGCAGCGATAGTTTCGGCGCTGGGTCTATTTTTGACGCGCTGCTCACGCTCAATTAAAGTGACAGTGCATTGATAATGACCAAAACACATTGAATGACAGTAAAAAGTAGCAATTTTACCCAATAAATGCATTAATAATGTCAAATGGTTTATATATAGTCATTCAAATGAACTTAAAACGATTAAAAACGGCAACAAACATTTATTTAGGCCCGAACTACAAAACCGAATGTAAAACAATTTTACTATAAGTTTTGCTTAAGTTGCACACTAGTGTTGTAGGAGAGGGGAAATGGAATATTTACGGGATTTGTAGTCCATAGCGAAGTGTATTGTGGGTAGTGTAGTGCGACACGCATGCTGGATTATGTGAGCTCGCTGTGTTCTGTGCAGCTATAAGCAGAGGAAGAAAGTTTTAATCGGCTTTGTTTTATGTTCACTCGAATTATTCCTACCGGGAGCTGTTTGCACTGTGAATCTGACAACACGAAAATAAGTAAAAGAATGGCATGCATTAATTACTTTTGTCCGTCTCATCATCTGCACAAGCATGAATTAACGAGCTGCTATTCTGCCGCTGGACATCACTGAAGCGGAGAAAGTAACACTAGTTTGATCATGTATAAATATCATTATAACTATATTGTATAAATATGATTATAACTAGGTCTACAGCAACCTGATAATCAAAAAACAAATGACATGATATCACAGGCGATTGTCTTCTGACTGTAGACACTTCTCATATAAGTTAGCTTTAGAAGCATACAGTACTATTTGATCTATAAAATTTGTAAAATAAACATTTGCAGGTTAATGAAACAGCATAGGAGGGGCCTTAGTGCAGATGAAAAGTTTAAAAAGTGTATTTGTATATAGAGAGACATGGGTAACTAGATAGAATAGACAGAGATAGGTTGATCTCAGCAGCAGCTGCCGAAGAGCTGCGCGCTGCAGACGCAGCTGGTGTGAAAGGCAAACGCCTGCGTGCTGCTACTGCTCGACATACGCGCTGCTCACGCTCTGCTCACGCGCCGCTGATGCTTGCGGTGTGAAACAGGCGTAAGTCCAATCAGTATAATCAAACACAGCTGGACTGAAATGAAGGTGTGGAACCATCTCAAGGATGATCAGAGGAAATGGACAGGACCTATGAGTGTAAGCAAAGGGTCGAAATACTTAGGACCAAGTGATATTTCAGTTTTTCTTTTTAATCAATCTGCTAAAGTGTCAACAATTCTGTGTTTTTCTATCAATATGGGGTGCTGTGTGTATATTAATATAGAAAAAGAAGCTTAAATGATTTTAGCAAAACCCGGATAGAAGCATCCTCTTTTATAGTTACACTGACAGTGTCCAGCTGTGCTACAGTAATTCCAGTGGTTATGAATTACATAACAATTTAACTATCCTTTCTTTTTTTTACAAACATGCAATGATTTCAAATGTTTTGAACTTGTAAAACTCATTCTTGAGTTGCAGCTGATCGGAGATAGTTGGGACAGATCTTTTAATAATAGTTTTTGCAAAACCTGCCTTGTGACTGTAATTATACATGTTAATATGGCCACACTAATACACGACTTTCAAACATTTTGATAGGTGGGGAAAACCCCACTACTACATGACACTGGGGTGGGCCTAAAAATTGCTGCGATTTTTATTTTAACAACAGGAAGTAAAAAAAATAAAAACTTGTTGTGTTTATATAACTCAAATATGACTGTGGACACACTATACTGTACCTACACACAGTTCTGTCCATACATCTTCCAAAAGTTGATTTTGCATCATAGGTGCAGTATAATGTAACAATGTTTGTATATCAGTGTTAGAAACCTAAAAATAATTTTTAAAAAAAACATTTTTGTAGTACATTTTAAGAGTATGATTTTGCAATTTATTTTTTAGAACTTTGTATGCTTTAAATTGTGAAAGGGTGAATTAAGACCCACCGTTAGAAGGTGGTTCTTAATTATAATTAAGTATAGATATTTTAATATCTATACATTTTGAATTGATAAAATGTATTATATTCAAAATGTTGCTGATTCAAAAAAATATGGAAAAGATCAAAATTTCACAATCTTGGAGTTCATGTAGCTGAAGGTAATATATAAATAAAGTTAATAAGAAATTTCCAAACTCTAGATAATTTTTTCAAATGTATTAAGTTATCAATAACTTATTACAATGTATATCAAAAGTTTCAGTACAATATAAACTCATATATAATACTAACATAAAATAATATGACAGACAGACAGACAGACAGACAGACAGACAGACAGACAGACAGACAGACAGACAGACAGACAGACAGACAGACAGACAGACAGACAGACAGATAGATAGATAGATAGATAGATAGATAGATAGATAGATAGATAGATAGATAGATAGATAGATAGATAGATAGATAGATAGATAGATAACTAAACAGTACTAGCACGCACTCTATCGATCTATCAAGCTATACATACTGAAATGTTAGTGTCATAACCAAACAATATACACATTTATGGTGAGTATGACATATTGGACAATTTCTGAGCAATGTTTTCTGTCTGTATATCCAATATAGGCTTTTACTGTATGTCGGCCAAACCTCACACAAACAGTCCCAATGATTTTTTCAAAACAATATTCTGTACAAAGCATGGCTATTAGCAGTCGACTGCGAATTTCCTACTTACTTGTTCCAACCTTCTGCGTCGACATAGAAAGGCATACCATCCCCGAACGCGCTGAATCTGATTTGGGTGAAGTTTTACCTACAACAAAAACACAACCAGTGACAGTGAGTGTCTCTCTGTTGCTCAGCAGCGTCTCATTATAAAGAGAGTCCCTTCAGCAGCTCCACTGCGCTGCACGGGGAGCGCGCGGGCACGTGAGCTGCAGAAAACATGTATCAAACTCGTCAGAGCGCGCGCTTCAAACGCATGTCATTTCAGCTCAAATCTTAAATCAAGATGGGTAATTTTTCTAATAACTAATTTAGAAATGCTTTTAAACTAGTCACTGTTTTCATGCGTATGCACTGTTATTCCTAGGGGTTTTAATGTGATCATAATTTCTTTATAGAATATTTATAGATCGCTTATCAACTTACATAATAATTAGGATATTGTAAGTTTTGCTGGGTTTCCTGAGTCAGTTAATAAATAATCTTCAATGGAGTGTAACACACACGAACGCGCACGTATCGCACGAAAGTAGGTCAGTGTGTCAAAGAGAAACGTCACATGCGTTAAGCCTCTCACGAGCTCAGTATAATGAGAATCTGGCGCAGTTGACAAGGTAAATAAGGCGTCCAGTCGCTCGTCTTTGTGTTTACTGGCTGTCTTCAGTATTCGAGTATTCTCATATAACTTGTCCTTCTGTTTTGGTTCTCTTGGCTGAAGTACGGTAACATGAGAACCTGTTTAACGTAAATGTTTCTATGCTATTAGAGTAAAATCCCCAGCTAGTCGTTTTGAATATAAATCAGCGTAATAGTTAGGTTAGCTTAGCAGTAGTGTATAGTAAAACATTAAAAGTAAAATAGTATTTACATTAATACAGTCGGGAAAAAAAATAAGTAAATAAATAAATAATAGAACATCTGCTTAATATATTGATTTTTGGCGTAAAATAATTTTGACTCAATGTGTTTTTGGCTATTCCTACAGAAATACCCATGAAAGTCACACACACATAAAAGGATTGGACAATAAAACTGAAATGCCTGGTTTTAAACCACAATAATTCATTAGATGGTGTAAGGCCTCCTTTTGCAACAATACAGCATCAGTTCACACAGTGGCCAGAGGGATTTTGGTCATTTTTCTTGCAGAATAGTGGCCAGGTCACTACGTGATGCTGGAGGAGGAAAACATATCCTGACTTCTCCAAAACACCCAAAACTGGCTCAGTAATATTTAGATCTGGTGACTGTGCACATTTTATGTTCATCAAACTACTCTGTCACCAATGTTGTTGCTTGTTTGGCGGAATTATCATCCTGATACACTGTCATTGGGATACAATGTTTGAGCAACTGGGTGCACATAGTTGTCCAGATTGGTTCCGTAGTCCTTAGCAGTGACACGCCCATCTAGCCCAACTATTGGGCCTATATAGGGAATGTCATGATATTGCAACCCAAACCACCACTGATCCACCCCCATGCTTCACTCTGGGCATGCAACCGTCTGGGTGGTACGATTTTTGTGGCTGCACACTGTAACTCTCCATGATTTTCAAAAGACAGTGAAGGTTGACTAATCAGAAAACAATACATGTTTCACACTATCCACAGCCCAAGATTTTCAAATGACTTCGAAATGCCACTGGCACCATTGCAACCAACATTTGGCATTGGCACAAGTGACCAAAGATTTGACTATTGCGGCCTGGCCATGTGTATTTACCCTGTGTAGCTCCCGACAGACAGTTTTGGTGGAAACAGGAGAGTTAAGGAGCCCATTTCATTCTGCAGTGAGTTGAGCAGCTGAAAATCTGGGTTAGTACCTGGGCATTCCTTTCAGACTGATCCTCTTGCATCCACAATTACTCATGCCAGATGTGGTTCATCCTTCTTGGTGGTGTGCTGACATTACCCTGCATACTGTGGCTCTTGATATATCACAAAGTCTTGCTGTCTTGGTCACACATGCCCTATTGAGGCACACACACACGACAATTTGTCCTCCTTTGAACTCTGATATATTCCTCATAATGGTAATTCCACACTCTGCTCCTACTGGTGGAATATGCAGCCAGCGAAGCCAGTTTCAGTTTCATTGTCTAACCCCTGCATGCACTGTATATATAAGCAGAATGAAAATGAATATATATATCTAACAAACAGCGACCTTCTTGCTGTGAGGCAATAGTGCTAACCAGCGAGCCACCGTGCCTCCTACACAGTTGTGTAAAAAGTGTTTGCCCCATTACTGATTTCCTATGTTTTGCACATTTGTCATATTTTAATGTTTCATTAAAATAATTTTAAAAATAGATAACAAAAGTAAACACATCATGAAGTTTTGAAGTTAAGGTTTTTATTATTAAGGAAAAACATGATATTAAATTACATAACCCTGTATGTAAAAGTGTTTGCCTCCCAAACCTAATAGCTGGCTGTGCTACCCTTAGCAGCAACAACTGTAATCAAACATTTTCGATTAGCAATGCGTCTATTACAGCAATGTGAAGGAATTTTGGCCCACTCATCTTTGCAGAATTGTTGTAATTCAGCCACATTGAAAGGTTTTCAAGCATGAACCCCCTTTTTTTTAGAGGAGGTGCTCGCTGCAGAGCCACTTGAGTGGACCTCATCTCCAATAAGATGGAGCTTGAGCTCCAGCTCCTTCTCCTATAAGTTGTTTTAATGCAGGCATGTCCAAACTCGGTCCTGGGGGGTCGGTATCTTGCAAAGTTTAGTTTCAACCCCAATCAGACTCACCTGGGCTAGCTAATCAAGCTCTTACTAAGCTTTCTGGAAACATCCTTGCAGGTGTATTAAGGCAAGTTGGAGTTAAAATCTGCAGGACACCGACCCTCCAGGATCGAGTTTTGACACCTCTGCAACAAGAATCACCTCTGTTTTAATGCATACACCCTACCCTGCCCCTAACCCCAACCCCCAGTGACATCACTTGTAAAAGAAGTGCAGCAAGGAGGAGCTGGAGGTAAAGCTCCCCCTTGCTGGAGATCAGCTCTGCCCATGTAGCTCTGCAATGAATACCAGTTGGCCTTTTTAAGATCATGCCACAGCATCTAAGTTAGATTTATGTCAGCACTTTGACTTGCCCATTTTAAAGTCTTCATTTTGTTTTTCTTTAGTCATTCAGAATTGGAACTGCTGGTAATATGCTTTAAATAATTGTCCTGCTGCAGAACCCAAGTTTGCTTCAGCTTGAGGTCACTAACTGGTGGCCGGACATTCTCGTTTAGGATATTTTGGTAGACAGCACATTCATGGTTCCATTTCTCACAGCAAGTCTTCCAGGTCCTGAAACAGCAAAAGAGACCCACACAATCACATTACCAACACCACATTTTACTGTTGGTGTGGTGTTCTTATAAAATGCGGTTTTATTTTAATGCCACACATAATGGGACACACTCCTTCCAGAATGTTCAACTTTTGTATCTTCATTCCACAAAGTATTTCCCCAAAAGTCTTTGGTATATTCAAAATGTTTTCTGGCAAAGCTGAGATGAGCTTTTATGTTGTTTTTGTTCTGCAGTCGTTTTCTTCTTGAAACTCTGCCATACAAACTATTTTTGGCCAAAAATTATTGTTCTTATGGGGAAGTCATAAACAATCATCTTAACTGAGGCAAGTGAGGGCTGCAGTTCTTTGGATGCAGTTTTTTTTTTTTTTTTGTGACCTTTTAAATCGCTGCTCTCGTGAGGTAATTGTGGTAGACACACCAAGGCAATGGTCAGCCATTTTGGTCAGCCACTTTGTCATGCCATCCGTCTGGCTAGTTGGTTTGGCTCTCATCAGCTTAACGTCAGATCATGTTGGCCAAATTCCACATGTAGATAATGTGTCACTTAATAATTAAACACTTCATTTAAAAACTGCATGATTGTTTACTTGAGTTATCTTTGACTAATAATCAAAGTTTGATAATCTGAAATACTAAAGTATGGCAAACATGGCCAAAAAATAAACAAATCAGTAAATGGGCAAAACTTTTTCAGATCACTGTAGCTATATCATAATTTTTAGATATTAATGTTTGCAATAGTATCTTGATGCAGCCTTTATGTTGCAAGCTGAGATTGACATTGCAACGCTGAGAGATGCAGACACAATATACTCAATGGAGCTAGTCACATCACTGTGATGTGTAGTTAGGGATGGGGTTAGGTAAGCCCATTAAAAAGATTGCATGCAGCATGCATTGTATCTGTGCCACGTCTGCATCCAGACCCCTCTCAATGTTTGTGCATATTGTTCTCTAAAATAATATTATATTTTTTCTTCAATGGCTTAATATTCAGCAGTAATTCTTTCAGTATCATACTGCCCTTCAGAATTAATTTTTTTTATTGATGATTTGTTGAGTTTATTATTTCAAGTCCTTCCGCCACATCATATGTTATTTTATTTATGTACAGTTGAAGTCAGAATTATTAGCCCCCCTTTGAATTTTTTTCGTTTTTAATTATTTTCCAAATGATGAGCAACAGAGCAAGGAACTTTTCACAATATGTCTGATATTTTTTCTTCTGGAGAAAGTCTTAATTGTTTTATTTTGGCCAGAATAAAAGCAGTTTTAATTTTTAAGCACCATATTAAGGACAAAATTATTAGCCCCTTTAAGTTATATTTTTTCAGTGGACAATAGAACAAACCATCATTATACAATAATTTGCCTTATTACCCCAACCAGCCTAGTTACCCTACACTTCAAAAACAATCCAAAATTTTTTGGTTTATTTTTGGCAGCTGGGGTGCCGAAAAAAAAATAGTAAAATAACGGCCGTTAAATTACAGAAATTTACTGTAAAAAAAGAGAGATTGAATTACAAAAATTTAACCAAAATTAACATTTAAGGAAATTTCTAAAATTTAATGGCTGTTATTTTACAGTAAATTTCCTTACATGCCAGCTACCGGAAATAAACCTAATTAAGCCTTTAAATGTTGCTTTAAGCTGTATAGAAGTGTCTTGAAAAATATCCAGTAAAATATTATTTACTGTCATCATGGCAAAGATAAAATAATCAGTTATTATAGATGAGTTATTAAAACTATTATGTTTAGAAATGTGTTGAAAAATCTTCTCTCTGTTAAACAGAAATTTGGGGAAAAATAAACATGGGGCTAATGGGGCTACATGGCCTAATAATTCAGGGAGGCTCATAATTCTTATTTCAACTGTATGATTTTTGGGGCAGCACAGTGGCTTGGTTGTCTTAAAACAAGAAGGCTGCAGGTTTAAAGGTTAGCGTTTTATTTTATTATATTCTGATATAAAAAGCAAACCATTTATAATGAAGTCTACACATTCTTACTCTAAAGACACAAAACAAATCATTTGAGAAAGGGGGATATATTTTAATTGTCCTTTATAATGCATTTGGGTCTGTTTTGACCCTAAAACCTATATACAAATAAGGTTCAGTTCTTTATAAAGTAGATAACAGGCATACTATGTCTCTTATGGAACAAATTTAAGGTCTAAAGTATTTGAAATAGAAAGCTTCTTAAATAGCACTCTTTTGATTTGTATTTGGCTTGAATTGTTAGGGTTTGTATTTTAGGACCTGTTAAGCTGTAATTCAACCACAAAATATTTTACACACACCCGGTACCGGTGACGTCATCGACTTTCGCTTTAAGATTTAGGATTTAAAGGGCTAGCAGTGCATTTATGATCACTAAGCAGCCCCAGATAGCACTGACAGCTGTCATCTCTTATGCTGTTTGCTTCAGGGCCTCCTCTGTTTTTGAGGTGGTGTGCATAAGTAATCCTTTTACATGTCTGATGTGGTCCAAACACAGTCAATTATGTTTGATCAAACAAAAGAATTGTGAAATATGAAAACAATGATCGATCCCTGTGGCTTGAATAGCACCTATGATCAGTTGGAATACAATAACTTTTGCATAGATTATGGTAGAGACATTTTTCTTTTTTCCTTTGATTACAGACATGTGCAGGAACCACCAACATTATTTACATCAACATAGACCACACAGAACCTAAAAGGTACACTTTTAAATTTGAGTTTATAAAAAAATGCAAAAAGTGCCTCTTTTTTGGGTGTTTATCATAACACAGACAACATATACAGTTAGTTTAACACTTTCAATAGTGTTTTATGAAAAATCAAAGGGTTTTCTTTAAAATGATACCATTTTTTTTTTTTTTTTTTTTTTGCATTTACACCTCTGCATGTGGATTTGGGAAGCTTTTCCAGGCGGAAATCCCAAAATAGCACTAATCCCAAAATAGCATTTTTGTTGATAACCGAAATATCGTTAGTTGATAGCTTAAATAAACAGTTAACGTTACGTTAAATTTCAAGACCTAAAAATACAAAGCCTGACAGTTCAAGTAATTTAAAAAATACAAACACTTGATAATTCAAATTATTCAATCCATATATATTTTTTGTTAATACTATTCAACAAGCTTTTTATTTCAAACAATTTAATAAGCATTAATTTTTCCCCAAGTCGCTCTATTAAAATACTATCTGATAAATCTCAAGCCCCCTATTCAAAGCTCCAAACAGCTCCAAAAATACGCATTACTGAAGCTCTTGAATCTGCCACGACGACATTCGAGACTGCGCATTTGGCAGCGGTTGATGATGTGCTCGAACACACTAGGAACGTTGCGGAGCGTGCGCCCGAGCTACATCGAGATAGCAAACATTCCGCATGGATTTAACACTCTTCAGCGTGACTTCTGTAAGCACACACTCTCCTGCTGTCTCCACACACTACACACGGCTGGGTTTTGTCCGATGGGGGCAACCAACCCCATAGGTTTTAAGGAAGCGAGGACTTACTGGCTGCTGGAGACTAACAAAGTGTTTGTTAGCCAGCTAACGTTAAGTTAACTGCTGTCATTGTGAAAGTGACAGTAAAACTTACCAAACTTAACTAGTGACAACAGCGTCCTATGAGGATTAAACTTGTTGGTCCTGTGACTCAGCATCAGCTCTTCGCACGAAAGGTAAAACAATCCAGCAGTTTTGTTGTTCTTCGTGTCTGTGGTTTAAGTTAGCTTTAGGCTCAAAAGCAAACATCTCACATCTGCATCAAAGGAATCTTTCTGAGAACGTTATTTTTAGAGTAACGTTAAATGCCTGTTTCTAACTGATGACACCTTAAAATTTCAGTTCTTTAATAAATTGGATATCATTAAACACTTAATGTATTGATCATGGGGTTATTATTATATATAAACTCTCCAAGCGATAGAGATGAACGTTAGCTGCATATATAATAAAGCTAATCTCTATTGCTTGGAGAGTTTATATTAGCTGATGATGTAATGTATAATAGGGCTAACGTTAATCCATTCGTTTTTGCGATGAGCAAAACGTTTGTTACTGTTTTTTTTATGTGTCTTTGTTGACGTTAATTAATACAAATACAATTGTCCATTCAATGTTTATGTTCTGGTATGGTTTATTAAATGTGGTAGTTTAATAATTGTTTTGTGAATGACGCAGTGAGAATGAAGTTAGGGTTTATAATTGCTTTAGAAAATTTATTTTGTTACATTATGTTTATTCTGAAGGTTTAACACATATAAACTTATATTTATTGTCGGTATATTATCGTTATAACTTATGAATAAAATTACAAACCTTGACACTATCGTTATTGTCTTTATATCATCGTTATAACCTATCGATAAAATTACAAACCCTGACACTATCGTTATTGTCGATATATTATCATTGTAACTTATCGTTAAAAATTTAAGCCCTGATACTATCTTTATTGTCGGTATATTATTTTTTATATCTTATTGGTAAAAATACCCAGACACTATCATTATTGACGGTGTATTATCTTTATAACTTATTGGTTTAAATACAAGCCCTGACACTATCGTTATTGTCGGTATGTTATCTTTATAACTTATCGGTTTAAATACAAGCCCTGACACTATCGTTATTGTTGGTATAGTATCTTTATAACTTATCGGTTTAAATACAAGCCCTGAGACTATCGTTATTGTCGGTATATTATCTTTATAACTTATTGGTTTAAATGCAAACCCTGACACTATCGTTATTGTCGGTATATTATCTTTATAACTTATCGGTTTAAATACAAACCCTGACACTATCATTATTGTCGGTATAGTATCTTTATAACTTATCGGTTTAAATACAAGCCCTGACAGTATCGTTATTGTCGGTATGTTATCTTTATAACTTATCGGTTTAAATACAAACCCTGACACTATCATTATTGTCGGTATAGTATCTTTATAACTTATCGGTTTAAATACAAGCCCTGACAGTATCGTTATTGTCGGTATGTTATCTTTATAACTTATCGGTTTAAATTAAAACCCTGACACTATCGTTATTGTTGGTATATTATCGTTATATATAAGTTTTTGTTTGTTTCGAAGAATTGAACTCAAATATGGATTCAGCAGGGTTGAGATTTTATATTTAATTTGTAGTCTTTACTTTGACATTTTGTATTTTTTTTTTTAGATTAGGGCTGAGCAGTATATCGTTTCAGCATCGATATCGCAATGTGTGTGTCCACAATATTCACATCGCAGGATATGCAATGTTGAGTTGCGATTATAGTCGATCAGCACAGCAGTTGAGAATACATGATACATTGTGGAGTCATGGCAGAGTATACCAATAAATACAGAGTGGAACTTTATCATTGTTTGTGTAACTTTTGTTTTTGATCTGTCTTGTTTATTTTTGCTTGTAATTTGTTATATTTTATGCAGATCCACTGCATGGAAAAAGACTTGATCATCCCAATCAGTCTAAATTAAATCTTTATAAATAGAGCTATTTAAATATTCTGTTGAAAATTTATTTATATCCTAATATATTGCAACAAACAAATTTTTTTTCCAATATCGTACAGATTGAGGTAAAGTTGGTTTTTATATTCGCACTTTCATTCAGTGACAACTTGGGACATGCTCCCTATATTGTTTACCATGCCTAAATCAGCCTAATTCAGATGTACAGTTACTGCTCGGGTTTGTGATGTCAGACTGTGTAAATATTGATTTGTTCTAGTGTACGTTTCCTAAGTCACGTTTGTGTTTCTCATAGAAGAGGTGCTTTAGTTAAAGCTTAATTCAGATGTGTCAGAAACATTCAGAGTGTTTAGTGGGTAAGTTTAGACAGCAATGTTTTTTTTATATGAGGCTGATATTATGTTGCTATTATTTAATTAGCACTTTACATACTGTACAGTTACAGTACCATCTTTTGTTCTTGTATCTTGATAATCACTATAGTATTTTTAAAGTACTTTGATATACCATGTGGTGTGTGTTGGTTTCATTCAGAATTAGGTTTATGTGTATTGTTCTGTATGTTTTAGTTTCACTTGTTGCTAGAAAAGCATTTGGCAGAATTATGGTCAAGCCAATAAACTCACAGTTATGACAAATAAAGTAGCAGTTCTGAGAAAACAAAGTTAAAATTGTGAGATATAAAAGTCAATGTTTGTATAAAACTATGGTGATTGATATATTCTAATTTATGTTTATGTTGTAATTAAAGTGTAATTAAAATGCATCAGTAACATTTAACGCGTTAAGTTTAAACAGCCTCATTTTTATCTACAGGATAACAGACTTGGCCGTGGAAAAAAATGAGTTGAAAGTTGAAAGAAAAAGCTAAAATACCCTTAAAATTAAAATGACTGATTGTGGGTCATAAAGCTGTGTGTTTATCCAGTGATTAACACTTGTATGTCAGTTTGCACATCTGTCTGTAAATCCCCTCATGTTTTTCATCTTTCAGACGAAGAATGGCGCTGAGCACTAACCTGTGTCGTGTGACCCTGGGGGTTGAGGGCATGACCTGTGGCTCCTGTGTACAGTCCATTGAAGGCCGGATCGGAGGCCTGCCAGGAGTCATTCATATACAGGTTAGAGATATGGATGTCAGTTACACCAAGTGAACTCTTAAGAATAAACCTATGTTAGAATGCATCATTCAAAGTGCTGTTCAAGCATTTTTCAGGGATTTTGGTTAGCTTTTTTATTTTATTATTATTTTATTTTTTGATGTTTTGCAAGATGAGCTTAAACAGGGGGGGCTAATAATTCTGACTTAACAGAATTAACACATTTCAAATCACCCTTTTCAGCTTTTGAACTTTTGTAGAGTTACTGAAGTTTGCCCTGCGCGCTTGCGTTTTTTTTAGTTACTTCTTTGGTTTGGTGCGTCAATCTTATCAATGCTATTATTAAAAAAAAGGTAATGATTCACACTCAATTGCTTTGTACTGTTTTTATTTTTTATTTTTCTTACATTTTACGGGTGATTAAAAGACAGACGTTTCGGCACAAAGCCTTCCTCAGTGTGTGACACAATTCTTCAACTCCACCCTTTTATCTCATAGTCAATTACAATGTGCAATTAATTAGACCGTCACTCTCATTTCATTATCCATTAATCACACAATAACTTATAATCTTCACAGCAATAACAATAAACAATCTTCACATTTCCGACCTCAATCTACAGAGATAAAGTGCATCAACTATATCATTAATCAGGTGTACATCATTACAATAAAAATCCGACAGCTAACATTAAAAAAAAAAAAAAAAAAGTTTACATTTGACAATTACTCAAGGATTAAAAAACACAATTCTTACCTTCACCTCTACCCACATAACCAATTATACAAGAGACATTTACCCTCATCTTCAAAAACAGTTAGCGAAACATACTTGTATTAAAACAGTACGAAGCAATTGAGTGCGAATAATTACCTGTTTTTGAAAAATAGCTTTTGAACTTTCCCACAATATTGTAAACTTCATTCTGTATCCCTAAACAAGCACACAAACATAGCTGAAACACAGATTAAATTTCCAGGTGTCGTTTTTCCATGAATCATTGTATGAGATACACTCTAGGCTTCTCTGGGAGGCTGACAAAGCAATTTGGCAGCAATATATGGTGGTAATAATATTTACCAGAGCCTACCCTCCAGCAACTGTCACATAATTGAAGAAGGCCACCCGTATGTTGAACTTAGACATAACCTAATTATTGGAAATTTGTCCTGCCCTTTTCCTTAAAACCCATTTGCCCCGCAGACAAGGGTCAAAAAGCAAAATAATCGAATCAGTTGTTTGTCTAAGATGCTGTTTTAACCTTTGAAAAGCCAACTGCTTGTATTACTATTGACCAGTGCTGGAAAATGCTAAATACTATTAATGTCTTTAACAAAACAAACAATATGGCTCTTCCTGAGTGAGCAGTCAATATACTAAACACAAAAAGCAACTCTAGAATTGTGCTTATTGTGCAGAAACAAACTTCCAGTTGTTTCTTCATGAGATTTTAGGGTTTAAGGGTCATGTGATGATAGGAGTGAGTCACCAGACTGAGCTGCTTGAGGAATCACATTGGGTTCATCGTCACACTCATGTGCAAGTGTAATGATCAAGCCTTTTTAGCAAAACGTGCTTAAAAGCAATACTTTTTTTCACTAAACTTGGGCTAAAACTACATATAGCAGAAACCTACTTTGAAATGGATCATAATCTCAAGTTTGTCAGGGGCAAAACTTTTGGTTTTTCGAGACTTTTATTAAAAAATACAATGAAATATTAATACTATCAACTGTTTGCTGTTTTATTTTAAAAAGTTGTTTATTCTTGTGATGATGAAGCTGAATAAATGTCAAACCATCAGAGAAACAATTAACCATGACAAACTTTGCATGATTCTTTGAATTTCAGTTAATTCTAATTTAGTTCATTATTTTTGCTTCTAGTTGTAATTCTAGTTTACTTTCCACTTCTGCATCATGTTTATATGGAAAATGAAAATAAATAATTTCATAAATCCTCAAATGCCTGCATAAATAAAACAAATACAAAAAATATGCAAATACAAAAAAACCCACAAATTCCTGCATGAATAATTATATAAATAGGGCGGACAGATTAAAAATGATAAATAAATTACACAGATGTTGGGGGAATAAGAAAATGCTAAACTTAATGTAGATTTTCTCCTCTTTTACACTGCACTATTAATTAGTTATATAATTATTAATGCAGGTATTCGTGTATGTTTATCTGTTCATTTATTCATTACATATTTATTTGGTAATTTATTTATTTATTAATTGTAATAAATATGCAGGAATTTGTACATTTATGTATACAGTAATTTTTTTATTTTCGTATTTATTTTTTATTGTTTTTGTAGGTTTCGTCCTCCATATGTTTACTGCTTTAGTTCAAATTCAGGAATTTGTAGTTGGAAAGTTTGCTGCCTACAGATAAAACTGTGACTTTGGACTTGTTAAACTATGAGAAAATAAAGCATTGGCAAATGAGTTTTAGTGATTAACAGTTTTAATGTCACTCACACAACAGAGACAAAAACCTTAAGGCTCATCATGCATACAAGAAAGTTTATCATGTGCAGTTATCACTGACGTATCACCTCATGACTAAACAAAGGGTGCTAGTGTGAGAGAGCACTGATGCACAAAATGATTTGATTTTTTTTACAATTGCACTTTTATCTTGCAAACTTTTGACCAGCTGTGGACGTGGAAAAGCTTTCATGAAAAACAGACAAAGAAAAAGTTACACAGCTTCACATTGTGTACTGGAGTATTTCTGTTATTCATTGAGTGTCTTATGTCATGGAGTGATTTTGTACGGTCACTCAACATCGACATTAAACATCAAAAAAGAGTTGAAGTAGTAGCTAGCTGGAACATTTCTTAAAAAGGGGATTCATGGGCATATGGGCATTTGTAATTATGTACACACCCACTATACATATACACTTGTAATCATGCTTATTTATCTGCATACTACTGATTATTAATAGCAACCTGTACATACATATATTCATATATTGTAACATATACACTTGTAATCATGTTTATCTATCTGCACACTACTGATTATTAATAGCAACCTGCACATATATTCATCTATTGTAAATCAATATTAATCAATAATAAAAATCTTTTGTTCATAGCTTATCCAACCTGTATATAATGTTCATAGTACATTCATCTGTAATTATCACCATAGTTTTCTATAACTGCACTTTATAACTTATTCCTGTATCCTGCACTTGCTGCTATTGCACTGCTGGTTAGACTTAAACTGCATTTTGTTGCATTGTACTTGTACATGTGTAATGACAATAAAGTTGAATCTAATCTAATCTAATCTAATTACCCTCAGTTAGTGTTTGGTGTTACACACTGTTCAATGATGCACACACTGGCTGAATATCTTGCATTTTAGTACAGCTGCTGGAGTTCAAGACCAAAACCATCTGCAATAATGTGTTATGCAATCACAGGCATGTGTGCAATTTCTGGTTACTGGAACAATGCTGCTCTGGATAGCTTTTATTGGGCAATTTGACTAAGTGTACTATTTTAGAGGATAGGTTAGCACATTACAGGGCAGATTTACTATCAGGATGAGCTAGTCTGGTATAAACCTTATTTTTTCATTGAAAAAAAGACACACAGTGAAATTCAGTTGTGAAAATATGTGGACGCAGTTAAGTTTGCAAAATTTCTTGAGGAGAGTATGGGAATGAAACATGCAACATAATTTACTAAGGTTTGCATTAGTCAATTTGACTTGTATTTGCACCCTAATCTAGCTGTACGTATCTCTGGGATGTTTTTATTTTATTTTTTATTTAACCTTGAAATAACAAACAGGCATTTTCAACTTTTATTGTTAAACACGTCCAAGCAGCATATAATAAACAAAATAGTACAAAATAATAATATCAATAACATGAAAAAAGCTTACACAATACAAAAGAAAATACATTACATTCAGGGGAGTCAGTCCATTTAAGCTGACAAAAGTTTAGAAAGCTTTGAGGCACCTTTTTGTTTTTACCTGTTATATGAATTTAAATAAAATGTTGAAATCATTTTCAAATGCTTTGAAGCAAGGAGAAAATTTAACAAATTTATATTGTTTTGCTACATTTAACATATTATTACATAGAAACTCCACTTCTTTGTTTTTCAAAAATGCCCAATTTCACAATGTGATAGTCAAATGCAGGTATTACACTTTTTTGCCATCAACCACTCATACAATCTGTCCCAAAAGGATTTGACAATAGAACATCTGTTAAAAAGATGTTCCTGAGATTCAATATCTTTCAAGCAGAAAATACAAGCATTACTGTCTAAATAAATCTTATTCTAAGAAATTCATTACATGGACAAATGTCATTAATTGTTTTGAAATTAACTTCTTTTATTTTAGGTTACAATGGAAATGACAGGTATCTTTTTTTAACTTCAATAGTGTCCGCTTCAGAAAATATCTCTTAGCGTGAATCATATTTCAGCGTGAAATATTCCTTTATTAGTAGTGATCTCAAGACCCTGTTGGTATATTTAATTACCAGAAATGAATAATTATCAATATACAAATCAACCAGTGTAGGTATTACAGAAGAGTATACACAATACCTTAAACTAAGTTCCTCAAATCTACAGGAATAGCTTTGACAACCAAAGAGAATTCTCTACATGTAGAATTAAAATTAAATTTTAACTTAAAATGATAATTCCTGAAGTCTAAACCAGTCTTTAAAAAATAAGGTTTTTTTTATGTAAAATACACCTGTTATTCCAAATGACAACATTATGTGGAGTAAAATTGTGCTTGTACATCATTTTAGAATAAAGTAACACTTGCGCATGAACATCAGATCATTTAAATGGCAATTTTAGTAAGTCAAAATCACATTTTAGAAGAAAAGAAATTCCTCCCACTCTTTGAAAAATATGAAAAGGAATGCTAAACCATAAAGACTGTTTGTCTTTAACAAAGATTGATACCATTTTAACTTAATTACTTCATTTATTGCACCAAAATCAATAACATTCAACTCCCTTCCTCTCGAGGATGTATTATAGGAGGAAAGCTTAGAACAAAACAATGTCTGACAGAAGTTTTTTTAACTTGTGTGTTTATTTGGAATTCAAGGAGATCATAATGGTATCCCAGTTTTGAATATTGATTACTAAATGTTTAATTTGTGCTGTTTTATGCACTTTCTTGATCATTATGGAAATGAGCTGATGCTTCTGCTTTCCTTCATTTGTGCATCGTCATTACAATCATCAGCAAAACTTTCCGCTTTCATTTGCAATTTTATGGCTGCACTCTTATGCGAATTTAGTAAATTGGGCCATTTATTTTGTTCAACAGGTGTCTCTGGAGCAGAACAATGCAACAGTGACATATGACCACACTCAACACACTCCACAATCCATAGCAGATGCCATTGAGGATATGGGCTTTGAGTCCAGCCTGACAAACGCTACATCAACACCAGTTCAAACAGAAACCAAAGTCTTCAGCAAAGCAGGCTGTAGCGCAGACTCTGTCCAACAAGCTCTGAGCACACTGGCCCAGATAAAAGGGGTGATTGAGACTCAGGAGAGTGCTGATAACCAAGGCCTTGCTGTTACGTTTGTCCCATCTCTGGTCAGTGAGGATCAGCTTGGGGAAGTGTTGAAGTGCCTGGCTCCCGACACAGCCTGTCGGCCACCGCTCAGCCCAAAGGAAGGCTCGACTTCTCGCAGCTTCAGTGGAGTTGAGGCAGTGAAAATGCGGATTGAAGGAATGGTGTGTCTGTCCTGCACTACAACCATCGAGGGCAAGATTGGGAAGCTAAAAGGGGTTGAAAAGATTAAAGGTATATTGGTTTTGTAGCTTGTGATTTGCCTTTGTTTGTGTAAAGTAATTTCCAGTGTTTGAACTTTGAACTTTAACATTTACCGGTGAATTATGTCACACATTAGGAAGTTTAAATCATAAAATGAAGTTTAAACTCATTGACATCGTGCTGCCAGTAAATGCAGATAAGAAATGAGAGCTTGCACAATGTATACATTTTAGGGTCAACACGGTTTTCTATTTCTCACATCCTATTTAGTTGTCTTTTTTCCAATGATAATAGTGTAGTCTTACTGAAATTAATAGCCATTAGGACCAATGTTTAAATTTTCATCCTCATTTCATGAGAGTGTACATTACTCTAAAAGTTTACTTTACATAAGGATGGCCGTGTGTCATTATTCTATTAAACACTTTCAAAATAGTTATGAGGCTAATTCATGGTTAGTGACAAAGTAATTAGTGTTGTCAGAATACTAGAATTTCTAACTGTAATACAGTAAGGTTTAAATGGCATTTTTATTGTATTGTTTCATGCCATAATCCTAATTATTATAACACTACTGGTCAAAAGTTTAAGATCATTTTTTTTTCTTTCAAAGAAAATTATCCTGCAGCATTCATTAAATATAAAAAAGTTAATTTTTATTAAAATTTTAAATAACTGCTTTTTGTATGTAGTTTCAAATGAAATTATTATTTCAGTCAATGTTGCTTTTATTATTATTACCATTAATAATAAAAAAATAACATTAGACTGATTTCTGAAGGATCTTGTGACTCTAAAGACTGGAGTAATGAAGCTGATAATTCATCTTTAAAATCACTGGAATAAATTATTAAATTAAATTATTGACTACTTTTGATCCGTCATTTTATAGTGCAATAACATTTTACAATTTTACAATTTGTACTGTATTTTTAATTAAATAAATGCTGCCTTGGTGAGCAGGATAAACTTATTTTAAAACATTAAAAAATCCTACTGACCCCAAACTTTTGACCGGTAGTGTATATTTTTTATTACTTTATCAACTGATATTGTGCTCTTTGATATTTTACAAGCTTCACTTAGAGGGATTAAATAATAATAATAATAATAATAATAATAATAGAAACATTATCTATTATTATTATTATTTTTATCATTTAATGAATAATTCGAGGACCACAGTGGAAACAAGCCCAGGGCTTTATTGTGTTTTTATCCTCAACTATTTTATTTAAAAAATGTTCAGGACACTTCTATTTTAGTACAGTTTGTCTAAAAACTGTCTAATAAAAATTCTATTTAATTTAATATTTTAAAGTCTATTTAATAATTTACTTCACTTAATTTAACATATAATAAGTCTATATTTTTGACATCCCTATGCTGTATTGACAAAATATAAAGGTCTCAGCCCATAACAACTGTTAAACTGTTAATGAAACATAAACAAAAAAGTTAAGATGTTACAAATTAAATAAAATATCTTTTCTCAAAAAGAAAGTTAACCAAAACAAAACAAGATAACAGGGATTAAAAATATAATCCCTGGTGCCCCTGCGCTCTCTCTCCCCAAAATATAAAGCAATACACAAACCACTGAGAATTACCAAGAAAACATTATTTATTTACAGAAAATGAGCAAAATAACATTGAGAGGGTTTAAGCCAAAATAAATGACAATAAACAAAAGTAACTAAATTAGAGCAAACTTCCCTGAAAGATAAATAAGAAAGTAAAATACAGAAAAACGTTCCTCCCTACTAACAACACAGGAGAAAACGAAAATTATAAACAGAAGGCACCAAACCTCCCTACCATTCTCCAAGCCAGACAGGGAGACAGAAAACCTAGTTCCTCTGGTTAGAATATACAACACATCGGCAACTCACGACACGTCATATAAATATTATTATTATTATAACCTTTATTTTACCAGAAAAGGCAAATTGAGATAAAAAATCTCTTTTACAAGAGTGTCCTGGCCAAGTTTAGGCAGGATACGTATCACATGGGCAGACAACAAACAAAAAACTATTTACAGTTAACATGAATCACACTGACAAACTATTCAAAACATCTACAAACCTGTGTTTCAACTTCTAAAACTTCTAACTTATTGTCTTTTTAAAAGCATTTAGTGAAATCAATTTTTTGAACTGCAACTGTGCAAATTATTCCATGCAAAAGGTGATGCGTACTTAAAAGCCTTTTTTCCCCATCTCAGTCTGCACTTTAGGAACAGACAGTAAATAAATATCTTGTGACTGAAGACCATAGTTAAGAACAGGCTTTTTACAAATGTAATTGTGTAGATATGAAGGGAGTAAACCCAGTATAGATTTGTAAACAAGAAAATGCCAATGCTTGAGCCTAAGAATAGACAAAGCAGACCAACCTACCCTAGTATACAGCACACAACGATGAGTAAGAGATTTAAAATTTGTTATAAATATTAGTGCACCATGGTAAACAGTATCCAATGCATGCAGACTCTGAGACAAAGCATGCATATAGATAACATCACCATAGTCTAATATCGACATACATGTTGCATCATCCAGCTTTTTTAGCATCAAAAGCAGTTCTTAACTCTTAAATAGAAGCCTAAAATCACTTTTATTTTTTTTACCAATTGCTGAATGTGAGAACTAAAAGAAAGTATATAATCAATTAAAATTCCAAGATATTTGCACTAAGACACCAATTCAATCTCTGCACCATGATAGTGAATTTGAAAATAGCTTTGTTTTGTTTTATCGGCATTTAAAACTAGTTTTAACTCAGATAAATTATGTTGAAGTACATTAAAAGCGATCTATAGTTGAGAAAGGGCCAGATTGGGTGTAGATGCAGCTGTGTATATGATTGTACCATCCACATAATAACGAAAATTTGCATTTTTGATTTTTCGATCAGTATTATTTATATAATAAAAAGAAGAGGCCCCAATACTGGTGCCTGTGGAACAATAACTCATTTTCATTACTCAAGCAACATCTCAACAGAGAATTACGAAAGGGCAATCATGAGAGAGCAGGGAGCTGCTGAATCCATGTTGCTTGGGGTTTAAAATACAACTGCCGCCAATCCAAGCAAAAATCATGATACGCCGTAATCCGATGCACCTGCGATTAATTCAGACTGAGAGAGAGAGCGAAAGAAACAGCGAGAGAAAGAAAAACACAACACACACCACAACAACTACTCGTAACAATGAGCATAAATACGTTCGTATTATTGACTCTTGGATAACATATATTATTAACCTAACATAATATTAACATAATATTGTAGTTTTTAAAATTTGTTATTTATATTTTGATTATATGATTTAATTTATTCATTTTTTTCTGTGCTTGTTTCAGTCTCTCTAGAATCTCAGGAGGCCGCTGTAGTTTACCTGCCTTATATCATCACAGTGGATGAGATTGTGAAGCAGATTGAGGTGGCTGGTTTCAAGGCCACTGTCAAGTCTAAACCTCGTCAGTTGAAGCTGTCAGCTAGTGAAGTAGAGCGATTACTCAGTGCGCCAAAACAGACTGAGGAGAAGCTTTCTGAGCCGCCTGCAGATTCCACAGTCACTACACTGTTTCAGGTTACAGGAATGCACTGCAACTCCTGTGTGGTAAACATTCAGGACAATATATCCAAGCTGCCTGCTGTGACTTCAGTAGTTGTGTCCTTGGAGAATAGACAGGCGTCCATTCAGCACAACCCAAAACAAGTCTCAGCGGTGGAGCTGCAGAAAGCCATCGAGGCTCTTCCTCCAGGGAATTTTAAAGCCATCATTCCAGCTTCCCCAGAGCCAGGCTTCCTCCAGCCACTGGTATCAGTAGCTGAGATCCACATTGAGGGCATGACCTGCGGCTCCTGTGTTCAGTCCATCGAGGGCACGCTTTCCCAGAAGAAAGGAGTCAGATCAGCCCAAGTGTCATTGGCCAATCATAAGGGAACCTTTGAATATGACCCTTTATTGACTTCACCTGAGGAGCTGAGGGCTGCTATAGAGGACATGGGCTTTGATGCTTTTCTGCCTGGTAAGTGTTTTGTGTATGTCCTGGGGGCACATTTTCTCTTCTATAAGTCTTCATTACTGACAGTTTATAGGCAGGGTAATAGCACTGAACTGTTTTATATTGTCTTTTGGTCATAAATAGTTCTGATGCTGCCCTTGCCTTATGTCAGAAACCTGAATTGTGAGATTTATAGCAAGTGGGTGTATCTCTGAGAAATCAAGCATGATCAGCTATGTAACTAGGTCTTAAGCCGCCTTTCCACTGCACACGACATTTGGACACGACTGTCCGAATATGCTCCCCTGTGGCAGTCGCATAGAATTTTCAGTTCTGACATGCACTATGGGAGAGAAGCTGTTCTCGTAGTGTCCAAAATAAAGGAGTGCAAAACCAAGAGCCAGTATTCTCTGTGCGTTCCCCATGATTGAATGAATGAATACTAAAAACTCATACACTGATAAAAAATATTGGGGGGAATGTGGAGACAACATTAAACAATTATATTATTATTACTTTATTACTTACATTTATGAACAGAAGTGTTTTTTTTTTAATATAGACTTTTTCTGATTCCAAAAATAACCAGAAAATCTACTATTTCTCATCTTGCGCACACGGATCCGTTTGTACAACATTGGAATACATCATATCCGGTTGAAACAGCTCCTGGGCTGCTCTTCATTGGAAATGGATGACTTCCGGTCTGTCGCTTGTCGTGTGCAGTGAAAAGGAGGCTTTAGAACATGGTGTAATTACAGAAGTGTCAAGATTTAAAGGGTCACAAAACACCAAAACACATTTTTTGAGATGTTGACAGTCATATACATGTGTGTATATATATATATATATATATATATATATATATATATATATATATATATATATATATGTCCCACACTGCTAAAAACCCTATTAGGACACATATATTTCACAAAAAAAGTGAAAATTTGTTGTTTTTGCATTATTTTGAGAAAATTTTTCATCCGGTTTGAAAAGAAATTTAGAAGCGACGCCACGGCCATGAGATGATTGTGTAAATTCCAGCGTGTAGACTGGATGTCTGGACTGGCAGGTACAACATGACGTCTTTAAGTTTTCATCATTAATTTATGAGAAAGACTTGGTTCGAACCAATCAGTGCATTCTATTGTGAATGAGCTGCAACTTCATTAATATGCATGATAGCTTCCAAGACTAATGTACGTTACAATGTTCAGACGGCAGAGAGACGCCATGTTCTGTTTCCAACGCTAATGAAAACAAGAATTGCTTGGAGACATGGGTCGTCAGTGTTGCGTTTATAAATGTGCAGCAATGAAGGTTTTCATTTCCCCATTATAAGAGCAAAGCTGGACTCACTTGTGGATTACAGTGCTCTGCTAACATGCCACAAAAATACGTTTGTAATAGGGCTGTAACGATACACGATATAAAATCGAAATCGCGACACTCAGATCTACGATCCTGTGTCGCGGTGTGATAAGGGAGAATCGCGACACACCCCGTGACTACCTTTCCAATAACGTCACGCGTGCCTGCAAAAGTTGAGCTAGTTGAAGAAGAACGTGAGGAAACACTTTTTTTCCGCTCGACATTACGAGCACTGCTCCGTTTAAGCATTCGCAATTAGCGTTTAACCGGGAGAGCTCGCACGGAGCTCTTAGTAAGGGACTGTCTGAATGTGTCAGGAATATCAAAAACAAAACCAACTTAACCCCTCTAGACAACCGACAACGGCAGAAACATTGCCAATGCTGTCAAAGCATTGTTGTTAATGTGGCTGCGCAGAGAGGGATGGGTGTTCACCAGATGCCCCGACTCCTCTGCAGAGGAAACTTTTCTGTAACCGTGCTGTGCGCTTTCTGTTTGAACCTTTGAGAGTTAACGTTATGTGCTGACTGACAGCGCGATGCGTGAGGCCAGGAAACAGGACGAAGCTTTCAGTTAAGATGAACACAGTTTCTATAGTTATACTTTATTTATAGATAAAGGTATATGGCTCTGCATATAATCACTCTATCTTGCTGGAAATTAATAGCCGTTTCGCTTTACTTCAGGACGCATTAACACCGCTCTGAAGGTCTAATCGTTGTTTTAAGTTATCCAGAGCTGTATGAATGTACAAATCTCGAATATAACAATAGCATTAAATATTACAATTGTAACAACACAGACAGCAACACTTATGCACAATCGATACCCAGCTGATTCAGTCGTTTCATAAGAGGACCGCGCTTCTTCTCTTCTTTTTTCCTTGTCAACATAAAGGCAGTGAGATGCGCCTTGTTTTCGGCTTATAAAGCATGTATGCATATTAATGCAATAGCATATTTAAACAACAAAACTGTTTACAAAAAGTCTACATATGCGTGCGTTGTTGTTGTCTTTTCATCACGCAGCACGCGCACTTGAACCGCGAGGGAGAGAGAGGAAACCATCAGGACATATTCTTTAAAATAATGATTTCTATTAAAATGTAAAAGGTTTTGTGATTATAATAATAACAGCGGGGCATTAAATAAATGCATATTTTCCGTGGAGCGGGCAATTTGAGGAAGTCTGCGATTTTTATTTGACGGAAGAAAAAACATGATTGGAAAAAAACAGCCTATGCCGGTTGTTAAAAAGAATCAGTCAGTATTTTTGTTTTGTAACCTATAAATTAATTATTTAAATGAAAATAATTTAGGGCAGTCCTATTTATTTTATTCATTTTATTTAGATTATTCTGCTCTTCTGTGCTAAACACTGCAGGTGCGTGAAGATGCTCTGTTGTTCTGTTCTGTTATTAATATGCTAGCATTTAAAAATAAATCAGTAGCCTATTTTAAAATGCAATATTTAATGTGTCAGACACAAAATAGACACGTCAATTTGTTTAATATAAAATTAATAATAATCTGACCAGTTAACCGTTATTATAATAACCGATTAATCAGCGGCGGTTGTCTGTTAGCAAAATTAACCGAAATGAGCATCCCTAGTAGCCATTTAATTTACTTTTTCTATGTAAGAGAACTTGATTGAAAAATAATTTTTTAACATGCTTGAACCATCTACACAATGGAGTTTAGTTCTGTTTGGTTTTTCAAAAGTATTTTGTTACAAAGAAAACAAAAATGATATAATTTTATTTAATAAAAAATAGTTTTAAAAATCTTTTTTTTTCCCACCCCACACGAAAAAAAAAATCGTGATACGAATCGAATCGTGGGTCAAAAATCGTGATACGAATCGAACCGTGGGTTTGGTGTATCGTTACAGCCCTAGTTTGTAAGGAACTTTTTTTTTTTTTACCAGAGAGCTTTTCACATGTAAAAATGGTAAATTACGGATTTTCCACTCATCTCCTTTTTTAAAAAGACGTTGTCCCAGTTCGCGTTGATTGTCCTGTCTTTACGGATTTGGTAAGTGAGAGATTAGTGCTCTTTGTTTGTTTATTCAGATGGCAAAGTTAGTATCGTCAGCAGTACTATTTCAGTTTTTACTATTTCAAACATACCTTAGTCAAAGTGATTTAGTTACTAAGTTTAAAGTACGTTAGTATCACTACAATATTATGGACTGAAAGATCCGCTGTAAATGCTGCTCTCTGTATGTAAACATGTAAAAACCTTAATCAATCTATTACTGTTGTGTAGGATTTACGGTGCGTTTTGTGATAGGACAGTCTATACCAGGGATGGGCAAACTTGATCCTCGAGGGCCGGTATCCCTGCAGAGTTTTGTTCCAACACTAGTCAAACACACCTAAACAAATTAATTAGTGTCTTCAAGATCACTTGAACTCTATAGGGAGGTCTGTTTGAATAGGGTTGGAGCTAAACTGTGCAGGACACCGGCCCTCCAGGACCGAGATTGCCCACCCCTGGTCTATACACACAGCTGTCTGACACTATTCTCTGCACCTACCGAGTGCCTCTAAGTTTATGCTAAGCTAAGCTAAGTGCACCTGCCAGAACCGAAGATTGAATGAATGGATTCAAAAATGTAAAAACTCAACTGTTTAACTGGAGGGGATTTGTAAAATTAACCTTTTTTCAAAAAAGTGAAATGTTCTCTTAACATACATAGAGCACATGTATTGTTGTGAATTAAAGGAGAGATTTTTCAGGTACCTTTAAAGCAGAGTCTTTCAGTAAAAAAAAAAAAAAAAAAAAACTTTTGCTGCTTGTTTAAACTACTTATTTAAAATGCATTAAAACAACATAGTCATATTTTTTTTGAAGGACAACTTAATTGTTTTATGTTTAGACTACTTAAATAAAAAAAATTGAATTGAAAAAATGATTGAGTTTACTTAGTTTGTGTTGGGACTGGATGAAGGAATCATGTGGAACACTGAATCTTTTTACAGTGTTTAATGAGAACTCACCATTGCTGTGTTCTTCATCGAAAATTTAACTAGTGCAGCAGGGTACATTTTTACTTAACACCTTTAAAAGTAGTATCTCAAGACACTTTACAGACATAAAATGTGCAGCAGTAAAATGCACAAGGATAAATGCAAAAAAATAATAATAATAATAATACAAATAAATAAAAGCACATATAATAATGATAATAATAATAACAGATCTAAAAATCATATAAAAGTCAAATAAAATCAAATAAAAGCTACCTTTAAAAAGTAAGTTTTAAGAAATTATTTTAAAATAACAGAGGTTAATAAAATAATAAGAGGTTAAAAGCAATAGAGGTTAAAGAGTTCCACAGTTTGGGCCCTATCATACACTCGTTGCAATGTGGCGCAAGGCGCGGCGCAATACTTGTTTGCTAGTTTCAGTGTGGCGCAAGAGTCATTTTGAAGCGTTGCGTCATGCTCTTTAAATAGCAAATGCATGTGCACCCATAGGCAAATATGGATTCTGACACGCCCTAAAAGCGTTTGCGCCCTGCGATTTTCCTTTTTGCGCATGGATCGTCAAAATAGAGCCCTTTATGTGCCAATGAAGACAATGCTTGATCTCCCAAAAATTTTGCCCGCGTTGATTGAGCAGTTAAAAGCCTAGCATCAGACGCACATGTCTAGGAGTGTATGGGAGTAGAAACAAAAGCTGTCATGACAAGTTTAATTAAAAATCTTGTTTCAGGGTCTTGAATAGATCCTGAGGTTTTACCTTCCCTAGCATTTTCATTGCTTGGAGGAATGATACTGTCTCTCACACCAAGGCAGTCAGACCTGATACCTCAGATTGCATCTTATAATGTAAAAAACACAAATTAAATATATATATATATATATATATATAGCTGGTTTGAGTATTTAATTACTCAAATTCATACCATGGTATCCAATTTCATGAGAATTTAACAAGGTACATGTCCTTTGATATTTTACCACACACACAAAATAAATAAACAAATCACTGGGATTTTCTGGCCTTGTCCTAGTGCCTATTGTAGTATTGTGAAGCACATTTCCTTCCCATTTGTCAGTTCTGAGGTGTGTTTGGGTTATTTATTTTTGGGTATTGAATATATGGAAATGCAGGTCATCTTGATGTAATGCTATAAAAAAATCTGCATAGAAAATAAAAGACTGAAAATTGATAAGAATGCTGCAACATTAATAGTTCAAATAGGCTTTTTTTTACTATATGTAATGTATATAAAATATTCTAAAGATATATTTTTGACAGTTTTTTGCCATTCTTTTATAGACATTTGTCCTATTCTGATAGCATTTGATGTTGTCGTAAGGATGCTGTGCAAAGCTATTTTAGCCTCGTCTGTATTTGAAATGACTAAGAAGATTTTGGCACAGCAGTTGTTGTTCTTTTCAATTTCTATTTATTTCTATTTTTCTATTTTTTTTTTAATTGTTTCCATTTCTGTTTTTACATGAGTAACTGGTATGTCAGGAAATAAAATTGTCATTTTCTAAATTGTTATTTCCACTGAAAGCTATATGAAGGTCACTTTGTCCTATCTTGTTTACAGAGACAAATTCATTGGTGCCTTCAGTGGTCAAAAGCCCATCTCTGTCTGTCCGGAGCTCATCATTATCTCCTGTCCGGTCAGCTGTGAAGGAGAATGAAGCTGAGAGTGACGCTGAGCCTTCAACAAACACTATTTCTAAATGTTTCATCCAGATTGGAGGAATGACCTGTGCCTCCTGCGTGGCCAACATTGAGAGGAACCTCAAGAACGAATATGGTATTCATTAATCTTTCCAAAGCAAACTTTTCAAATGCCATAAAGTGGCCCTTTTGTATGTTTCTAATTTTTTTTGAATCTCTCTACCTGGGTTTATATCATTCAAAAAAGATTTTTCTTAAAATATACATTGCAGCATTAACATTTTTCCTAAATGTGTCTGAAAGGTTATTCAATTTTAACTCTTTAAACCCCTTATTTTTGAGAGCCTACTCTACTTATTGATCAGATGAACAGCAGGTCTACTGCAGGTCTACTTTCTTATGAAGAGCCAAAAACCAAACTTAATATAGTTGCCATGGGTAATTACCTTTATTGCTTAAATGAACTAAAACCGTTTTTTTCTTTACATTTAATAATAAACTTATAAAATAAAATAAAAAGTCATTTATAACAGAATTACACAAGTTTTTGCCTTAAAAATCTGATTTATTTACAACATTTAATTGAAATATTTAATTTCAGTTTGCTTTATTTCAAGTCCCAACCCTTTCCATCATACTCAATTCTTTTCTCAGATGGGATGGTGGGCCAAATCAAAGGTTGCAATGGGCTAACTTTGACCTGCGGGCCCTACTTTGGCCACCTCAGTCTACTGCTTACAGAGTATGTCAGAAACAAAAAAACGTATTGCCGTATATGAATTTCCTCTCCAGAGGCCCTTTTAACATGTAAATACACAATGTATTGAAAAGTAACTAGAATGTTTTTTTTTTTATCATATCAATTTGAGGTCAACACCTCAACGTTTGGAAACGAATGCAAAGTACATTAACTTTCACATTTCCATTCTACAACTACAGCATATCTAGTTTTTGAGGTGCTGTTTGTAGGTAATTATTTGCATTTTTGTTTTTACAAAGCTATGACGGTTTGTCCAGGAATACGGCTGGACTTACTGACTCATTATTTTATTATTTATTGTTACCTTTTAAGTAACAGCTAAATTGTTGCAAAATGGGGTGTGCTATGTAAATTTATTCATGATAAGTATTTATTAAGACTATTAAAAGTTGCAGTCTATAATACACAACCTTTTTAAAGCATGTACATAATCAGAAAGCATTTAAACCATTAGCCTGTTCATAATGCTATGATTCTAATAATGATTTATAATCGGTATATATGGGACTTTAATTTGGGTTAAAAGTACAGTTTTTAAAATAAAAGTCAAATGTTTTGACAATTAAAGATTAGGCTTAACAGATAATAAAATCTAAATGTAGTGTTTCTATTCACAGATTCCTGCAAACAAAGTATAACAATAAAAATGTGCACATTTTGATCTGAAATAAGCTAATTTGCAATCGTTAGATTTAATCATGAACATAGCTGGATTTATTGTAATACTTTTTTACTCAGCTGGCAGAGCTAAATTGGCAGACATGATACTTACTAGGTCAAATGACATTTAACAGAGATGACAAAATGTGGAGTTTGTGACTCCAAAGTACAAAAAATCTAAATAAATAAATAAATAAAAAAAAATACATAATAATGATAATTCTCTAATTAAGTTAAGTAAAATAAACATAATAATGATAATTCTATAAATAAGTTGAATTTCTCAAATAGAAATTGAGGAAAAGTGGTAAAGCTGATTGATTGATTGATTGATTGAATGTTGTGTATAGTTGTTATTATGGCTGTAATTCATTTGTTGTCGTGATTTTTTTCCTCAGGTATACACTCCGTTTTGGTGGCTCTGATGGCCAGTAAAGCTGAGGTTCGATACAGCCCATCAGTCATTGATCCTCTGAGAATAGCAGAGCTGATTCGAGAGCTTGGCTTCACTGCCACAGTCATGGATAATTATGATGGCTCAGATGGATCCCTGGAGCTTGTGGTAAATATGCCAGCAGATCCTATTCTTGATATGTTTTTTCTATTAACATAAGATTGTGGACACTGTCTCTTTTCAATAGGTCAGAGGGATGACATGTGCCTCTTGTGTTCATAAAATTGAGTCTAACTTGATGAAACAGAAGGGCATCCTCTACGCTTCAGTTGCCCTTTCAACTAATAAAGCCCACATCAAATATGACCCAGAAGTGACCGGCCCCAGAGATATAATCAGATTGATTGAGGTGAGCTCATGCTTATTTTCATCTGGATTAATTTTTATATGTAAAGTTGTTCCAAACCATAGTAAGTTGCCTGCTTAGACAGCCATTTTGTTATTGAGTCAGGGAAGTTGGCTTTCTGAATCAGTCACTAATGTTTGCTGTCAGTACATTATGTTTTGAAACAGACCTATAAATAATAAAAAAGAGAAGTATGAAACTGTTGATAAAGTAGGTTCTTACATGAACTTCCCTTTTTTGATGGATAGAACATGGGATTTACTGCCTCTCTAGTGAAGAAAGATCGTCCAGGAAGTCATTTGGATCACAGTCGTGAAATCCGACAGTAAGTACAAGAGTAGAAAAACAATTCTGAAATGATTATTTTTAAAACAAGATTACTTAACAGGTCAATCAGTGCATTTCAACATAATCATCTTTGATTTTGTGTTAAGTTGTTTTATTTGTTTTTTACTGATCTCAAACATAGGGTCTTTAGTAAAAATACTTTTGTTTTTTAAATATTTTTTTACAGATACTTTTTAAGACACATAAATACATATACAATTCTAAACCAGAGGTGTGGAATAATTACGATTCTCCTCCAGTTCTGAATAGACAATTAAACAACCTGTTTAAAAATATTTCATTCATTGAAATTATTTTTTCTAACTGGTTTTAATGAATTATTTAATGACTCAATTAAAGATTTCACTTGTTTTAATTACAGTCACTTATCACTTAAACAAATGTTTGACAAATTTTAACAGTGACTTGTTACCACTTATTTTCCAATCTTTTTGATTAGGTATTTACATATATAATTACTTATTAAAGAAATTACTTTGTAAACAGTGACTGCTGCAAAGTATGTTTTATATAGTATAAATAAAGTCTGCACATACTACTGAGTGCCTGCGGGGTCTTAGCATTTTAGGCCCTAAATGGTCTTAAATTTTCTGAAATTTAGGGTGTACTCTAACTAGGCTATCTGAACCATGACCGGGGACATTTGACCCTCATTTGCTTTTTTTTTTTTTGACAAGTGTGAGTGCTTCACATCGTGCCCAGGTACTGTTTGTTTGGGTGGCCATGGCCTGGTTGGGAGAGATGGTCCAGAGCTTGGTTCAGTTGGACTTGTAGTAAGAGTGCAAAGCTCAAACGAGGAGTGTGAAACTGAAGACGCAACGCTACTTTTAAGGGATTGGATTTATTAATCATTCTTGTGTTTCAGTGATTGGGAACAGTCATAGTTTATTAAAGATGCAAATCCCTCAGTGCAGGGCAGCTGCAACCTTCAGTAAACATCATATTATATTCATATTATTTTACTGTTTCAATGTAAATTATAATTGTATTTTTAAATGTAAATTATTTAAGTATTATTAAATGAATTTAATTGCCATACATTTTTTAATAGGGCAAATAAAAATACTTTCCACCTGGGCCATTTGAAAAACTCCTTAGTGTTTAGCTCTGTATGAGTCTAAATTTTCAATCATAGTGGTCCTAAAAATATCTTTAAAAGTCTTAAATTTAACTTGGTGAAACCTGCAGAAACCTTGAACTGAATTAAGCTGACACCCAATCAGTCATCAGCAATCCATCTTAATAGAACTTTAACAAAACTTATATTTATTTACTCTTTTTACCAATATGGTTTAATTCTCTTCCTTGAAAGTAATGGAATTTTATATTTAGAATCGAGTGGGAACCCAGTAGCTTAAAATCTTTACTACACCCTCACTGCACCTGTAATGCCCTAAAATAGGGCAGCATACAGGGTAGCAGAACAGAAATAATACTGTCTTTGATTTTGTTTGTTTGTTCTCAGGTGGAAAAGATCATTCCAGATCAGTCTGTTTTTCTGTGTGCCGGTTATGGGCATGATGATCTACATGATAGTTGTGGATCACATGATCGACAAGTATCATCAACATCATAACGCCACCGCTGAGGACAGAGCGAAATATCACTCCACAATGTTTCTGGAGAAACAGCTTCTGCCAGGCCTCTCCATCATGAACCTCATCTCGTTTCTCTTCTGTGTTCCTGTGCAGGTTGGTTTACTGCAAGTTTCAATTTCTTTGTTTAAATTGTTCAGTTCTGCACGAAAGATCTCTTTGTTTTTAGTGACTATACCGGTTTTGTCTGTCTGCAGTTTATCGGCGGGAGGTATTTTTACTGTCAAGCCTACAAAGCTGTCAAGCACCGGACGGCCAATATGGATGTTCTGATTGTTCTTGCTACAACAATTGCCTTCACGTATTCAGTGGTGGTTCTTCTGGTTGCCATGGTCGAGAGGGCAAAGGTCAACCCCATCACCTTCTTTGATACTCCGCCAATGCTGTTTGTGTTCATCTCGCTGGGCCGCTGGCTGGAGCAGATAGCAAAGGTGAACAAACATTTCCATAAGTTATTCACACTACACCTCGTGTAAGAGCTGCTTGTACATTACACTAACATCATTTGGAATGATTATTAACTCTTTCCCTGCCATTGAAAAGTTTTTAAGCCAATCCGTGTTTTAGGTATATTACGGTTGTAGAAGCTATATATATATATATATATATATATATATATATATATATATATATATATATATATATATATATATATATATATATATATATATATAGAAAATGCACTACTTGTAGAAAAGTTTTTTGTAAAAAGGTTACATTTTTCATGAAACCTACCTGCATTAAAGTATATATATAAAAACATGAACACATGAAGATGAAGGTTTTTTTTTTGTTTAAAATCAGAGCAACTCTCCCATTCTTATTTTGATATATAATATGCTCATATAAGCCATATACATGCAATATGGTCATTCCTAGCTGAAAATGTTCAGAGGGCTGTCAAGCACTGGCAGGGGAAGAGTTAAAATATTAGTAAGTATTTTGGTCTCAAAGGCTGCAATTATTTGATTTGAAAATATATATACTATATTATATATAAAGATATGAAACAATTTAAAAACTTATAAAATATTATTGAAATGATTCAATTCAATTGAATTTAACAGTAAGAGCTTAAGGCTTTGCTTAGTCAAAAAAAATCTACATTTCCAGGTAATCAGCAGTTCTATAAGATGATCCTGAACTTATGTGTATCTGTCTGAGAGGTTTTTATGGATGGCTGTCTTCATGTTGGGCATGATGAGTGACAGGGTGGCCGTCTTTTCATTACACAGGACAGTCGTGGCTCTTTTCAGCAGTTTAGGCAGGTTTACCATTTCTTCGGCGTCGCTGATGTCAGCGCTATCAAGTGTATCATTTTGACGTGCATTTTTGTGTACCTCTGTACTCAGAAGAGTTAATGCTCGTCGTATTCATAACTCTAAAATGCGATATAATTATTTAAATAATGTGCACGCTTTCGGTTTAATTTCCACTGCTGTTCATACTTCCCACGCGGTTCCTGAACGATCACTCTGTTCCACAAACTGAATGTTGTTTACTAATTTATTACCTGTTAGTCACAACCTGCAGGTTCTGTTCACTGAAGCAGACGCGCGCGCTTATCATAGTCCGCCCTCTGTAGTAACAGCTCACGGTCAGCTCACGTCATGTGTGATTTTGCGGCCGCCAATACATCATTATATGAAGACAGAATGATATTTTAGGGTGAATTGTACCTTATAAATACAGTATGTGACTCTTTCAACACCATTAGGAGGTATCCATGTCGCTGTGGAAAGTATGTGAATCACTGTGAAGACTAAAACTTAGGCTATGTTTGACACAGTGTGCATGTCAAAAAGTGTACGAGTCTAAAGCAATGACTGTACAACCGAAATGTTGCCAGACGTCTGATTTTGAGAGGATGGGCCATCCTCTATTTCAACTCCACTCATCTTGGTCTGCTAACATTACTGCTGCTGCAATCTGAACTCACGTGCGACAGCAGGTGGAACGTAGCTCACGTGCAAACAGCTCAACTAAAAAGAGAAAACGAACGTCATATCATAATCAAATCGTCATAACGCCACGATGCATATTGTTACATTTTTGCATCGCAATAAATCATACAACGATAAATCGTTACAGCCCTAATATATATATATATATATATAAATTATTACAATTTTAATATTACAAAATAAAAATATTACAAAATATTACAAAATTATAAATATTTAAAATAGGCACTATTCTTATAAATAAACTGCATAGTTGCTATCTAAACCACTACATTCTTGCCTGAAAAAGCCTCAAAAGTGCATTATGTTGTCCAACAGCTACAACATTTATCAAACTGTGAGTTTATTGATCTACTGTCACTCTATGTGGACTGAGTAATACAGAAAAGTGAGGAGGCTGTATGAGTTTTGATATTGCAGAATATCCCATGGCTTCAGTCAATCAAATTCGAAAACCACACACACTCACATAATTCAGTTATTATAATGGATCAGTAACTATTAGCAAATTGAAGAAACTGTTATCTATTTGAATATATTTTAAAATGTAACTTATTTCAGTAATGGCGAAGTTGTCTTTTTAGCAGACATTAATGTATTATCCTTTAAAAATCATTTTCATATGCTGATATTGTGCTCGAGGTAGAACACAGTTGTGTTGAAAATAGGTTAACTGATTACAAAAAATATGTACATTCAAAGTGATAGGCTGCTATTTGAATGAGAAGCTTTCTGCCACAAATATAGCCATTTTGCTGAAATTTCTAAACTTCTATTTACAAAAGATAATATTGTTTAAACCTTTTAACTTTGATATCAAAAGCCTTTATCAGTAACTGAGCATATTAAAATCAGCTTATTAAACTGATTTCTGAAGGATCATGAGAGTTTAGTTTAGCTTTGCCATCACAAGAATAAATTACATTTCAAAATATATTCCAACAGGTATTTTAAATGATAATTTTTCACAATATTACAGTTACATTATTTTTTACTAAAAGGAAATGTCAGGGAATCTTCAGGAAATGTCAAATATTAATTATCCTGCTGATTTTTTAATTTCCTGCTTCACTGTTGATGTCGTTTGGTCTTCAATTGCAGAGTAAGACCTCCGAGGCACTGTCCAAGCTGATGTCTTTACAGGCCACAGAGGCCACTGTAGTTACACTCAATGAGGACATGTCTGTGTTAAGGTTTGTGCATTTCCTGTGCTGTTTCAGTTTTAATTCCCTTCATACAAAAAGCACAGTCGATTCTAATCAGACTTATACTCATGACCTTGTATCTCTGTGTCTCTCAGTGAAGAGCAGGTGGATGTGGAGCTGGTGCAGAGGGGAGATGTAGTGAAAGTTGTGCCTGGAGGGAAGTTTCCAGTGGACGGCCGGGTGATTGAAGGGCACTCCATGGCAGACGAGTCTCTCATTACGGGTTCGAGAGGGCTATTTCCTCTGCACTAACATAAATGAAATCAAAGGAGGATGAATAATTGTTGTGCTTTCCATGGCGTCATACAGTGACGTCCAAAAGCTTGAGAGCACTTGCAGAATTATTAACATGTGAAATAAAACAAGCCTTTCATATAATAGCACTATATTATATAATTATAATAACTATGTTAATTATTTATTGTTTTATTTGGGCCACCACCTAGAACATCCTAGCAGTAACTAAACAACCAATCCATTAGCATAAGCAACAACCTCACATATGTTTTTCAGTGTCTAGGATATAACAGTAGTTATGTTTCCATCCAAATATGCGAATTAACGTTATGCGCAAAACTGGGCGGAAGGAGGGTGAGATGCATGAATTCCTGGAGATTATCATTCATTTGCAGGCATTCGGGAGTCTCTGCATATGTGGGAGACTCCCAGAACTCCGGGGAGACTTGGGATCTCTGCAGAACGATATAAGGGTGTCTCATGCAGCACTTTAAGTAAGGTTGCATAGTTTATCTGACTCTGTATCTCTGGCATCTTTTAACTTTCACCAGCGCATCAGTATCTGGTGTCACATCCTGAGGGATGTGATTCCAGTGCTTGTACATGAGTTTTCTTTTGTTTATGCTCATTACAGAGATAACTTGCTTACAAAGATATGTGGTTTTAAACATAGTGGCTAATTTGTATGTATTTGTATAATCTCATTCTTACAATTTAGTATTATTTGCTTATCCACCAGTGATGGTTAGGTTTAGGGGTGTGGTTGGGTGCCATGCCTCCTTTTTAAAAAGGGACATTTTCTTACGAGTGAACTCTAAATAAACACTAAACTGACAAAATGTTAAATAGTTACATTTACTTGTGAGAACACCTCAGTGTGGTATGGCACAGCATAGATGTGGTCTTTTTTTCTGAGAAGGCTGTCAAACTGATGCTGATTCAGGCTTCTGGATCGGATGAAATTAATAGTTTGCTATTGCGCCGTCAAGTGGACACAATTATAATAGCAGTTTCTTTTATTGGAAATTTGCAGCTAATTTTTATACTTTCATCTCACAGGCTGGAATAAACACGTTTGCGTGCCTGATCCAGCCCGCGGGCTGTACGTTTGACACCCCTGCTCTAGACAATACTGGAGGTCATTAATAATATAATAACACTAATACTGAAATGGTTAATGTTTTAGAATGGCCAAAACAACATTTCAGATGTTTTACAATGTGCTCAGCCTGCTGGATTTTCCATTCACACACATTTTTATCATCATGTGATCTCTTATCGCATCACAGAATCACAAGACTTTTATAAATGTGCATACTGGAATTTGTTCAGTTAAAGTGTTTCCATCGTAGTTTATGCGCATCTTTTCTTATCGAATAAAATGTTAATCCTACTCAGTTATACCCATATATTTTTATGCGCATTTTCAACATTTATGCACATTTCCATCAACCATTTTTGGTCACACTCTATTTTGATGGTCCGTTTGTTGAATTAAGTTATATTGCATCTTCATGCCAACTAGTTCTCATTAGATTAGAAGTAGACTGTTAGGTTGGGATTAGTGTTGGTGTAAGTTGACATGTACTTGCAAAGTTTCTTACAGTCAGTTAAATGTCTGTTGAAGGAGCAGTATCAACAGATATTAAACTGACAGTCTACTAATACTCAAATGGACCATCAAAATAAAGTGTTACCCCATTTTTTATGCGGACCTTTCAAATGCCCATAAAATAGATGGATGGAAACATAGCTTTGTCTAGGATATTTTCAGACTAATGTTTCTTTCCTTAATACATTACTGGTCAATAGAGTATAATATATACTATCAGAAAAAATGAATGACGAATAGGATGAAATTAATAAACAAGTAGTTATCCCTGCAAAATTGGCGCACATTGTTTGTATTATAAGTTTTTGATAATGTTGATAATGTTTAAATATGCAAATGAGACATTGTTTAATTAAATATTTGCTCATATACATTCATTTCTAGATCAAGCATTGAATAAACATTCAGTGAAGTCAGGTTCAAAATACTAGTTTTATTTTCACATTTTGATAGTTTTCTTACAGAGGGGATTTGGGGACTTTATTTTTTATTACTCATCCCATTTAAATATACATTATAAAATACAAACAAGCAGTTCACAGTGTGCAGTTTTTTTGTTGGATAACATGTTGAATATAATCATACCAAATTATTTATGAACACTATGATCATTATGAAACATCTATGATTCAGTCCAGGAAAACTAGACTTTAGCTTATTAAAAAATATCAATTTAGTGTAATTGAAATATACAGACACATATTGATTAAATATGACAAGGTTAAATGTCTTAAATCCAGGGTGTCCAAACTCGAAGGGCTGGTGTCCTGCAGAGTTTAGCTCCAACCTTTCTCATAACACCAGCCAGGATGTTTCTAGCAAGCCTATTAACTGCTATATTACCTGGCTCATGTGTGTATGATTGAGGTTGGAGCTAAACTCTAAAGGACACTGGCCCTCCAGGACCTTGTCTGGGCACCCCTGTCTTAAATGTTTTTTTTTTTTTTTTGCTTTTTTTTGTTTGTTTTTTGTTTTGCATTTTTTGTTGCATTAGACTCTGTATGTAAAAGCAGTATGAAAAGCCAAAAAGCCCAAATCCCAAAATTGACTGGTGAATGAAAGAAGCTGCCTTTTTCCTGCAATGTCTTATCTTCATTTTTCACCCTGTACAGTGCCTGATTGTAGTGTAATAATGATGTGTGTTGTGGTGCAGGTGAAGCCATGCCCGTTACCAAGAAGCCGGGGAGCACTGTTATTGCGGGCTCGATCAATCAGAACGGCTCTCTGCTGATCAAAGCCACTCATGTGGGCACAGACACCACCCTCTCTCAGATCGTCAAACTGGTGGAGGAGGCACAGACTTCAAAGGTGCGTCTGAGAGCTCAGCATCTGCTAGCATTTCAGCTCTTTAGATAATAACTGTTTTTGATTTTTCAGATTATCACACATGAATGCTAATTTTTTTTCAGTGTGTGATGCTATATGATATATATTTTTTGAATTATATTTTATCTTTTTAAAATTTCTCCTAAATGAGTTTTAACAGAGCAGGGAATTTTTCACAGTATTTCTCATAATATTTTATTTGTTTTTTTCCTGCTAGAATAAAAGTTTTTTTTTTTACTTTTTAAAAGTTTTTTTTAATTTAAGGTCAGTATTATTAGCCCCTTAAGAAACATATATTTTTAGATTGTCTACAGAACAAACCACTGTCTTGCCCAATCACCCTAACTAGCCGAGTTAGTCTAGTTAAGCCTTCACGTTGCACTTTAAGCTGAATTCTAGTATCTTGAAAAATATCTAGTACAATGTTATATATCATCATCATAGCAAAAATAAAATAAGTACTGTATAAGAAATCAGTGATTAAAATGATTGTTTAGAAATGTGTTGTAAAAAATCTTCTCTCCATTAAACAGAAATGGGATACAACGAATAAAAGATTTTAAATGAACAGGAGGGCTAATAATTATGTTAGTAAAATTTATATACAATATGTTTTTTGAACATTTTATTCATCAAACTTTACAAAACTGTATAATGGTTTCTGCTAACATTAAAACCAGTACAATCTATTTTTTAACATTGACAAATATTTTTAAAAAGCTATAAAAATGGGACCCATAAATGTGTAAATGTAACTGTAAAAGTAATAATAAAGCTATTAAAACAATAAAATACATTTTTTATGTTTACCGTGAACATGATGTAACCAAGATAAAACCCCCCCTCATTATCTGGTTATGAAAGTTAAAGAAATGCATGCATTATTGTACAAAGCTGACTTCAATTATTTTAATCTTAAGTTTTTTAAATGGAAGGAAACATTTATCTGTTTTTGAAAAAATATTTGTTTGTGTATTTGTTCAGTACACTGAATCAACTAAATCTAACCTTAACTTTGGTCTAAATAAACTTTTTTCATTTAACGATTTCAGGCTCCCATCCAGCAGTTTGCAGATAAAATCAGTAGCTACTTTGTCCCGTTCATCGTTGTGATCTCCGTTCTGACTCTCTTGGCCTGGATTATCATTGGCTTTGTGAACTTTTCGCTTGTGCAGACGTATTTCCCAGTAAGTGAAGCCTGTCTTACATGAGTGCTTAAATGGAACATTCACCCACAAATGAAAATTCTGTCATCATTTACTCAGCCTCCATTTGTTCTTAAAAGATTCATTTCTTTCTTCTTTTGAACACAAAGAAAGATATGCTGAACAACGTTGGGAGAAAAAAGCAGCTATTGATTTCCATTGTGTTTTGTTCCTACTGTGGATATCAAAGATTTTTATCACCAAAATTTTTTTAAATGTCTTTTTTGTGTTCAACAGAAGAAAGAAATTCATAAAAGTTTGGAACCTGTGTGAGTTCGAGGAAATTAAAATACTTTCATTTTTAGGGTAACTATCCCTTTAGGCCTGAAAGTATCCGTATAAAATTTTTTTTTTTTTTTCTCCCAAGTCAACTTATAATGTTAGTCAGAGTTAGTTTCACAAAGCTTTGAGTAGTTGTGAATATGAGATTGTTTTTACAAGGCAAGTCAAACTATCTCTTACATGAAGAGCAAGAAACATTATTTTTTCTGTTACTCTAGATTCTCTTTAAAGGAGTAGTTCACTTCCAGAATGAAAGTTCTGCTGTCATTTACTCATCTTCCACTTGAACAGTTGAGGGTCACCATTGACTTCCATAGTAGAGAAAAAAAATATTGCAGCAGTGAATGGGGAAGATGCTACTTTAAAATATTCAGACTAAAGTGTTCTGTTTTTTTTTTTACTTGGTCAGGTTTCTATTTTGTCCTTGAACATATTGAATGGAGAATGTGTTTCTCTGCAGGGTTATGATAAGAGTATCTCTGAAGCGGAGGCTGTCATCCGCTTCGCCTTCCAGGCCTCCATCACTGTCCTGTGCATTGCTTGCCCCTGCTCTCTGGGTCTCGCAACCCCCACAGCAGTAATGGTGGGCACAGGGGTCGGAGCCCAGAATGGAATCCTCATCAAGGGAGGAGAGCCATTAGAGATGGCACACAAGGTCAGAGATTTAAAGCGCCCCTTTTATGCTACATTAAGATCATAGATTTAGTGTTGGTAGTCTCCTACCATGGGTTTACATGAACCTAATTCTATACAGTGTCTGAATAGTTTTTTTTAAGCTGCGCTATGGTCAGATGGTTGGGTCTGTAGTGATTGGTCTACTTCTAAATAGTTTTAACAAATGGCAAGCTGAATAAATCAGTGCTAAAAAAAAAAAACAATCTTTTCGTAATCTAGTCAGTAGTAGGAAGAAAATCAAAACATTTTTTAAAACTCAAGACATGATGAGGTTATTTACTTATTTAAGATACCGTATCAGAGACACAACACTTACTCATGGACCTTTACTAAAAGGAGAAGTTCCTCTAAAATGTCAGTATTGCAACAGAAATCAAAGTGTTACTTTTGGAATGGCCTATTTACAGACAATGATTTTTATGTGGCGAGACTATAAAGGAAATTTATTTTTATTAATTTTCTTAATTAATTTAAATAGTACTATTTTTTTTATCTAAAGTAAACCTTAAAAATCAGTTTTTTTTATTATCATAGAAAAGTGATATTTATAAAATGTTGTAAATTTGATTTGGTTTTGTCATGAAATAACCAGAATAAATTCAAAACTCTCTTTCTCTACTACTTATAGTACATGCTAGAAACTATATGAATTTCTGGAGGTTTCCTCAACATTTGTAAACACAGTAATATGAGAAACAATTGCATCAGTTTTACTGTATCACCCTTGTGAAAACCAAGAACGTTCAGGCCTCAGATACAAACACCATGAGTGTCAATGTAAAGGCAGCCAGTGAAGATCATAGTGTGTCATTATGCAAATTTGTTACAAAGCTGCATATCAAGTTTTTGTAAATACTGATGACTTGTTTTAGGTCAATCAAGTTTCGTTGTTTGAAACAAAGCATAAAATGGATGCTTTGCATCCAAAGTATATGCCAAAGTATATACACATCACTCTCGTGAATGCAAGCCCTATATTGACACTGAGGAGAAGAAACTGTTAAATGAAGTTGTATTATTGTTTTTATTTGCAACTTAATCTTTACGACATTTCAGACCTTTTATATTGAAAAAGAGCCTCAATACAAGCTTTGTGAAAGTTGATGTGTCAAGGCATAATATTTCCACTTTAATTAAATTAAATTTCCACTTTTTTGTTGTGTAGCTACACAGTAGTTGTAGTCTGAATGAAATCATTTTTCATATATTTGTTTGTGCTTTCAGATTCAGTCTGTGGTATTTGACAAAACAGGCACAATCACATATGGAGCTCCCAAAGTGGTCCAGGTGAAGATGCTGGCAGAAGGGAATCGGTTGCCACGCTCTAAACTGCTGGCGATTGTCGGCACTGCTGAGAATAGCAGTGAACATCCTCTGGGTGCTGCTATCACCAAATATTGCAAACAGGTCTGTTTGACTTGTGCTGTTCTTTACTTACCTACTTTCATGGGGTTAGTTTGGTTTGGTTAAATTTGCACATACAAACATTATTATAACAATTACAAAGTAAATCAATTTCTTACCATTTAAAAATAAAAACAGGACAGTGTCCAAATGGCATAATTAAGGAAAACAGAAATAAAAAATAAAGACATTTTAAACGACACTATTTAATTTGTTTATTTTGTGCTATTTAATTAAATTTGTAGCACTTTATTTAAAAGTCTTGTTTCACAAGTTCATAATACGTACTTATAGCCATTATTGTACATAAAATGAGGTAATAACCTACCCATAAACCTAACCTTAACACAAGTAGTTACCTTATGTAACCCATTTCTTTCAAGTAATTATTAAGTGCACAGACAGTAAATAAAAAGTGCCTCCATTAAATCTGTTAAATAATGGTAATTAATACTTTCGCACATTAAATATGTAGTGAATTGATCAAACGTTACAATATAGACAGTAAAATAGGTGGGGTTGTGCCAATAAGGATTAAGTTTAATGAAGTTTATAGCTAATCAGAGATGTTTGGTGTATCTATTAAGTAGACTTATTAATCGTATACAAGATAAAAGGTTTTATTTAGATGCATACATGTGTATTTTGCATATTTAAGTACAGATGTGGACAAATGTGTAGGTACTCTTCAGTTTTGTCTAGGCCAGTTTCATTAGTTTGCCTTTTTAATGATTCTGTTGAAAGGCAATTCAAACTAAATGTCTTGATTTCATTACTTTATTTTTTAGCAATTTTTGATTAATCATTACATTTCTAAAAATATTTTATACAATGTAGTCATTATAGATATATTTATACACACAAAAATATACACAGGATGCACAAAAATATTTTGCATGTAATTAATCACAATTAATTGTTTGACAAATGCAGCGATAGGCATTCATTTACAAAATCTTACAGAACCCAAACATTTGAGTGGTAGTTTATGTAAAAAAATATGCCAGTGCCATATTTTGTCAGTACAGCATTTTTTAGGGTGTTTCATTAATATTTTTACATTAGTTTTTGTATTAGAGCTCATCATGCTTTGAATTACATGAAAATCTATATTTGGCATTTGGATTCACAAAGCGTCTTCTGTGTTTAGGAGTTGGGGACAGAGTCTCTTGGCACTTGCACAGATTTTCAAGCTGTGCCAGGTTGTGGGATCAGGTGTTTGGTCAGTAACACAGAAAACCTGCTGAAGAGGGAGGACAGCGACAGTGAGGAGAACCAGCACAATGCTGTGTTGATCCAGATCAGTGATGCCAGAGCACACAGCACTGAACACCCACTCATCATGGACCCGCAGCCACTCAGTCAGTGTCACCATTGCAGAAATACTGAGAATGAAATTCTGAAATGTTATTGTCGCAGTGTGGTGCTTGATCCTGAATGGCTGAGTTAATTGTACTGTGTGTGTGTTTTGTTATTTCAGCTGTAGTTCAGACGGCCTCATACACAGTGCTGATAGGGAACAGAGAGTGGATGAGGAGGAATGCGCTGCAGGTGCGAGCAGATGTAGATGAAGCCATGACAGAGCATGAGAGGAGAGGGTGCACCGCTGTGCTGGTGGCTGTGGACAGTAAGTGTGTGACAGGGTTACTTCAGACCTAAGCACCAGAAATTTCTTTTGGAAAACATTAAGAGTGAGATCAATTGTAAAACTACAGTTGTAAAAAAAACAGTTGTTGATTTTGGTTCATAACTTTTTAGTAGCTGCTTGATTGAAGCTTTTAAAAGTATAGTTAAAGCAAAAACTACATTTGTTGTAGGCCTTTCAAGATGAAGAAAAGACTCATTCATCAATAGAACATTAAAGTACATATGAATCAAAACTAACCATATTGATTTTCTTATCTCACATTGATGGTTGTTTGGTGAGCAATTCATCTGTGCATGTCATTAAGAAAAAAATTGTTTGCCCTCGTAATCTAAAATTAAAATCTGAAAATGCACATCCTGTTTGTTTTCAGTAAAATTGTCAGATTACATCTGTCTCAGGCATTGGGCGTGGGTATAATACTTAACCACGCTCTTCCAACAGATTTAAAAGTGCTATGACAGCAAACAGAAATGAGGAGGAGGAGTTGTCTGTTAGGTTTTAATAACTCTACCCAAAACCTTTTCCCAATTTTTTTGCATGAAATGCATACTTTACTACGTCCAATCAGCTCGCAGTAGAAAAAACAAGCCACACCCACTGTTTTTTTCATAAGGAACTGTCTCAAAATGAAACAAGCTTTTCATTCTTGCTGACTTTAAAGTTTGGTCTTTGTGATTTATAAAATGTAATGTGTCAACCATTACTCGTTTTTTTTTTAGAGGGTTAAAAAAACAATGTGAAGGAACAGAAACAATTATGTCTGTGGCTCCTGACAAAATGAACATTATTTACAACATTATTACCAGAGATACAAAGCCTCTGCAGATAATATTGTAATTAATGATTTAAAACATAGATGTTTTACCTTAAACATGTAAAATGAATGAACTAGTCTTTGTCAAATCACCATTTTATATTAACTGTTAGAAACCATAAACATTCTTTTTAACCTTAAATCATTCATACAGTTTTCATTTCTGCAGTCAGAGCTGTTTTCTGGGCATAGGTATGCTTGAAGATTGAATAACTTGATTGACTAACTTTATTCTGGCTCGAGTTGCAAACTGTTTGGTTGATTTGGTGAATTGGTTCATGTAAAAAGGTAGATAAAAATAAGGCACACCTAGCAAAAAAATTTCACTGCATCAAATTTGCATTGGTTTTGTGAATGCGTTCAGAAACAGTGTCAGATATGCTACCGGTGACCATAAAATTAATCTAAACATTTACAAACATTTTAAACTTATTTTAGTTCCTCTTTAATTTTATTATTTAGAAGAGCACAAAAGAAGTACATTCTGTGATTTGTTGGTTGCAATTGCTGTCAGATATGATACTTTTATTTCTGGGGTTTTCTGAACAAATGCATTCATTATCAAGTACACAACTGCTTGCATACAGCCTAACTACAGTCATTTTACATCATACTATGGTTTTGGGGGAAAAGCAGGCTCCTACATGTGAAATACGGCTTGGAGATATGGTTTCTACTTTACATTCAGAGCAAATTAGGTACTGTTTGAATGAAAAACTTGAGCAATTTGACAAATCTGGCATTCTTTAATCTGTTCCATTGAGGAAATCTTATGGACTAATGCATCATTTGAACATGTTTTACTTTTTTCTCTTTTTACGTTTAATTTCTTTCAAAATATATAAAATTGTGAATCCTTCTTTCAAAGTCTGAAATGAAATTTATTTGACAAAAAAGACCAGTAAAAAGAAAAATGTGTACAAAACAAATATTCTATATAAACAAGTTTATAGAAACTGAAACTTACTGAAAATGTCTCACAATAACGCACATCCCTCTCATTCAGCAACAACCCAAAGTCTTTCATACTTTGTGCATGTTTTATTAATGCTTTATGCTAAACTGCATCATATTGGCTTGGAATTTAAACCACATCATGTTTAAATCGAAATAGAATATTATACAATAGTATTTAAATAGCATTTACTATTGAAATATTATACAATAGTAAACATGTCAGCACGGTTATTTTAAAGTAAAATTCATTGCAAATTACCTACAAAATAACTACATAATAGTCTAATTAAAATAACTTTGCCAAGTAGTGCACAGTGTTTTAATTTTAAGATTGTGTTTTGTTCTCAGATGAGCTTTGTGCAATGGTGGCGATAGCAGACACAGTGAAGCCTGAGGCAGAGCTTGCGGTTCACGTTCTGTCTGCGATGGGGCTGGAGGTTGTGCTGATGACTGGAGACAACAGCAAAACAGCTCGAGCCATCGCTGCTCAAGTAAAGAACCATTTAATATTGCCTCAAAATGCTCCTATTTTGCTATTTAGAATGGTACGTTTTATATACAATGCCTGACAAAAGACTTGTTGTCAATCCCAGTTGTAAGAGCAACAAATAATAACTTCACTTCTAAATGATCATTTGGAAAAGTGGCAGAAGGTATTTCTTTTGCCAGAAGGTTTTCCCATGAATCATCTCTTGAACTGCATCCCAATCATCACAAATACTGCATAAGACCTATTGGAACCCCTACAGACCCAAGATTCTCACCAAAATCAGTCAAGTTCGGTGAGGGAAAAAGCTTGGTTTGGAGTTACATTAATTTGGGGCATGCGAGGGATCTGCAAAGTGGTTAGTAAGATCAACACCCTGAGGTATCAAGACATTTGTGCTGTTTATTACATTACAAACCACAGGAGAGGACAAATTCTTCAGCAGGATAGCGCTCCTTCTCATACTTCAGCTTCCATGTCAATGTTCCAGAAAGCAAAGAAGGTCAAGGTGCTTCTGGATTGGCCAGCCCAGTCACCAAGTATGAAGAGTATTGAGCATGTCTGGGGTAAAATGGAGGAGGCGGCATTAAAGATGGATTCAAAGAATCTTGATGAACACTGGGAGTCCTGCAAGAATGCTTTCTTTGCCATTCCAGAGGACTGCATTAATAAGTGATTTGAGTCATTGCAGAGATGTATAGATGCAGTCACCCAAGCTCATGGAAGTCATACACAATATTAATTCTTTTTCCACTGCACCATGACTTTATATTCTATACTATACATTATTTCTGTCAAGTGACAAGACTTTTGTCTAAGCAATGTCAGACCTTACTTTCCTAATTAAATAATTAGAAAATTAAGGCATGATCATATTTTAGTCTAGTAAAATAAGCATAATCTAGAGGTCTTTGCCTTTCATATAAGCCACTTCTGATACCAAATGATCAACTAGAAGTCAAGTTATTATTTGTTGTTCCTGAAACTTGGATAGGCGACAAGACTTTTACATTTACATTTACATTTAGTCATTTAGCAGACGCTTTTATCCAAAGCGACTTACAAATGAGGACAAGGAAGCAATTTACACCACTAAGAGCAACAATGAATAAGTACTAAAGGCAAGTTTCAGGTCTGTAAAGTCTAAGAACGGAAGTGTTAGTAATTTTTTTTTTTTTTTTTTTTTTTTTTTTTTTTTTTTTTTTTTTTTTTTTTTTTTTTTTGTTTTTTTTTTTTTTTTTTTTTTTTTTTGTACAGTTAGTGTGATATTCAAATAGGCAATTGCAGATTAGGAAGTGAAGTGGAGACTAAATAGTTGAGTTTTTAGTCGTTTCTTGAAAATAGCGAGTGACTCTGCTGTTCTGATGCAGTTAGGGAGTCAGGTAGTTTCAGCAATCAAAGGATAAAGTGAATTATTGTTTCCGTGAAGAATATATTATACGAAGTGTTTTGATGCAAAACCTATTGTAGTAGAGGAACTCCAAAACAAAATGACGAAAATTGAAAATGGCATTATTGGTGCACTTTAAATTATAATATTTGCTATATTAAAGGTGTAGTTCATCAAAAAAATTACTCACCCTCAAGTGGCTCCAAACCTTCATACGTTTCTTTATTCTCTTGAACATTAAAAAAGATATTTTGAAGAAAGCTAAAGACCTGTAACCAATGACTGCCATAGAAGGAAAAACAACTACTATAGGAAGTCAATGTTTACAGGTGTTTTATTTTACAGGTGTTTTGCTTTATTTTGTTTGCAACAGAAGAATAAAAATCAAACTGCTATGAAACAAGTAAAGATAGAGTAAATAATGACTTTGATATTGAGCGACAATAATATTTACGTCTGAGTTTGTGCTGTATTTTATCCAGGTGGGCATCAGGAAGGTGTTTGCTGAAGTCTTGCCGTCTCATAAAGTGGCAAAGGTGGAGCAGCTCCAGCAGGAAGGAAAGCGTGTGGCGATGGTGGGTGACGGGGTGAATGACTCTCCTGCTCTGGCCATGGCGGATGTGGGCATTGCAATTGGCACAGGCACAGATGTAGCTATCGAGGCTGCTGATGTGGTGCTTATCAGGGTATGAATGTTAATTTTGTCATGGCTGGCCTACACTCTGTAGCTGCATCCCAAATGGCACACTACACACTATGCACTTATGCACTTACACACTCAACAGCATTGTAGATGTATGTAGTGTCATCCCAAATGGAGCACTGTTTTTTTTACTTAGCAGAAATTTAAACCGTATCCCTGATGACGTTTGATTGTTGACAAATCAGTGAAATAAATGTTTCATTTAAATCGGGCTAGGATTTTTTGTTACATATGATTTCTATTACATATTTTTAAATTGTTATTAACATTATTGCCACACCCAAAAAAAGCATACAAAAAACTATTGCTTGCTTGGTTGTTTTGGTAGACCCAAGATGTTTTTCATACTTTTAGTGCATTTTTCTAAACAACTTGTGTCATGTCTTTATTTTAAACAGAATGATCTTCTTGATGTTGTTGGGAGCATTGACCTTTCAAAGAAGACCGTCAAAAGAATCAGAATCAACTTTGTATTTGCACTAATGTACAATCTTGTAGGAATTCCCATTGCTGCAGGTAATCCAAACAAAATGACTAGACACAACATTTAAACAACTAAATTATAAGTGGTGCTTGAAACGAAGTTAGAAATTGTGAGGAAAAACACGTCATTTTTATTGTGAGAAAAAAAGAGAAACCTTACTGACCCAAATGAGTAGAACATTAGCATATGTGGTGTTTTTTCCTGGTAGCTATATTTTGTGAAATATATAAGTTTAAAAATCATGTACTGTAGATGTTTGATGTTTAAAACTACATTTTAGGTAAATATTACATTGGATAATCATTTATGGTGTTTGTCGTTTTAGTGAACCTCCAGTCTGTAGCTTTTTCATAAAGGTGTCTGTTATTGCTTGAGTTGCATTATGGGATGCTGTTGTTTGCAGGTGTGTTTATGCCTGTGGGGTTGGTTCTGCAGCCCTGGATGGGCTCTGCTGCTATGGCTCTATCTTCTGTGTCTGTAGTGCTGTCCTCCCTCCTGCTAAAATGGTAAACCTTTCAGATCCTAACATTTAGAGTTGAAATAGATGAAATTAATTAAACATGTTTACATGTGTTAACAGCGTTGATTATACTAATGTCAATTAATGTGACCGTTATGATAATTTGGGTTATTTGGCTTTTGGAAACTTACAAAAAGATCCAGTAATATATACAGTATACAGTTAAGGTCAGAATTCTTAGCCCACCTTTGATTTTTTTTCTCTTTTTTTAAATATTTGCCAAATTATGTATAACAGAGCAAAAAAATTTTCACAGTTCGTCTATGTCTGGTAATATTTTTTTCTTTTGGAGAGTCTTATTTGTTTTATTTCGGCTAGAATAAAAGCAGTTTTTAATTTTTTAAAAACCAATTTTGGGACAATATTATTAGCCCCTTTAAGCTATTTTTTTTTCGATAGTCTACAGAACAAACCATCATTATACAATAACTTGCCTAATTACCCTAACCTGCCTAGTTCACCTTATTAACCTAGTTAAGCCTTTAAATGTCACTTTAAGCTGTACAGAAGTGCCTTGAAAAATATCAAGTAAAATATTATTTACTGTCATCATGACAAAGATAAAATAAATCAGTTATTAGAAATAGGTTTCTAAAACTATTATGCTTAGAAATGTGCTGAAAAAATCCTCCCTCCATTAAACAGAAATTGGGGAAAAAAATAAACAGGGGCGCTAATAAGTCAGGGGGGCTAATAATTCTGACTTCAACTGTATATATATTTTTAAATCATGATTAATATTTTTGACAGTGTTTTTTGAAATACTCTCAGATATGTCACAATTTTTTACCTTGCTGTATGCATTGTTCAGATTTACATTTTGGAAATCTATGCAAATCAGTGTTTGTTTATGGTCATCATCCATATAAACATCCTGATAATGCCCTTATTTCCATATTTAAACAAAAATTCAGAAAACTTACAAAATAGCAAGAAAATATGCTGAGGCCTTCATGTATATCAGTCAACTGCTAAAGTACAGCAATGTCTATAACTTAAAGGGATAGTTCACTCAAAAATTCATCTTTTCCTCAACCTGTTACAGTTTCTTCTATTAAACACCAAAGATAATGTTTTGAAGAATTTTGAAATCCAATAAACTTGTAGTGTCAAAATGAATTGTTTCTTCAGCACCGTGATGCAGACACGATAAATTCAGTATCAGATTAGTAATAGATCATAACTGGTTTTTACGCACTGATGTCATTTATATCATATTGTGGTAGCTTATTATAGCGAGGGAGGTGAGCTTAAGTAATTAAAAAATGCAAAAAATGCAGAAACTGTGCTCAATTCACTGCGTGTATGTTTGTGGGTATTATCATTAATCAGCCAGTGCTTCTTTCCATATTATATAATACCGACTTTCTGTTTCTGCAGTTACACTAAACCCACTGTTGAGAAGCTAAAAAGACGACTGGGAGATGTGAGAACTCACGGCAGCCTGTCCGACGTCAGTGTTCACATCGGCATGGGAGAACTGCGTCGCCCCTCACCCAAACTCAGCCTGCTGGATCGTTTTGTCAACTACAGCCGAGCCTCCATCAACTCATTGCGATCCGACAAACACTCCATGAACAGCATGGCCCTCAGCGAACCCGACAAACACTCTCTACTGGTGGGAGACGATCACTGCGACAACGAGATAGTCTGAGGGTCTCTGGAGCTTCGCTTTACCGCAGTGCCTGCAGTCCAGGAGGATCTAATGAGGGTCTTCCTGCTTCAGTGGCCCTTTGATTGTCCAGCCATTTACATACTTTCAGATGGCCTCCGTTTACATGGAAATGGATTGCATTTTACAGTAAGGTCTCATTTGTTGGCGTTAGTTATCGTGTACTCTACCACATGTCCTTCCAAAGGACTTTTATTTATCTTTGAAATACAAATGAAGAGATTTTTAATCAAATTGGAGAGATTTCTTTTTTTCTATTCCTCTGTTGCAAATCCTAAATCAGATGCTTCAAAACACAAATTAAGATGTTTAAGTCTTCTGAAGAGATATAATTGCGTTATTATTTGGACAGGTTTAATATCGGGAACATTGATCTGTGATCAAAAACCTGCTTGGCGTGAAAGAACTAACCTCATTAGTTTATTGTTGAAGCTTAGATGAGCCTCATTGGCTCTCATGCATCAAGCAAGCATCCTTGAACCTCTGTGACCAAAGTGCTGTTATTAAAGTTTATATTTGTATATTGTATCTGATCATGATATAGAGCGATCAAATCTCTTCAGAAGACTTTATTGATCGATACAGATTTATCTTTTGATTAATTTAGGAATGTTTTGAAGCATCAGAGTTTTGCGTTAAATAGAGAGACTGAACTCTTTTAGATTAGATTAAAAACATCTTCATTTGTGTTTTGAAGACAAACATTTTCTTTCCGTTTTAGAATCAGACAAGTTTGAAATGATTGGGGGACAATTTACAATTTTAAATCTGCCATCATTTACTCACCTCCACTTGTTCCAAACCTATATTCTTTCTTCGTTTGGACACAAAAGACGATCTTTTGAAAAACAATCTGGTTGCCGAGACCAGCTGACTTCCATAGTAGAGGAAAAAATTGCTATCGAAGTTGATGGGTGCCAGCGACCAGCATTCTTTAAAATATCTTAAACTCAAACCTTTTTTTAAACCAGGGTGGACTATCCCTTTAAGGCAGGGATGTCAAACTTAATTCCTGGAGGGCCGCAGCCCTGCACAGTTTAGTTCTTACCCTAGTTAAACACACCTGATCAAATCAATTGAGTCCTTTAGGCTTGTTTAAAACCAACAGGTAAGTGTGTTGAAGCAGGGTTGGAACTAAACTGTGCAGGGCTGCGGCCCCCCAGGAATTGAGTTTGACACCACTGCTTTAAGGCATTAGTTGACATTTTACAGTATTTATTAATTTATTTCTTTTTGTTATTAAAAATATTGGGTAACACTGTAGTTTAGGTCACAATTTATGCTATTTACTACTAATTAATTACCTGACTATTATTAAGATATTAACTGTTCATCAGTAGTTGTAAAGTATGAGCTTATTTAGCATACCTGTTCCTACCCAAAACCTAAACCCAACTTCTACCTTATTAATCAATAGTTTATTAAGCTATCAGTGTTAGTTAATGGTTTGTTAATATCATCAATTGTGACCTAAAATAAAGTGTTACCAAATATTGTTTTATTGCGAGTTACAGTGCATTATGGAACATATAAAGTTGGATTTTAACGTTTTATTTTAAGATAAATTGTAAATATTATTCAATTCTTATTACGTATTACTCATTTTTTTAGTACAAAGGGATGGTTTACCCTAACTTTAAATTAAATCACCATTTACTTATCCTTGTGTGGTTCCAAAACTTTCAGTTGTTGTTATTTTTATTCTGTTGAACACAAAAGAAAATATTTAGAAGAATGCTGGAAATGGGTAGCTGTAGACTTCCATTGTAGAAAAAGAATATAATCATTATATAACATTATTCAGAATATATTTTGCGTTCAAGAGAAGAACCTCAAGAAAGAAACAAACTTTTATAGGCGAACTGTGCCTTTAAGATAGCCAAGTTAACAAATGTTGTTAATTTATAACAAATGAAACCTAATGGTAAAGTGCTGCCAATATTCTTGGTGGCTAATTTAAGATGACAATCCGTTTCAAGGAAAATCAACTACACCACAGATTCAGAAGGTGTCAAATCTATTTTATTTTTGTGAAAACAACCATTTAAGAGTGATTTATTGTGTTTTATGCGAATGATCAATATTTATTCTATCATTTATTTATAGTATATTATGTACTTTTTGTGGGACATGAAGAAATGTGAAGATTTATTTTTTAAAAATTAACAAATGAACTCTTTTCTAAGCTCGTTTTCTGAGACGTCGACCATTCCAAAGAAAGCAGCGTTTCTGTTGTCTCAGAGGGATCAGTGAGCTGCCGTTCCACATCAGGAGGAATGATGGGGCCACAGGTTAGCAAACACAGAAATGCTACACTATTATATGTCCATTATGTGTTCATTTGTTTATTGTTCAGCACACTATTAGCAACACTCGAGCTGCCTTTGCTATATTTCAATGTGCACTAGTGCTTGTCAACTTGGCTTTTAAATGTATCTTTTTTTTTACGAGATTAACTTTATTTCAAAACCCAGTGCTTTTTACGAGCTGAGTTTGACTGACATTTTATCAGCAGCCGTTAGTGCATTAATGCCTTTCATACCTACATACATATTCAACACAACCTGAATCAGGTTACTGACGTACATTACTGACTTTTCAACTATCGTTTATCCAAAATGTAGAAAAGAATTATCCTGAGGATGTTTTGTTACCGTGTTATTGAAGGTCAAGTAAGCGATGCAGTCTTCATATAAAACAAGTGCTTTGATGATTAGCTGTTGCTTGTTTTGCCAAATGTGTTCAATGTTTCTATGTGAACATCCTGAAATTGTGATTTATGCACTTCATTGTTTCACTAATGTGGTTGGAGATCATTTTTGTGTAGTTTTGCATCATATTCTTTAAATAAACCCCCAGTTTTCAATAAGCCGACACTCACTAATTGCTTGCTTGCTTTGGTGTAACAGTGTTCATTTGCATACTTTTTCCTGCATTACTAAAAATAATACAGAAAGTGGTCACATTTATCAAGTTTGGTTGGATTAAAGTGAACCATGGTTCAATAGTGTGCAAGGGTGGAAGTAATATCCCTGACCAAATGAATTGAACTACAAGTGGGAACAACCTCAATTTGTGGTAACAGTGTGGTGATACATAAGCACAATTTACACTAGTACACAGATACATTCATTCATTCATTTTCTTTTTGGTTTAGTTTCTTTATTAATCTGGGGTCGCCACAGTGGAATGAACTGCCAACTTATCCAGCATATGAAGAAACCCACGCGAATGTGGAAGAACATGCAAACTTCACACAGAAACGCTAACTGACCCAGCCGAGGCTCGAACTAGCTACCTTCTTGCTGTGAGGCAACAGCACTACCTACTGCGCCACCACGTCGCCTACACAGATACATGGCAGAGTTAATGCAAATCCTTTAGCACCATGTCGTAACTTCTCTGTATTCATCCTTTAATCATACAGTAATTTTTACTGAGAACAATCAGTTAAATGGTCCACTGAAGCTGAAAGCATTGCAATAACGAAATGGCCACCTAAAGTCCTGTCCTAAACCTGAATGAAAATCTCTGGGAAGTTACGGCTGAGAAAAACCATTACAGATTTGTCAGATGAACATTACATTAATGCTAATGTTTATCAAATATGACTTGTTCTGATTTTGATCTCCACTGTATATTTGTTTTGTACTTTTATTATCACTTGCTGAATAATACTGCAGTGTGATTGCTCACTATCTTAACGATTGTTCTCATATAGGATTAAGTTCGTATTCTACTTCAGCAATTAAATAGAATTACATTTTCCAGATCAACATATTAGTCAGACCTTAAACAACAACATTCTGATTCAGACGCTGTTCAGGCAGTTGATAATTAACATTATTGTAAACCTATTTTTCAAGATGGAATAAACAATGTTAAACTTGAAGATTTTAGGGTAAACATTGTCGTGGAAACATATTTTAACAGGCGGGTGTTGAGTAGCAGGTTTTCTCTATCGTATATTAAAATATTAGAATTATTACCAGATTTATGGAGGACGAAACCTGCAAAAACAATAAATAAATACGCAAATAAATGCATATATAGGCAGGGCGACGCAGTGCCGCAGTAGGTAGTGCTGTCGCCTCATCGCAAGAAGGTCACTGGTTTGAGCCTCGGCTGGGTCAGTTGGCGTTTTTGTGTGTAGTGTACATTTTCTCCCAAAGACATGCGGTACAGGTGAATTGGGTACACTAAATTGTCCGTTGTGTGTGTGTGAGTGGATGTTTCCCAGAGATGGGTTGCGGCCGGAAGGGCATCCGCTGCATAAAAAACTTGCTGGATAAGTTGGCGGTTCATTCCACAGTGGCGATCCTGGATTAATAATGGGACTAAGCCGATAAAAAAATTAATGAATATATATATATATATATATATATATATATATATATATATATATATATATATATATATAAATCTACAAATTCTTGCATAAATAAACAATTAACAGTGCAGTGTGACAGGGCAATCTGCCCTTCCTATTTATTTATGCAGGAATTTGTGGGTATTTAATATATATATATATATATATATATATATATATATAGCAATTCCTGCAATTATGGATGTGATATTTGCAGTAAAAACTCAAAACATATATTCGCGTAGAAAGTATACATTAACATTATATTGAAACTTTTGTTTATATTTTCCAAAACAACTGACCACAGAGTTATGGGATCAGAAAAGTATCAATCTGTAAATCTGTTTGTACTTTAAATGAGGAAAATAAACATGTGTTATGGATGTGACAAAAAAGTCAGTGGGTTTACAGAATACAACAAACTTTGTAGAAAAACTGTGAATTAAACTGCACAACCCAAAAGAAACAATAAGACTGAAATTTAATTCACAATGATTAAAAAAAACTTCAAAAGTCATACATTTGAAATAGTGACTGACACCTGCAGAAACCATAGTTGTGATGTTCCATTCCACTATGGATTTTTATAAATGTCTGTTTTACAATACAAGACTCTCTTCTTTTTTGTGCTATTATGGTTGCATCAAAATAAGTAGACTAAAAAGTATTAATTATCAAGCAAAATAAAAAATAAAAAATACAATTATACACTACTATTTTTATTTTTAAAAAATTGCGCAAATAAAAATACACACTTTTGTCTTTGCAGACTTTTCGTCTTTTTGTTACCTTGTGTTGTATTTCAGTTTTTCTCAGTCGCTTTGGTACATCTCAGATTTTAAATTTGCTAAAGAGTAAGTGCATTTCTCAAAACAGCACAAATAGCAAAGCAGCATGGATTACCTGCAAAAGCCAGTCTTTTGCCTAAAATGCTTAGTTCATCTCTCAATGAACATGTCAGTGCTATCAGAATGACAAGTCCTTGTGTCATTGTGTATGGATAAGACAGTCAAATTACTTGTCAGTATAACTGTGTACTCTGGAGAGATGTTCTCATGTAAGCTATGGCTAAATTTGGCAATTTTTTGTTGTTAGAAACTGTATTTTATATACTTAAATTTGACTTTTGCATGCTAAAAGTACTTGAGTAAGACGCATTTTACTCGATTTGGGTCATTAAAAAACCCTGACTACCAATATTATGATATAGGTAGCCTAAACCTGCTGTAGTCAACCTAAAACCTACAGTAGTTTGACATAAAACCAAAACAATACCCATTATTGTCTTAGGACATTTTTATTAAGCAGATTCTTGAATAACAGTAAGTTCATGACATGTTAAATATCTAGTATAATCTGCTGGTTTTAAACATACAGAATAATAATAAATACAGTTATGCAACAACCATAACATTACCGTTATGTCTTAGGACATCTTTGATTAACTTTTTATTACCTACACCAAATGTTGACTAATGAAGGTACATTTATAACAACTATTTATTTGTGAGACTACTTTACTGTCAAACCATGCTGCATATAAATGCATTAAACAGACTTATATGACAGTGTATTGCTGTAGAGGACAAATAAAACACGAGACAGGTGTTTAGAAAGAGTATATTTTATTTAGTTTGACCTGCAAACTTATCTGAACAAGATAAACTTTCAGAAATCAGCGCGGAAACATTATAATGCGCGCGCTCGGGAATATAACCCGCGGTTGTCTTCAATAGTCCTTCTTTGCTCAACAACTCTGCTGAAAAACAAAGCAAAACATTACAACAGCCAGACATACATTTACATTACAGTTACCATGGTTTCTATTTTAAACTATAGTAAACTAAAGATTTAAACTATATTTTAAAATAGATGATTAATGGGCCCCGCGCTGCTCCCACTCACCATAACCCTCGCAGTGGGGTCCCACTACCGGCCTCCCGTGTTTCCCTGAGGGTCCTCAGGGCTTGTACTGATCCCTGCCTAGGGTTCACAAGCTGCCTCGCCCCGGGAAGTGCACGAGCTAACCGGGTGCCAGTCCGTGCCAGGGTTCACTGGAATGTTGCTCGCCAGCACATTTCGAGCAACAAACACGTAATATTCTACGCGCGATACTGCGTTTATGTGCACGAACCGCAAGGAACTACAGCACAGACGGGCCCGAGTGAAGCTTCACGAAGCGGACTTCGTGAGATTGGCGTGGCTCCACTTGTACCGTCATTGAACTCACCTTGGTCAAGTACAAACAGCAACACTGAGCGAACTGACAACACTGAGAGAGAATCGACGAGCTTTATAGGAATGCAGATGCAAACGTTTACAATGCAACGTCACTGTTGTGAGTCTCGTTGTCATGGTGAGCGCTGAAGAGAGCACATCTCACAGGCTCGGGAATCTCCGTCACGGCGAGTTGTGGTCGGCTGTGGACAAAAACAAATTGTTAAATACATTGAATATATATTTTGACATTTTTGTTGCGGTGTAATATTCTGGGATGCAGTAGAATATAGAAGCAGATGAATATAATTAATGGCAGATGCGGGACATTAGAACAGAAATTGAGCCCGGCCAGGACACACTCCTAGTGGTGGTAAGCTTCTTGTTTTCCAAGAAGCGGTCACATAACCTAATAGCATGTTACTTGCTACTAAGCACCCCCGGCAGCTAAAAGGTCCAGCATTTGTCCTTTTGATTATCTAATGTAATTTAATATTATAAAATGAATTTATTCTATAGTTAATACAATATATATATATATATATATATATATATATATATATATATATATATATATATATATATATATATATATATATATATATATATATATATATATATATTCCCGTCACGTCTGTGTTTATGAGGCTGTTTGCTTACTTAACCACTTCAGAAGGTGATCTGGGATGCATTCCAAATGAATCTGGACAGGTATAATTTTATTGACGAAATTAATATAAATATTATATTAATAAATTACGACCAGGAGAAAAACAGCGGACCATAGTAAATTAATTTGAATATATTTTGGCTATTGCTGATATTCAAGAATTTTCAGATGTACTTTTTTAACAAAGAGACGAGAAAAATTCTGCAGAATTCATTATAATTGTTTTATTATTTATTTATTTATTTATTTATTTATTTATTTATTTATTTATTTATTTTTATTGAAATGGCCAAATTGTGACTGAGGATAGTTGAATGTGCTGGCCAGTTTGTTTTCTGTCTAATAAATGATAGTGGGCTACAGTTTTTTTTACTTTAAAACTTTAACAGATTGCCATTTTTTCCTAATGATACATGATGTAATAAATTTGTGTTTTAAAAAATGTTCTTGTTTAAATTTTTTTATTGCAATTTTTTAGAAAATATTGTAGTACATCAAAAAGTGTGGTTATGATGACATCTGACTAGTTAATCCAGCAACAAAAAATCACTAAAATGCAGTATTTAAATCTCATAGTTGAATAGAAACTATACGAGCAAAAAGGTAAACTTTTTAAGAAAAAAAAGAACCACTCCTTTCACCAGGCTGGCTACGGGCCTGTTTATACCATATCATAATCTGAAATGTTCAATCAGTCGGCAGGGGGTGCTGCGGCATATTTCTTTAAAAAATACTTATAATGACTACAATCTAAATGCTGGGATGTTTGGGTAAAATATGAAAAGGCCAAACCATTGGGTTAAAAACTTAATTCAACCAATTATCTTCCAATGATTGTTTTTATTATGTCTATTTATTTAGTAACAAAGTTTTCCTGTCACCCCTCAGCTAATTTTGAGCTTCAGTTAAAAAGATAACCAATAAACAAAATGTCCACCAAACAGTTACATTGTCAGTTAAAGTGTTACCAGTGTAGCTAACAGCTGTGATTTCCTTTTCAGCGTCGGGTAGCTATTTCTAAATAGCGGTGAACGAGATGAATGCACAAGGATGCCGCTGCGCGTGACCTCTGCTTCCCACTTACATGCACGCGCAGCCGCATCCTTCATTCGTTGCGCGTTCATGCGTTAGTCTTGGATACGAGCAGGCACGAGGATTTCGGAGGATAACCGGAAACAGCAGGTTGTTGTTGAAACATCGCTCATAACTATTACAGAGAAATGGCTCTGAGTCAAGAAATGATCTTAACTTTTATACTCGAGCACGGAGGAAAAGTGAAAAACTCGGAGCTCGTGAGCAAGTTCAAAGGACTTATAAACTCCAGCGATCCCGCGGAAAAGAAACAAAACAGAGACCTGTTCAAACGCCTGGTCAACAACGTCGCCGTGGTTATAAAAGTCGATGATGTGAAGTACGTGTCTGTGAAGAAAAAATACCAAGGATTCATTACAGGTGAAAACTACTCTCATAATAACAGTTTACATGAGTTAATATCGCCTTGCAAACCGTCGAGTGAAATAGAGCATGTGGATATTATTAATAACAATTATTACCATTGTTCCACCCAAACTATGAGTAATAGCAGTAAAGGTGGAAATAATGATCTTGGTTGTCCTGAAAGTTCAGAGTCTATAACAGCAAGAGTGCTCGGTGTGACAAGTGATGCAAAAAGTGGCAAAACTGGTTCCGTATTTGCTCTTGTAGCCATAAAATCTCCACCAAATCCAGAATACGTGGAAACAGGAAAAAATAACCTCAAAACGCTTGCATCAGATACTAAACCGCCACCTTCAGTATCTTCTCAAAGGAGTATCAAAGTCAAATCGACTGCATTTCAGAGCTGTGTCGGTGGAGAAGGCTTTCTCTACAGGTCTCTGAGAGTCAAACGAAAGGAGCTGGAGGTGCAGGCTTCACCGCAACTGAGAAGGTGTAGCAAAGTCACCAAACCTGGTGAGGCTAAAGACTCGGATGTGATTCCTTTGGGAGCAATGGAGCATGAGTGGCTTGTGAAATCAGCAGCAGGAAGCTGGCGTCAAATTTACAGCCTCCTGCTGCAAGACCCTCATCTGGCAGAGAAGAGAAATTTCATGTCTGGATTCACAATCCTGCACTGGGCTGCTAAAAGCGGAAACAGTGAAATGGTGTGTAAAGTCATTGATGTTTCAAGACAGAGCCGTGCAGGGATCGATGTTAATGCCAAGTCTTATGACGGCTATACCCCTCTCCACATCGCTGCCATTCATAGCCATGAACAGGTGTTGTCGGTGCTGGTGTGCGAGTATGGTGCCAGCACCAACATACGGGATAACAGTGGTAAAAAAGCCTACTATTATCTAAATCCGGATGTGTCAGTCGAGATCAGAAAGATGCTCGGAGACCCTCACAGCCTTCAAAAGGATGCTGGATGTTATTTGAAGGATGATCAGAACCTCTCTAAAGGATTCAACACATTGAGTAAATTATTTCAGCCTCACGTTGCTGGACATAAAAAGACACAGAGACGTCGGATGAGTTTCCATTTCATCAGGGATGAACAGAAAGATCAACGCACTTAATCGCAAAGCATTTCAACTGACAGATAAAGCACTTCAGAAACCAGAACTTGTGTAGCTTGTTGTAGGTTTCAAATAATGTGTGAAATAGTGTTGCTAATTTAATTACATATTGTACAGCCTGGAATCTACATAATTGATAATTATGTTTGTCAATGACTTAGTAAATTTTTACCATATTTATAGCTAGCACAATAGCTAATTAATAGTTTCTAGCACAGCTGAAAGACTGAAGAACTTGTTCAGGTCTAAAGAAATTGGCCTTAAAGCAATGGTCTAAAACTCAATTCCTGGAGAGCCACAGCTCTGCATAGTTTAGTTCCAACCAGCTCCAACTCACGTCATCATCAACCTCCAAAGTTCAGTTCCAGATGCAGTAAAGTTCCCGGATGTGTTCTTGATATCAAGTATGCGTCAATGCAGACTTCTGGGACTTCTCAAAGCAGACTAGAAGTCCCAGAAGTTGGGAAGCGCAGCATTTCATACAGATTTATTATTAAATTTCGGAGATATAACTTATTTGTCTCAGGCATTTCCCTAAATGAGACTGTGAAAGTAAACATTACCATGAAACTATGAAGGAATACATTAATAGTGTTTATTTGCTGAAATTTGTATTAAAATAATTTTTTTTTGTATTGTGCAAGGAGGAAAACAAAGGAGGAAAACAATAAATCGTTTTATGAGTGCTGTAATGTTTATATAATTTTCTATTTAAATGCGTGAAGGTCATGTGACCATCAAGAAGAATGCAGCATCTCATTTCTCACAGGATGCGTTTTCTGTTGTCGCTGTCTCCGTGTAGTCTTGAACACCTTGATTTGCTGGATCAGCTGTGTTTGATTAGGGTTGGAGCAAAACTGTGCAGAGCTGCGGCCCTAAAATCGAGTTCGACTTCAAAACATTAGTAAAGAAAATGAAGCAGTTCAGTCCAAGTCTTCTGGAGAGACTCGATCACTTCACATGACAGATTTTATGTAGTTTTTTTAATTCATATTAAACTATATAAGTGGAGTAAACTGCTCATTTTAAGTTTGAAAAAATAAGTATTGTGTAAAAGGATGTTCAGTGAAGAGAAAAATATCTTTATTTATGCTTCAAGGTTAAAGTCTTATAGATTTAGCATGAGGGCGTGTAAATAATGCGGAAAAAATATTTTTCCAGTTTAGTTATAATTTGTTTCCTTTTTTTAAAAACATTTCTCAAGCCTATTGGTTTGCAAAGACATTTAAAATGACAAATGTTTGACATTATGTTATCATTTAAAATTTGAGTTAAAGGTCAAAGGCCATTCAGGTCAAACCATTTTATCAGATTATTCAAACAGCTCTATTGTGAAAGAATGCGTTATTATAAAATGATTGTGATGATTTGGCCTGTAGAAATAGTCACACTTTGCAATAAGGTTTATTAGTTAATGTTAATTATTGCATTTACTAACATGAACAAACAATGAACAATACATCTACTACTGTATATGTTCTTGTTAGTTAACGTTAGTTAGTGAAAATACAGCAGTTCATTGTTAGTTCATGTTAACTCATGATGCATTAACTAATGTTAACAAGCATGGACTTGGATGTTAATAATGCATTAGTAAATGTTCAATTATGAATAATAAATGCTGTACATGTGTTGTTTATGATTAGTAAATGTTAGGAAATGCATTAACTAATAAACCTTATTGTAAAGTGTTACCAATTAGGTAGACTGGTGGTACAGGACAGGGATACGTTTGAAACAGTTTTACTAACTTGCTTGCTGAACAAGTATTGGGTAAAAGGACATTTAATGAAGATAAAATTATCTTTATTTATGTTTCAAAGTTGAATTCATGTGCTTCAGATTGAGCATGAGGGTGAGTAAATAATGGGAAAAATAATTTTTCAGTGAAGTAACAATTTATTTTCCTTTTATAAAAATAATAATTATAGTTTAAAAATAAACAAGCACTAAAGTAAGTATTTCATTTTCATAGCACTAATTGTCCTGCATTTATGCTGAATGGAATGGGGGGACTTTTGCTAATATTTGAATGTATTATAAGACATAATTCAGGATATTTGGAATGACACAAAAACATCCAGGGCCCGGTTTTTCAAAAGGTTTAATCCGGATCAACTTGATCCAGATTTAGTAATTCTGTTTTTGCGATCCGTGATCAGGTAATCCAGCTTACTTTTTGAGCCAGTTTTTCAAAGCAACATTGAATTGGATCAATCTGATCCGGATAGGAACTTTTCAGGATCACTAAATCTGGATTACCAGTGCTCAAACAGGATAGGACATCACAATGTAGAACTATAGATATGTAAAGAGCGACAAGTAGAACAGTCAGCGTGGGGTCAATATAACTTTATTTTTATTTGAAATGAAAACTAAGAAAATTTTATAAATATTAAATTAATAATAATAATAAATAATAAAAGCAAGAAAAAGCCCACCCCATCCTCTTCCAGCAGTCCGCTCATTTGAGACCTACAACACTGTACATTGAGGATATTTATAATAAGTTTCAAATATAGATGTAAATAAAAAAAAGACTTAATGTCAAAAACTCCACAATAATCTCAGACTTCCTCATCTGATGTGGAGAGAGCAGCTTGTCTGAGCGTACCCTTTAGGAGGCGGATCTCAAGTCATTGGCCTTGGTTTGCTGCAGTTTGGTCAGAGTCAGTTGTTTCTCTGCCAGACGAAGTTGTGCTTCTGCCCTTTCAGTCTCTTTTTGCAATTGTTAAAAGAGATTTAAAAAATCAGTAATTGCCATTCTTTGCAATTTTTGTTCATTCTGTAATCATTGCATGCATCACTAATAAATATTCTAAAAATATAAATATATATCAATTAGAGACAGAATAAAATTGATTGTTTTTGGTCAATTTTCACAGCTGTTTGGGGGATTATTTTATGAGGCCAAACTCTTTCTACTTTGCAGGAGGCCTATACTGAAAGGCTAAATATGTTAAAGCCAATTATCACTATAGCCTGACAGATGAACAAATAAAATTAAAACCTTATGAATAAATACTATACCTCGTACGATACTGCATGATTCAAAAATAGTATTATTTAATACATTTTTTTAAAGTTTTCATTACGTTTTAGGCATGAAATCCACGCTAAATCCACCCTTCTGATGGGATCAGTTTAATCCAGGTTTTTTGGATCAAAGTGATCCAGATCCTACAAAAAAGGTCTGAAAAACCCAAACTAAAGGTTTGATCCGGATCAAAACCAAGATTGGATTACGTGATCTAATCCGATTATGTAATCTGTTTTTTCTTTTGAAAAACCCATTTTTAAGATTTGATCCAATCCCCTATCCAAAATCCTAGTGGATTACTTTTGAAAAACCGGGCCCAGATGTTTCAATGGCAGGATATTTTGCCAAAATAATGCCTGAAAATATTGTTCACGTAATTTTTATATATTTTTTTAAGCAATTGTTATTTTGTCACATGCAAGAAATTACAAATCTCTGACTTTGGGCCACAAAACCAGTACATTTTCGTCAATAGTTAAAATACATGTTTTAGTTCAAATGACAGAATTTTTTTTTATGCCAAAAATCATGTTTCATTAAGATCATTCGTAAGACTCCTATTGTAAATATTTATTTATTTTTCTTCGGCTTAGTCTCTATTCAAAGGTCGTCACAGTGGATTGAACATCCAACTATTCCAGCATATGTTTTACGCAGTGGATGGCTTTCCAGCTGCAAGCCAGTATTGGGAAACACACATTCTCACATACTGAAGCTGCGGTCACACTGCACTTTTCTCCCTATAGGCTTCCATTTATACAAACACAAATGTCTTAGAATGGAAATGCAAGCTCGTGCAACAAGTTTCGTAGTTCGCTGCATTGAAAAGTTCAAGCTTGGTGAACTCTGACCTGCAAAATCGCATCACAAGACCAGTCAAAGATCAAGACATGACCACTTAGAACAGGAACTTAAAACATGGACCAATCTCTCACTTTTTTTAAATGGCTAATCATCTTGTTTAATCCCACCCCTTTTCAAAGGGCCGTACAACAGAATTTTGCACACACAAACTCTAGTGTGACTGGAGTACAAGACAATATAGTTTCTTCAGTTCACCTATATCGCGTGTCTGGACTGTGGGGAAACCTGAGGAAACCCAGGCAAACACGGGGAGAACATGCAAATTTCATACAGAGATGCCAACTGGCCCAGCAGAGACTTAAATCAGCGACCTTCTTGCTGTGAGGCGACAGTGCTAACCACTGAGCTACCATGCTGCTCTACTGTAATTAGTAGTTTGCATGGCTAAACAGTTCATTTAGCAAAAAGTTTGCTTTAAAAGTGATTTAAAGTGATTAAAATGTATAATTACATTAATTTGAACCTCCAGCCCAGATTCCAGATTTGATCCAATCCTGATAAAGCATACATCAATGGAAAGATTGTTTATTCAGCTTTCAGGAGATGTATACATTTCAAAATATAAAACGCTTATCACAGATGTACGAATTTATATCTTCTGCTAAACACAGAATTTTTTTAAAGAATGTTATTGATCACATTTTTTCTGGTCCACACTGACTTGCACTGTTATACTTGTTGTGGTTCTTAAAAATGTCATCTTTTGTCATAAAAAAAGAAAAATAAATGCATGTCTTGAACAACTTGAGGATGAATAAATGATGACACAATCCTCAAATTGTCTACGAAAAGATAAAAATAATCAACATGGCATTTTCTGATTTGCCTCAGAGTTATTCATCTTATCAGTGTTGTACTCTGCATAAAGCCAAAGAAACACTCATGTCATTGAATGAAGGCGAGAGGCCTCTGTGTGGGACGTAGACGTGCTGTCCTTCAACTCATTTTATGTCTGTGCAATCCTGGAGAGATAAACTTTAGCACAGAGCTTTAAGAACTAGATAGACCATGTTAAAATGAGATCAGAACGTATGCAAATGATCACATTACTGAAATAACGTGTGAGAATAAAGGCACGTTTTTAACCAGGAATTTATGAACGTTCGAAACAGCCTGGAAAAGATAATGAGGTCTTTGTCCCAGTCAGGCGGTGATTTAGGCATGATTTCATGGGCGCCGGAGCTTAGCATAACTTCATTCAGAGGCTTTTGACTGGTGTGCAATGATCTGTAATGATGCGAAAGCTCTTGCCCCTCAGTCAGAGCTGCTCTTGTTCGTCTGTGAAGCAAGGTCATTTCACAAACTATATCCTTTGGCTTTACTGTTCACCGTTATGAAGCTAATTTGAGCACTTGCACTGCACATTCTGTACATAAATGTAAGGGATTTTTTTTTGCTATAATTACATTTTTTATTACAGCATTAGATTATGTGTGTCACAACAACTATAGTTAGGCAATTCACAATTGGTCTGTGTTCTGACTCCTGATTTCCAGGGTCATTGTTTGACCTTCAGGATGTTCCCTTGTTTCTTGAACATTACACAGGGTTCCAGGGTTGCCCTCAACATTTAACTGCTTCACTTCACTGGAAACGTCATGGAAAACAAACGATGGAGAATCTATATTAGTTGCCAAATGTAAAAATCTTAATTGTGATTTCTTTTTTTTTTTTCAAATAAAATAATGCACTAATGGTATTGTTTACTGCTTAAGTATGTTTTTTCAACAAAAGGCAACAAAATGAATTTCTTGCCTCAGAACTGAATCGATTGGTTCAGGAATGACATCGGTAGAATAATCGCTGAGGGTTCCCTGGAGGGTTTTTGAAATTGTGGTTTTCAATTAGTAAAATGAATTCATTAGCAAAATAGCGTACAGTATATGTGACACTGGACCAAAACCAGTCCTACAGTATGTGTCCAGTTGTTTTCTGAAATTGAGATGTATACATCATATGAAAAATTAATAAATATGCTTTACATCGATGTGTGGTTTGTTGGTCGCTGTGTAATTGAAGTACTCAGCAATACACACAATATAAATGGCAATAGCCCATATTTGTTTTCATTGGATTTTCACTGTCACTCAATAAACATGAATAAAATGAATTTTGTCAAAATTTAAACGCAGTAAATAGTGGAACATTTTTTAGTCTTTCATGGATCTCTTGTTATAAAAACGGCTGTGTTATTATATTTTTAGGCAAATCTCAAAATTGTCAGTTTGGCTGTCTTAAACATAGTTAAATAAATTATAGCTCTTATAAATACCATTTTAAAAATCATTAATAAATAACTCGGGTCTATTACAAGTGGCTTTTTTTCTTCCATGTATTAAAGAAAAAATTATTTTGTCACTAAAACATGTCTTTGGTCTGACATTATACTCTCATTAAAAAATTTAGTTAAATGACTCGATTCAGGTCAAACCACTTTAGCAGAATATTTAAACAGCTCTATTGTGAAATAATGCACTATTATGGAATGATTTTGTAGGAGTGCAATCAGTGCATCTGTATTATTTGGCCTGTACAAATTAGGGCAGACTGGTGGTACAGTACAGGGGGTACAAAACACTTTTGATAACTTGATTGCGGAACAAGTCTGACCTGTGACATTTGCTTTGCACATGTGTATTAGTGTCATCTTTAATTTCTGGGAAGTTTTAAGTACATGTGTTTCTCCATTTTGAACATATCATCATCTTTTTGAACAAATTTTAATTACTCTTCCAGATTGAACAGCTTCTAATCCTATAATGTTACAGTTAACATTTTCCTAAAATGTAAAACTCTGTAAACTGGCAGTATTGCATGAATTTATGTCATGCAAGATCACCTTAATTGCATTCTGACAATGCAAATTAAAACAACGTTTGAGGTTTGTAAAATTCAAACTGTCTACTTCCCATTGACATTGTCTAACAGGAAGGACAAGTGCATGCTGTAAAATATGGGTATAATCGTTACAACCTTTCTTATGGGTTATCTGCAGTTAAAGACTTTGTTTTAAGGGATAATGCACCCAAAATATGACGTCATTTATTCTCTCATGTGCTTTCAAACCTTTATGGGTTTCTTTCTTTTGTTGGAAAATGCTGGTTTCTAGTGTAACCTTAACTGGTTGGCTTCTTTAGCCGGTCATCAGGCTGGTTTTAAAGGGGTTTGGGCCACTACCAGGTTGGGAGACCATCCAAAACCTGCTAGGTTCAGCTTAAACAAGCTAAGACTAACCGTCTAGTTGGGCTGGTTTCAGCTGGTTATTCCAGCTAATTTCTCAGCCTGACCATCGAAGACCAGCCTGGAAGTGGCCCAAACAAAACCCATCTAAGCTAATTTAAGCTGGTTTCTTCAGTAGGGATGCCATGAACTTCCATAGTAGAAAAAGGATGAGTAAATTATTGCAGAATTTTCTTTTTGTGTTTCTCTATTGAAACTGATGCTTCAAAACATTTATAAGTGATCAAACATATATCTGTATGATTCAATAAGATCTTCTAAAGCAGAGATGCTCAAACTAGGGCCCACGGGCCAAAGTTGGCCCATGGTGACCTTTGATTTGGCCCACCATCACATCTGAGAAGAGAGGGAGAATGATGGGGATGGTTTCGAGATTGTCTTTTCAAATTTTATTCAACCCTTTGTTTCTTTTATTGTTAAACACTAACTGAATGTTAAAATTAAAAGGTGTAAATGAATCAGATTTTGTTTAAATGTACACAATGCCACAGGACAATGTAGAGACTTTGGTGAGCAAAGAGTCAAAGGCAGATTCTGCTTGACTATTCAGCATTGAACTCCACTGTGCTATAAATGTGATTGTTTACGTTTTTAAGTTATAATTTTAAAAAAGTTATTACATTAGTATGATTTAAATAATAACAAAGATTAATACTAATAAAAATAATGAAGTAATAATTAATGCAATTTAAAGTAATGTTTTATTAATTTTAAATTATTATGAAATAAATTAGGAAATTATACATGGCAACTTTAATATAAAATAGTTTGGTATGTGCACCTCCGGCCCACGGCTCTTGTTTGGTCACCCTTGTTCTAAGAGATGTGCGCTTTATATCATGTTAAGATTTAATTTAGCTTTAACTGTAAACATTAATCAGCCAGCTCTCATTTCCCTTACTGAAACGTTATCATGTCTGTCAACATAAATTCGATCTAATTTGATGCATCAACCATTAAAAACTTCAAATATATAACACCAAAACCGGATTTACACCAATAGTCGCGTCTAAACCCACTGATGCGCACTTTATGCAAACCTTCACCGGCTTTTGTACCCAAAACATCGGCCTGATTGATTGGGCACACCTGTCAGGAAAAGGCGACGGAAGTGTAGTTTGGCCGAAGACACCGAGGTTTTCTCCGGGACCGTTCTTAAATAAACCGACGTTATTTATTATGGCGACGCTGTTTTTTAAATGTAGTGCGCTTTGTTACCTACCCAGATCATTAATTGTCCTCGCAGTTCTCGGACTGTCAATTACATCAAGCTACAACTTTGAAAACGAGTCTGTTGAACCCGACGTGCCCCTTCAACATGGTAATATCCTGAGCCCTTTGTTAAAGGCTTTGTCAGAGCAGAACCCATGGGGAGAGTTTACACACCGAACCAAACCTGACTCCAGATATGTGCGCTACATGAGGAGACTGTACAAACAGTCATCCAAACCCTACAGGAGCCCCGAAGCCTCTCACCTGTACAACACCGCTCGTCTGATCACTCCTAGGGAAGAGTGTCTCAAGCAAAACAGAGGTATGCTTATTATTACGCCACAATCTAAAAGTACAATGTTTGGTTAAATAAACGAAGGGATGCATAGACACATAGAGATCAGAAACTGATATATTAGGCTGTGCTGTTTCTGAAGTACAGTAGACCTATATATCTTATGTATATTCACCTGAATAGCCTGCTATGTTCCATTTCTTAAAGTATTTAACAAAATGCATTGAATACAACAATTAATATCTCATAAGCTCTCCTAAATATCGCCGGTTTAGAGTTCAATAGGTTAATACCAAGCGATTATTAACATTTTTCTAAGCATATTTTAGGCAAAATGTTGCCAGTTGGCATTTCTGTGTGGAGTTTGCATGTTTGCCCCGTGTTGGTGTGGGTTTCCTGCGGGTGCTCCAGTTTCCCTCACAGTCCAAACACTTGCATTATAGGTGAAATTAATAAACTAAATTGCCCTTAGTGAACAGTATGTGTGTGAATGAGTGTGTATGGATGTTTCCCAGTACTGGGTTGCAACTGGAAGGGCATCCGCTGTGTAAAACATTTGCTGAATAAGTTGGCGATTCATTTTACTGTGGCAAGCCCTGATTAATAAATAGACAAAGCCTAGGGAAAATGAATGAATGAGATTTTATTGTTGACTTCATTCTTATTGGTGGATCTGCTTAAGGGGACAGCTCATCCAAAAAACCAAACAAACTCACCTCATGTCATTCCAAACCAGTAAGAATATCAGTATTTTCTGGACTGCTGGATTTATATTTATTATATAAACATTTCATAAGCATCACTGTTTAAGATTGTAGTTTAAAGTTCAGATGCAGCATTCAAACTGTAGGAGTCGAAAGGACTTAAAATGATTCAAGATCTTTACTTGACAGATTCAAATAGAATGATGTCCTTTGAAGAGTTTAGGCTTACATTTAATATTAATATTAATATCTTCAATTAAGAAGTTTTGGTTCAATTAAAGCGAATCAAGATAATGATCTTAGACCCTTGTATTCATCTTTAGAAAACTTGATGATTAAAGATAATTTGAGAAAAGGTATCATATCAGAGTTTTATGGTTTGCTGACATTGAACTCACCCGAAAATTCTTATTGTAAGTTGAATGCATGGAAGGAAGATTTACAGTCTGAAGTTTCAGAAGAAGATTGGGAAAAAGCCTGCACTAAAGTTCACACAATGTCTATAAATTCACGTCTTAAACTTATACAATATAAATGAATAATACGAACATACTGTATGTAACACCAGCAGAATTAAATAGGTATAATAAAAAAAAACATTCCAGATATTTGTACAACATATTTGGAAGCTAGAGGAACCTTGTTTAACTGTATTTGGCAGTGTACAAAGATTAAATTATTTTGGGAAGAGGTAAGAGTCATATGTGAAATTATCATTTCAAAATGAATCCTCCTTGACCCAAAGCTTTTTTTGCTAGACTTATACCCAGAGGACTCAAATAGTAGTAGAAGTGAACAAGTATTTCTAGACCTCAGCTTGGTTTATGCCAAAAGATGTGTAGCTTTGCTATGGACAAAGATGCAAAGACCAAACGCTATTTAACGGATAAGACAAATGTTGTCAAGCCTGCCATTGGAAAAAATTACTTATTTACTAAAAGCTAAACAGCATGTATTTAAAAACATATGGAGTCCTTTCATTAGTTATATCGAAGAAGTGGAATTAACAGAGGAAAAATTTGCTAAATAATTTTTGGTGAACAATGCAGTTCCAGTCTTATAGTTCTGTATAGATTCTGCAATATATTTGCTGTACCTGCTACTTAGTATGATTATAATTGTTATGTTTGAATAGATTACCATTAACAACAAAAAAAGAGCAGTTTTTAACTTTTTTTTTTTTTTAGTTTTGTTTGTTTGTTTCTTGTTAAATGTTTGTAAAATGATGTATTTCGATGTGTACAAACTGAAAACGGAACAAAAAATATTATGGAAAAAAAGTTTGTAGTTTAGGCATTTAATAATCCTACAAATTATTACAAAATACTTTATTACAAATATTTTTTTTTTTCAGAAATACACAAAATAAGTAACTCAATAAATGCATAATACCTCACAGACTTAATTTTGTATCAGTAACATTTCATAATGCTTTTTTAACAAATTAAATTCTTTATGAAAAAAGTGCAGGCATTTAAAACATGATTATAATGTGTACTTTTGATAGCAGTATAGCACACTGTACAAACAAATCTGTTATTTTAAGTTTTTGGGTTGTTAAATTAAAGAAACTTCCTTAAATTGAAATTTCTGGTTAATTTCAGTAAATTACTGTCTGTTATTTTACAGTAAATGTCTGTAGTTTAGCGGCCGTTATTGTAAGTTTTTTTTTAACGTAAAATAACAGACTTTTTTACAGTGCATGTTACTATTTGGAATAAAAATGAAGCATAATATACGGTAAAACTATGTATTATAATCACTAGGTAGAATAAATAAAATACTACACTAGTATTCCAAACACTATTACAATAAATGTTCTTTGTATAAATGCCATGTTCACACCGTTCAATATTAGACTGATTCGTAACAATCAATTTGATGTGGGGTGTTTTGGTGAGTCGTAAGTTAATTATTTTATCTTAAATAGTTTGTATTCAAGCAATTCTTTATTTGTAGCTCTTCTCAATCTCCTGACAGAAAAACAAGCAGGTTATTTCAGTCCTCTACAAATGGTTCGATCACATCCTAGACCAGGGTTGACCAAACTTTTTCGTATAAAGGTTCAAAAACCAAACTTGATTGAGGGCTGTGGGCCGAAGTTAAATATACTAAACCGTATTACATTAAATTTGCTCATTTGTTTGCTTATTATTTAAAATAGCTAGAAAAAGTTGCTTTAAAACATTAAATGATGATGCGGTATAATTTTTTAAGTTTTATAATCAACTAATTTTTGTAAAGACATAAACAATCCCTGAATCCCATTTATAACACAATGGAGCTCAATACTGAATACACTAATATATGTGCTACTGCCTTTGCCTTGATTTGCTCACCCATATCTTGTGCATTGTTCTCTGTCTAGTAACAGAATTTACATTTTAAAAGTCTGATTCATATGAACCAGCTGGGCTAATTGGGTTTTTTGTATCTCCTCAATTAAACAAAGAAATAAAAAGGGTATACATTAAATTCGAAATGACCATCTTTGTCAAAAACACTAACCAAATCCTACTCCCATCTTTTCAGATGGGATGGTGGGCCAAACCAAAGGTTACCCTGGGCCAACTTTGGCCCGTGGGCCCTAATTTGGGCATCTCTGTCCTTGACATTTCTGTAAACTGTTGTCAAACATGGCTAAACAAAAGGGAGACAATGCTTGATTTATCTGACAAAAAAGATATACTGCTTTGGTAGCCACTGTTTCCAGAGGTCAGTAGAGTACAAAAATGTCCATAAGGGACATATCAACAACCCACAGACCCACCCCACCCCCGCCCACCCTACGAACCAAACCTTATATGTACACAATTGCAATATTTTGCTACTCAGCATAAGGATTGCCTTGCAGTGGTTTAGCATAAAATAGTGATTTCATTCATTCATTTTCTTGTCGGCTTAGTCCCTTTATTAATCTGGGGTCGCCACAGCGGAATGAACCGCCAACTTATTCAGCAGGTTTTTACACAGCAGATGCCCTTCCAGCTGCAACCCATCTCTGGGAAACATCCACACACTCATTCATACACACACTCATACACTACAGACAATTTAGCCTACTGCATGTCTTTGGACTGTGGGGAAAACCGGAGCAGCCAAAGGAAACCCACACAAACGCAGGGAGACCATGCAAACTCCACAAAGAAACGGAAACTTAGCCGAGGCTCGAACCAGCAACCTTCTTGCTGTGAAGCGACAGCACTACCCACTGCGCCACTGCTCCATTCATTAAATGTGCAAATAAAATATGATGCACAGACTTATTAATGATTCCTACTTGTCTTCCTCGTGATAAAGAGTAGGCAAAATCTGATGTGTAGTGGGGGGAAAAAAGAAGAATGACTTCATCAGAAGCTGGATTCGAACCGAGTTCTTCCTCGAATGTGTCAAAACATATTGCTATGCGCTTTACGAGCTACGCCACTCACGCTGCTAAAGTCATTACAAAATGTTACACCTATACGTCGCACTATTTCTTTTTTTTATCCACTCAGTGCGATGTTAAGACCCAACTGTGTTAATCGCATTAGCTAAACTCTCCCACTCTATTTTTTTTCTTTTGTTATTAATTCCAGGGGACAAACTTGCAAATAACACAGTTTTTCTCCGGTCTACCTCTGAAAGCAGCGCCTCCAAATCACATTCTGTTAAAAGTTTCTCTTTTTGCTTGCTTTTGCCATTGCTTTTTCGTTGGGTTTTGCCAAAGTAAAGTCATTAGCATATTCATACGGGGGAGGAATGCACTTTTTCCGCTCAGAGTTTACTTTTTTTTTCAATTGCGAGCGCACGGTGTGCAAGGGTAAAGACGTGAGGCGCAGGAGGTGTTTAAAATGCAAGGCACAGCAGGGCGCATAAGCAGCGTGCAAAACGCTCGCTGTCGTTTGTAAATGAACTAAGAACACATTGGGCCCTGGGGCTATAATAAAGGTTACCAATTGTTTTTATTTTATTTCCTCCTACTTTAAGCCAAAATCTTTTTTTTTGTGTGTGAAAAAAAAGAAAAAATGAACAATGTCAGTTTTCTTAGTTTTTCTTTTTTGTTTGAAAACAAATGCGGAATGGATGGAAGATACCCTGATTGATGGCAAACCTCCTTTTGTAACTTTAATTTAGAAGCTTCTTTCAAACAAATAGATGTGTTGCAGAAAGTAACATGACTTGTTTTATTTTGTCAGAATTCTTCATGCAAGACATTTCCTACAGTCTGAATCGAGTGAGGTCACAAGAACACTTGCTAAAATCCGTCCTGCTGTACTCCTTCGACCACAACCACCTCTCTCCATTCTCATTGCTCTGTTATCTTGACATGAAGGAACAGAAATCCTCCAAGGATCAGATGTGCTCCAACCATCTGGGCATCCAGCACTCGGTCCCCCTGCTCAGCTTCCGCGTCCATCACCGCTGGGTGGAGGTGGACGTGACCTCCTTCCTTCATCCTCTCATTCAGGCCCATAAGAAGGACATCCACCTACTGATCAACCTGACCTGCGTCGAAGATATGATCTCCAGACCTGGAGGCCAGATTCATAAGAGTCCTGTTGAGTTAACTCCCAGATCTCCATCACTCCTTCTCTATCTTAACGACACCAGTGAGGTGGCGTACCAGAGAAGAAGCACACAGGGCAGGATGGTGGATCTGACATCAAACCATTGGGATGGAAAGTCCACATTATGGGAATCGACTTCTCGAAGGCGACGAGGCACCCTAAAGAGTTCAGAAACCAGCATGCCTAAACTCGTCCCCATGTATGAGTTTACGACCGATGATTGTGACCTGTATGATTTCAGAGTGAGCTTCAAAGAGCTCAAACTGGACCATTGGATCATTGAGCCTAAAAAATACAATCCGAGGTACTGCAAGGGATCTTGTCCGAGGAATGTGGGTTTTATGTACGGGTCGCCAATGCACACCATGGTTCAGAACCTCATTTATGAAAAGTTGGACTCTTCTGTGCCCAGACCTACATGCGTACCATCAGAATATAACCCTTTAAGTGTTTTAACCTTTGAGAATGACAAATCCTATGCTTATAAAGAGTATGAGGAGATGATTGCTACTAAATGCGCTTGTCGATAAAATTAATTTGGCTGGTTGAATTTTTTTTTTTTCCCTATTTTTTGTGATACTACATTGCTTTGTAAAACACTGACCTATTTTTTTTGCACTGGCCATTCTCATTATGAAGATGATTAATGACCACGTGTGTCAGATAATTTGCTGAAATGTTTATTTGACATTACCTTTTTATCTGACTCTGTAATGCTCCAAATATTTGAATGAATTTCGCAATTGAGTTGTTTTGGTGTTTTCAGGTTTTTTTTTTTTTTGTAATATAGTTGTATATGGGGGTATTTAATTGGCTTAAAGGATAATTTTCTACTTTGATGAGAAGTTCTGTTATTTTAAGTTTTTTTTCTCTTTAGGTTGGTGGTCTTGTCATGCACTTTCTATTCCTTAAACATGAATTGCAAAATTTTAATACTTCTGGTTCTGGACAGAATATGAAAAGTGTGGTTCTATTGTCTTATCAGAACACTTTTACATTGTTTTTTAAAACCTGGGAATTGCAGACGGTTGTCTCATGGGCAACCTCTCTCTTCTTGATGTCCAGAAAATAAGTTGCCCTAATTGTGGGCAACTTGATATGTGTGTATTAACTGCTTTAAAGAAAGTAATGGATGAGAATGTGTGTCACGTGCCTATTTATGTAATTTATGTCTTTGTAATTTGGTCAGACTGGCTTTGGTTTCACAAAAAAAAGTGTAGAGGAGAGAAAAAAAAATCCCATATGAAAATATAAAATAAAAACAAAAAATTCTGCAAACACACTTGATTTGTTTATGTTTTTAATAAAACATAAATGTTTGTCATTAGATGTTTGTTTTTTAGAGAAAAGCCAACATAGTCAATTTTTATACATTATTAGATTAGTACTGAATGCATTGTGATTTGTCATTTATTGTAGCTTTTAACAAAAAGTAAACTTTAATAAATATGTGACTTTTTGCTCTTAAAGTGATTTCAGATTGGGGACTTAAGAGTAGAGTATTTATTGAATATTGGAGTAATAGTGTTTAATAAGTAGTAAAAAACAAATATAACGTCTGATAAAGGGCTGTTTTACTCTTTAGAGTAAAATGATATGCATATTTCAAAATAAAAACAATTGTCCACAATATTTACTATATACATATTTGCTATATTTTTTTAACTCTGCAAATAATTTTTGCCATTTTTTAATATTTATTACAATATATATTCGTACCAATATATAATATATTCAACTTTAATATTGATCTCACAGTTGCAAAATGTATTTGGCATATATTTAAAATATATTAGCAACAAAATCATGAAAAAATAAATAAAAAAATGAATAAATGCCGGTGTATATATACTGAAATATTTGACGTAGATAGATTAACATTATAAGCGTGCAAATGACATTACTTTTGACATATCAAGAGCGTGTTCAGGCTTTATTATAATATATATTAGTCAACATTTGAAGTGGATCATCACCTTTTATCAAAGTTGTCCTAAAACTATTGAACAACACCTACTCTTGTCCTAGGACAATTTTGAAAAACATTTTTGACTCACTTCGAATGTTGACAACTGTATTTTCGATTCAATATTTAATATATATTGGACTTTTATATTGAGCCCCACAGCTGCGAAATATATTTGTCATATATTTAAAGTATATTTGCAACAAAATCACGAAAAATAGTAAATAAATAAATACCAGTATGTTTACTGAAACAATAAAAAAAACATATATACACACACACACACACACACACACACACACATATATATATATATATATATATATGTGTGTATGTATGCACATAGTTGAAGTCAGAATAATTAGTCCCCCTTTTATTTTTTTTTAAACAGCAAGTATGTCTGATACTATTTTTTTTTCTTTTGGAGAAAGTCTTATTTCTTTTTATTTCACCTAGAATAAAAGCAGTTTTAAATTTTTAAAGCCATTTTAAGGTCAAAATTATTAGACCCTTTGAGCTATATTTTTTTTCGATAGTCTAGTGAACAAACCATCATTATACAATATTTTGCCTAATTACCCTAATCAAATTAACCTATACATATAGGTTATATAGGTATGTGTGTATATACATACACACATACGTGTGTGTGTGTGTGTGTGTGTGTGTGTGTGTGTGTGTGTGTGTGTGTGTGTGTGTGTGTGTGTGTGTGTGTGTGTGTGTGTGTGTGTGTGTGTGTGTGTGTGTGTGTATATATGTGTGTGTGTGTGTGTGTGTGTATATATATATATATGTGTGTGTGTGTGTGTGTGTGTATATACATACATACATACATACATACATACATACATATATACATGTAGGCATATATATATATATATATATATATATATATATATATACACACATACATACACATACACACAACACTCAAGGTTTCCATATTCAAAAATAGAAAGAAAAGTATATTAAAAAAAAAAAAAAAGATTGGTTTGACGGGATTTTTTTTTTTCATATTTACTAAATAGCAGTGGTGAGATTTATACTTATCAGGAAATTCCTTCCTCTTCAGGGACTGTTTTTTACATAATGATTATAACTTTATTGTGGAAAGCATCTCTGATAAACTGCTTTACTTAATGAAAATCCATCTTACTTATAACTCCGTCTTAAAGCAAATTCTAAAAACTGCACTTGGTGGTATCAGTATCTTAGATAAAAAGTGTAATAACCTCCATATCAGAAAATGTCTTATTCAAGATAGTAGCTGTTTCGTAAAAGCAATTTTGAAATGCAAACATTAATTTTCTTCACCTTATATGATGATATTTAATCAAGAAGTCTTCTCTCCCAAATAAGATAAAAGAAATTCATTTCAAAATATTACACAGATACCATCCCTGCAATATGTTTATTAATAAATTTGAAAAAGACCACAATGTTCTTTTTGAAACACTGAGCCTGAAAGTCTTCTGCATCTATTTTCTACTTGTACATTTTCTGATGATTTTTGGAAACAGGTTTCAGGGTTGATTTTTGATTCATTTTACAAAAATAATTAACTTTGACGAATGCACAATTCTTTTATCAATTGTAAAACTGGCTATGATACACTTGATAATGCTTTGAAATTGATTATTTTTCCTGGGATGTTTCCCATACACAAGGCGGAAGTAATGTCTATTGCACCCTCTTTTTTTCTTAAAAGGTTTAAAAATATTTTATAATTCTTTAACATCAATTACAAGAAACAAGAAGGCTATAAAAAAAACATGTCTAATAATGAAGACAATAATCTGTACAATATAATAATTTAAATATGATATATCCCCTTATGTATTTATTTATACATTTAATTTTATGTATGTTCTGCTCCCTGGCTAAGCTTTGTATGACTGTTACATATGTAATCGTATAATCCTGTATGCTCGTCAGTTATTTGCTTCAATAAAAAAAAAAAGTGTGACGTAGAAAGATGCATGCAAATGACATTATATTTGACATATCAAGAGAGTGTTCAGTTGAGCAACAAAACAACACCAACTATTACTATTATATTATTATTATTATAAAAAAAATGTATACACAATTTTTGCTATATGCATCTTTGCTATTTTTTTTAAATTCTGCAAATTATTTTTGCAAGTCCTTATTTTTATTATAGTATATATTCGATTTGATATATAATGTATATTCAATTTTAATATTGAGCCCCACAAGTTGCAAAATGTATTTGGCATATATTAAAAATATATTCGCAACAAAATCTAAAAAAATAAAAAAATAAATACTGGTGTTTACTGAAATATTTGACGTATGTAAGTTAGACATTCTAAGCATACAAATGACATTGCTAAAATGTGTAATATTGTAGATGTGTAGACTTGTTATGCATTTGATTGGAAATGTTCAGCAAATACAATAAAAAAAATGTTTTAAAAAATGTAAAGAGAGCTTAAAAAAAAAAAAAAAAATATATATATATATATATATATATATATATATATATATATATATATATATATATATATATATATATATATATATATATATATATATATATATTCAAATAAAAATAACGTTATACCAAAAAAAAAATGCAATTGACATTGCTTTTGACATATCAAGAGTGTGTTTGGTTGAGCAGCAACAACAACAAACCTATTTATGTTCATTTAATTACATAAAACATACAGTGTACCCTGTGATTTATATAGATTTCCAACTGAACGTTACGCTGTTGCCTGAATTTCATCAATCACAAGAGACGCGCGGGCTTTTATTTTGAATCCTCAATTTTCCGGAAGTTCTTTTATCAACATTTAGGTAAGGAAGTAAGTTTTGGTCCCTGTCTGTCAACAACAGTATATAATTGCATTTTAAACTGCGTTTCGTTTGAGAAATCCTTAGGTATTAAACTAGATCTTTTTGTAAACGTTGTCCGCTATTTTTGTGACGCTAATTCATCTTTTAAAACAGACATTAATAAGATAATTATAACTAACCTAAATAAACTTTGTCTCAAAACATTCGTTCAGTCTAGATGTACAGAAATCTATCAGAAACCATGTCTAGGTGAGCAGCTCACTAACAGGGGTTGTCATGGATCCAGAGGTGTCCCTCATGCTTCACTGTGATCCATCACAGGCTCTTGAAGAACATCAGATGCACGTAGAAGTTTCAGACAGGTAAAGTGACTTACAATCCTAAACGCATCTGTAAAATATTCTGTTTATATATATATATATATATATATATATATATATATATATATATATATATATATATATATATATATATATATATATGTGATATATGAGTGATTTTATATAAGATAGCATATTAAATTGAAGTATCTAATTTTATGCTTTCATTTCCATGACTGTACACATGTACCTAATGTACTTTTTTAAACAATAAGTGATCATGATTGTTGTGCTGATATTTAGTAATCAAAATGTAAAAAGGATTAGCACTCCTATGAAATAACATGTTCTTTTTAACATTGAAAATAATTTTCCAACTCTTTTGAAAATAACTACTTTCTAATAACAAATGTATTTAGTCTTTGCCAAGATGATTTTACATAATATGTTACTAATAAAGGTACTAGTATTCAGCTTAAAGTGCGTTATAAAGGCTTAACCTCAGATTGAGGTAAAGCTGGTTTTATATTAGCACATTTGTTCAGTGACAACTTGTGACATGCTCTCTATATTGTTTACTATGGTACTCTGAATATTCGGTCTGAAATCACATGCAAGTATGACTTGAAAACAAAATTAGCACTGTTTAATTGACTGAACAATGTTGTACTTTGATTGGCTGCTTTTATGATTTCACTCTTTAGAATGTGCAAAAGATATTTTTGTTCAGTTATTTTATTTAGGAGAAAGTTTGAATGTACAAATATAAAGCCAACCTTACCTCAGTTATCCACAGTAGGTTATTTGGTTAACAGTACCTCAAATTCTGTGAAAATTTACTTGCCCTTTCTGATTCTTAAATTATTATTAAAAAGTTTTTATATGTATGCCTGAGGTTTTGATTAAACATTTTCAAATTTTTTTGTAGGCCTATTGCACTTCACAATAAAGGTCTGGCTGTTATTTTGATGTTAGTTCTCATTTAATGTTTAATAACTCATTAAAATCAAAAGTGTGAACTGTTTAATTTAACAGAGCGAATTACTTGTAACATTCAGTTGAATTTCTTTAAAACTAACTATAACATAATAGCTTCTGTAACAAATGCATCTGTTTCTTCTATTGATGTTAATGCATTAACTTGCATCTATTAATGAGATCTTGTTGACCTAAAGTGTTTCCTATTGTACTTTATAATCCGTAAATCATTGTATTAATATTTTTTTTTACTCTGAACATTCATACATACAATAGATCAATAGGAAATGTAGAGTTCTTTTAATTATACCAGTTGTTGTAACCCTTTTATGCAGCTTACAATATGTCAATATCCTGATAAAAGCTTTTAAAAATGCACTTGGGTCATACTAAAAATAGCATTATACTTTATTATGAAATTATTCCTACTGACAAATAATTTAAGCCTTGTGGTTCGAGTGGAATAACAATTTAAAATGACAATAAATCAGTATTGTGGGGCTCCAGATGTCATCCGATGATTCTTGTTATAAAATGGCCTGAAAAGATTTTTTTGGTGTGTAAACTATTGTTGCCCTAAATTACATTTAATTGGGTGTCTTCTGTAAATCCTGGTAGAATTTTTTTTTTAGTAATTTACAAAAATAAAACAATAAAGTTGTATATTTATAAAGCATCTTTTAATTTGTGACTGAAGTCAATTATGATGCTTTACAAATCAAATGTATTTTTTAAATTTTTCACGCTAGATTCAATCGTCAGCGTTTTCCTGAAATCGAGCAGCACATTGAAGCTATCTGGACTGACCGAGTGACCAAAGAACCATGGCTTTTCAATGGTGCCAAATTCAGACTGCATTCAGCGCTGCTCACACTGACAGAAAATGGACCAATGGCAGAACATGCCCTCCAAAACACAACGCACTTACGGCACGATGAAGGAGAGCACTCTGAAAGCGCTCTCAAGTCCCCGGAGGGATTAGCAAAAAGCAAGCAACCATGTGTGGTGAAGTTACAGTTGGGCCTGACCTGTTATAAAGACTATCTGGGAACAAACTGGTCACGAGAGGCAGAGAAGCTGCAGAGTCATGGACGGAACGAGTGTTTGGACCCTCAGGCATTTCTGTCGCAGCCTCTGGGGGTCGGGGCTGTTTTGGCCACTGTGGATGGAGACGTCGTCCTGCTGAGGAGAAGTCAGAAAGTGGCTGAAGCTGCAGGCCTGTTAGACATTCCTGGAGGACATCCAGAGCCGAAGGTCAGATTTGTGTTGTAAATATATGGTTTATTTGTACATGCATTACTGAATCAAATAGATACTTTATTATCACTAGGCATGGGCCAGTTTCTGACGGTATGATAACCTTGGGATAAAAATATTTTGCTTGGACGAATTTGTGATTACTGCTCTGAAATGCATTCTTTTAAAATGTCTGGGTAAAAAACTAAAACTTTTTTCCTCTTTAAGCACAATATATTTTATTTTGAGAAACATTTAAAAAAAAAAAAAAAAAGATTGGTTTGACGGGATTTTTTTTTTTTTCATTTTTTTTTTCATATTTACTTTTTAACATTTATTTTGGAGCAGTAAATATGTCAGGATAAATAATGAAAATGATTCATTGACTTCTGCTGTCTTCATGAGTTTCAAAAACACATTTCTTTACAATTTAAATCGGCATTGTTGGATATATTTTCTGCTATAGAGACTGTTGTTCTAAATTACAACAAAAATGTAAATAAAAATCTTACACATACTTTAGGAACAGTATAGTAGTAAATTTTTGGTGGTTTTAAAACCATGACTTTTTCAAACTGCGGTATACCTTGAAAATGGTTATCGTCCCATGCTTACAAGCAATCCTTCGTTTAGTTGCAATTACTCTTAAACAAGTTTTTTTACAATATAATCTTATTATAATTTACAACCCCAAATTAGAAGAAGTTGGGAAATAAGGAAACTTGATTTCATTTGTAAATATACATCCTTTCCTATCATTCAGACCAGCGGCACATTCCAAAAAAGTTGAGACAGGAGCTATTTAGGGCTACTAATAAGTGTAAATTGGTTAAGTTATGTGATTTGAAACTAGAGGGATCTGGCTGCATACCTGGTGCAGTGCAATCTGAGCTGCATCCAATACTTTTTAATGCGCTCCGCTAACCCCACCCCTAACCTTACCTGTCACTGTGATGTCACTCACTCCATTGAGTGCATTGTGTCTGACATTGCGTTGCTGAGTGATGCAATCTCAGCTTGCATCATAATGGCTGCATCCAGATACTTTTGTTTGAAACAGTTTATGTTAACAGGTGATAATTGTAATTAGGAACAGATGTAACAGGTGTAATTATGATTTGGTGCAAAAACAGCCCCTGGAAAAGTTTAGTCCTTTAGGAGCAAAAATGGGCAGAGGATTGTCAGTTTGCCAATGAGAAAATTATTGAACTTATTAAAAACATTGTTCCTCAAAGAAGGATAGGAGGACATTTGCATATTTTACCTTCAACTGTGCATAACAAAGTTAAAAGATTCAAGGAATCTGGAAGATTCTTGTGGGTAATGGACAAGGGTGCAAGCCTAAGCTGAACAACCATGATCTCCAGTTGCTCAGGCGGCACTGCATCAAGAATCGCCATTCATCTATCAGTGATATCACCACATGGGCGCAGGACTACTTTGGCAGACATCTGTCAAGGACCACAATACGTAGTTACACCACAAATGCCAGTAAAACTGTACTGTGTCAAAAGGAAGCCCTATCTTAACAGTGTCCCGAAGCACAGTTGACTTTTTTGGGAATCAGGGATTGACCATCACACACAGTGGAAACATTTACTGTGGTCAGATGAATCAGTATTTGAAGTATTTTTTGGGAGAAATGTACTCTGTGTGCTCCAGACCAAAGAAGAAAAGGATCATCCAGACCGTTAACAGCACCATGTCTAAAAGCCAGGGTCTGTCATGGTATGGTGTTGTGTCAGTGCCCTTGGCAAAGATAACTTGCACTTCTCTGAGTGCACCATTAATGATGAGAAGTACATAGAGATTTTGGAGCACAATATGCTGCCTTCTTTTCCAGGGATGCCCTTGCATATTTCAACAAGACAATGCAAAGCCACATTCTGCACACATTACAAAGTCCTGGCTGAGAAAGAAGAGAATACAGTTACTTGACTGGCCTGCCTACCGTCCCGACCTGTCTCCAATAGAAAGTGTGTGGCACATTTTGAAGCGCAAAATGCGACAATGAAGACCCTTTACTGTTGCCGACCTTAAGACCTGAAACTCTTCATCACTTGGCGTCTTCAGTCCCTAAACAAGTGTTGTGAAAAGGAATGGCGACATTACAAAGTGGTAAATGCTTTGCTGTTTCAATTTTGCAAGAACCAAAATTGGAATATGTGTTCATAAAAAAGATCATGAGGAACACATTAAATGTGCTGTTGCATTGTCTGCAATGAAATCAAATGAATGTAAATTTAGAAATCACGACTTTCTTTTTTATTTACGTTTTCCATATTGTCCCAACCTTTTCTGATTTCAGATTCTAGCAATTTTAAAGGATTATTGGTATTCATTTAATAATAATCACAGCAAGATTTAAACAAAAGCAATGTTGGTTCATATTGTTATCGAAGTTTAGTTGTTTTAGCTGTTTTTTGGATTTATGATTATGGAATTTCTAATTTTGAGGTTGGTAAAAAGTTTTTTTTTTTTAAAACTAACTTTTATTTTAGCAGACATTTATTCAATTGATAAAGTGAATGGCAGTTCAAATAATTGTTTGTTTCTATACACAGTGTTGCCAGATTGGGCGGTTTTGAATTTGTTTGTTGGTTCTAAAAAATTACATAGGTGGGTACTAAAAATTCGGGCGGTTTTGCAACGATGTGCCCCCAGACCCGAAAAAAAAGCAAAACATATATAATTAAAAATGTATATTTTTATTTATTAACTATGTTTAAATTACTCCAATTGTAGTGCTTTCTACAAACTAATGTTAATCAAAAACATTTTTAGCATTTATAACAATATGACACTATTAATAAAAGGGATGCAGCAATAATTTTAGATGTAAGAATTAATTCAGCCTTGGCATTATTATTCATTCATTTTCTTTTCGGCTTAGTCCCTTTATTAATCTGGGGTCACCACAGTGGAATGAACCGCCAACTTATCCAGCAAATGTTTTACACAGCGGATGCCCTTCCAGCTGCAACCCATCTCTGGGAAACATCCATACACACTCATACACTGCAGACAATTTAGCCTACCAAATTCACCTGTACCACATGTCTTTGGACTGCACCTGGAGGAAACCCACACGGACACAAGGAGAACATGCAAACTCCACACAGAGACGCCAACTGACCCAGCCGAGGCTCGAACCGTCGACCTTCTTGCTGTGAGGCGACAGCACTACCTTTCCAACTGAAATAATTTGTATCAAATTACAATAATATAATTCAGCCTTCCATCACAATAATAACACATGAAAATACCTATTTGATATCTATAAATACTATTTAATTGTTTTGATCTGCTCTGTTATTGATCTTATCCAGTGTGTAAACCTCTTTGTGTGTATATATATTAATGTGCATTTCTATTTCTGCCTGTGCCTGTAGATGGTGTGCCCGGGGGTCAGTGAGGAGGATATTTGTGTTGAGCTTCTGCAGGGTAAAGAGAGAGCCGTTGTCTCTGAGATCTTCTCCTCGGTGTGTGCAGAGATCAGTGATGAGGTTTGTATCTATGAACATCACATTTTATACAAACCTCTTTATAACACATTTGAATATTTTCTGGATTGATATGAGGGTTGCAGAGTCTGCAGTTTTCCTGTGGAACAGGGCTACGTTTAGCCACTTGCCAGTTTTTTTTTTATTATTTTGTTAAAGATTTGACAAATTGCTCCATTATATTTATATGGGTGCACTGAATTGTTTTACTTTCTGCATTCTTGTGACCCACAACGTTGGCAAACCTAATAAAAAATAATGGCTATGATATTGGCAACACTATCACTATCATTACTAATTTACATAGTTTAATATGCATATACATTAGATTATTAATGTCTTGTTTATATGTTAATGCTAATGCTTTTTTAATATTCGCATACATTTTTGCAAGTAAGAAAATTAAAAAAAAAATTAATCAAATAAGAAAAAAAAATGTCTGCCAGTGATAAAAACTCTGCTAGACTGATTAAATGCTAAACACTTTTGTGTCCGCAACAGATTTAGGAGAACTCTCCAGGATTGTTGCTAAAAAACAACTCAATGATTATTATTATTTCCTTTATTTAACCAGATCACATTGAGACTGTCTCTCCTTCCAGTGAGACCTGTTCAAGATGGTTGGCAGCACATAAAGTTTCACATAAAAATCACAAAAACAATACCACAAAATGATCAGATCATAAAAAACAATTACAAGTATCCTTTAAGAGGTTGTACAGAAGGTGTTTAAAAGTAATCAAGAGTCGGAAGTGTGTCAAGATTGAGCCTATTTTGCAGATCATTCCAAGTCCTAGGAGCATAATAGCCTTGGGACTGTAAGACGAATACATGAACCAGATCTAGTGTGTTGGTTATTAATGTGAAATGTTAACAGATTAGAAAGATAGGTTGGTAATTTACCTAAGAGAGCCTTTAAAATAAATAAGTACAGATGTAATTTTCTCATTTGATATAAAGATAATTCAGTTCAACTCGGCTTTATTTGTATAGCGCTTTTACAATGTAGATTGTGTCAAAGCAGCTTCACATAAATGGTCATAGTAACTGGATCAGGGTAGTTCAGTTTTTAAGTGTTTAAGTTCAGTTTCGTTTAGCTTAGTTCAGTGTGGTTTAAAGTCATTACTGAGAGTCCAAGCAAATCCATTGATGTGAAGCTCAACAGATCCTGAACCATGCAAGCCAGTGGCGATAACCAGTCTAAGGAATCATACAAATACAATAATGCGTCCGTGAGTCTGCACCTGTGTCAAAGCCTATTGCTGCATGATAAACAGAATCAAGTTTTCTTAGTAGAGTAGTGGCTGCGTGCATAAAGAGATGCTCACCATAATCAATTATAGACAGAAATGTACTCTCTAGTTTCTTACAGGCCTTATAAGGAAAACATTTTTTTGACTGGTACAAGAAACCTAATTTTGGCCTAAGCTTTTTCAGTAACTTGTCAATGTGTATATCAAAGGCTAATCTCTCATCAATCCAAATATCTAGATTATTGTAGAAGCTAACTCTTTCTATTTGAACACCATTCAGAGTTGTAATTATCCGGTCTGTTACCTTAGTGCGGCCACGGCTAAAAAAAGTATCATATATTTAGTCTTTTTTGAATTTAAAACCAATTTTAAGTCCTGCAACGTACACTGTAATGCTTGCAAAGCATTCTGTGCATACTGTACAGCTTGGTTTAAGGAGTGTGCCGCTGTATATATTATTGTGTCATCGGCATACAGGTGTATTGTAGCTGATTCTATTCCATGACCTAAATCCTTAATATAAATAGAAAATAACAACGGAGCTAAAACAGATCCTTGGGGAACCCCAGTGTTGACATTAAGAAAGGGCAAATTATAATTTTCATCTGTCACACATTGATTGCGTTCTGAAAAATCCTTTTCAAACCAGTTTAGAGCAGGTTGACTAAAACCTAAAAGCCTAAGTCTCTAACATTAGTTTGTGATCTACAGACTCAAATCGCTATGTATTATACAGCAGAACTTATTATACTACATTACAGATTAATTAATATCTTAAATGCTTATTTTAGCTCTTAAAAATACCTTTAATTTGTAATTAATTTCACAAATTTAACTTCTGCCGGAGTTGTTCAGCATTTGCCCCCATCTATTAGCTATTTTTAAGTGGATGATCACACAGAAGTCACATGAGATACATCATGTCAGTCTTGAGGCAAAATGATTCATGAAAACAGAATCTACTAGTATAACGTGATTGTAAAAACTGACGGATGCATTTTACTCATGGGCTTCCCAGAGATGGGTTGCGGCTGGAAGGGCACCCGCTGTCTAAAAACTTGCTGGATAAGTTGGCGGTTCATTCCGCTGTGGCAACCCTGGATTAATTAAGGGACTAAGCCGACAAGAAAATGAATGGATGAATGAATTTTACTCATTGGAGTGGCATATATTCACTTTTTGGTATTTTTGGTTGCAAATCTAGCAACCTTTACCGATGCCACAATTTTGGTCTCATTATGTCCTATTGTTAACTTTTTGTTGTTGTTGTTCTGACACTCATTTCAGGTGAACGTTCCTGTGTCTTCTCTCAGTAAACCGCTGTTTATGGGAATTGCCCTGAACCACACCAGTGCAGGTCGACCCAGTGCTGAGTTTTATGTTCGGTAAACCTCATTATATGTTTGAAATTTGAATGTCAATATAATGAGCTGTGAGCTTTCAGAAATACACAACTGTGTGTGTGTGTGTGTGTGTGTGTTTTACTTTGTGAAGGTGCACTTTGACGACGGAGGAAGTGAGAGATTTCTATAGACGTGGAGGTCCAGAAGCAAATGAGTCCACTGATATTCTGTTTCTCAGTCGAGCGGTAAGCATATATTTATAAATACTATGGTGGCCCAGAAAACATACATATAATTAAACCAGCAAATTGGAAAATATCTACATGTATTTATCAACACATGCAAATACAGAAACACACTGCAAATAGAGCAGACCACAACAGAAATGTACTGGGGATCTAAAATAAGTGATAAACCCGGCTGCTTCCTATTATAAGACAGCAATGTTTTCAGAGATGGGAGAGGTCATGTTTTTTGTTTATTTTAATGTCCTGGTAGTACTAGTTCCTAACTGGTATGTTTTTAAACTTAACAATCTGACTAATTGCAAAACAAACGTTAAATGAAACATTTAAAGGCCATGTTAGGAAGAGTTACTCTGAGAACTGAAAATATACAAAGGATGTTCAAATAAACAAACAAAAAACTCCCCTCTCAAATTTTCGACAACAGGAAGAAGCTGGTTCCATCACCTTTTTTTGGGTCCTCTGACACATTTCTGTTTGCACTATTTGCAGCGTTGAAGCTCTCCGGGCCACCGTAAAATACAGACAAATCACCACAGCAAGACATAATGTGTTTTATGAAGTAGCTATGAAATAAAACTGGACAAATCTAATGCATGGAGTATTGCAGTTTTTATTATAAATGAAGTTTATCTTTGCAAATCGTTATTATTTCTCAAACTTTGAATAGGAACTCAATAAAATTAAAAAACATACACAGTGTTTAGAAGAAATGAGTACACCCCATTTTGATAATCAATTTCTCAGTGAATGCAGGTCGTATATTTTGGTGCTTTTGAACAATCAATTTATAAATTTATCAATTTATTAAGAATTAATATTTATTCAAATATATTTTTTTCACAGAACATCTTTAGAAGAAGATAACATTTAAATTCACGCAGTATATTACAGCAGCAACAACAAAATTACAAACTACAACATTTCAGCTTTTAATTTCAAGTTTAATATAATTTTGTTTCTTCTGATTTTTTTTCTCTTTAAATTATATTTTATAATATTTCATAATATAATCTAATATAAATTTGGGTGTACACATTTTTGTAAATGTTATTCTAAGTTTCCAGATCGGGCTTCAGTGCTGACTAATCTAATGCGCAGTATATGCACAAATATAATATTGTAAAGCACCTATTTAAAATATGAATTTAAAAGGTAGATTTGTGAGAGGTGTACTCTTATATGCTGAGCATGTAAACAAACTCCATGTATAAGGTAACTGTGATTCATATACAGAAGTTGTTGCATTAATAAAATTGGATAAAAATATTACTTAAAAATAATGATACACTTATTTAATGATGCAGACTGCATCATTAAGGGAAGTCTCAAATATGAATACAAGCAATATAAAGCATTGTCTTCACAACTATTTGTTTATAATCAAATCTGACAAATCATGTTCATGTTGCACTTCTATCACTTGCATCACAATATAGAACTTTTTTTTTGCTGTTTGTTTCATATGCTTTATTTATTTATTTATTTTTACAAAATGTATCATGAGCTACAAATGTTAACTCATTTAAATGACCAAAAAACAATCTTCAAACATGAGACGATTTTTGTTTTTTTCTACAGAAAATGCTCCAGTTAAACGAGCGCTCCCCCTTGTGGTCAGAGATGTGTCCTTCTGCAAAGGGGGCAGTTCTGCTCTATCAGAGGGTGATGCCTGAATAATTCACTTCATACACACGAGTGTTATTTTATGATTTGCCAACATTTTGTGTTGTCTATCATATAGTGCTGTTATGTAATACATGATATATTCTATCTCAGCCCTGTTCCTGAAAGCACATCAACACACTCTTGAATGTTTTCTAATTAAACAATTAATTTAACTCACCATCAGCTTAGTAGACTTGCACTGAATGGTCCGAAACGGCAGATATTCAAACTGTGCTGGTGCCTCAATGAGCAGGGTTAGGAAACACAACTGGTATATATGTATAAATCTATTCAAAATAACTGTAATGTTTTATTTTGTATACTGGTGGGCAAGAGGTCACATTTTCATATTTATACACAAACATTCAAAGTATGTAAAGTATATTTGCAGACTTTTGTTCTATGAAATGTATTCTTTACAGTGAATTTGAACAAACCTTTCATACTGAATAAAATAAAAAGTGTTTTAAATATATAAAAGACCACGACCTTTAATATATAGTGCTAAACATGTTCATAAAAACACATTATTTGACTATAAATGTTAGATTTATTGGCGGAGCAGTTTTTACAATAAATATATTTCCTTAGAGAATCTTCTCTTAGGATCCACAATTAGCTAAGTGTGACAATGAGAAGTAAATATCTGTAGATAGATTTACACAATGTTCTGTGTTTATACAAATAAGAAGATATCAAAAGGTAAGATTAAAAAAGAAAGAAAGTATAAAACAGGCAAAACATAATCAGTATCTATAACTTCTGGTCCATTTGCTGAGTTGTTGATCATACAGACGTGTGTAAATAATAAGCAACGTTTTGCTTAAATAATTTGTTTTACTTCATAAACTCAATCTGGTGTGTTAAATTGGGGAGACATACAAAACGTGCAGAGCGATTGAAAAAAAATCACTGATCTAATTTCCTCACTGGTCTTTAAAAAATGAATTAAAGGGTTCGTTTACCTAAACACTTCTTTAATTAAAGTGACAGTTCACCCAAAAATTAAAATGTGCTCACTATTCACTCATCCTCAAATGGTTCCAAACCCCTGTTTAACACTAAAAAAGATATTTTGAAGAAAGATGAAAAGCGATAACCATTGAATTCCAAAACAGGAAAAACAAATACTATGGAAGTCTATGGTTACAGGTTTTCAGCATTTATTAAAATATCTTCTTTTGTGTTTAAAGAGGCATATTATGCAAAAATAACTTGTATAAGGGGTTTAATAATTCTTTTATAACCCTTAATAAAAGCAGTCTGCAGAAACACTTTGATTGACGTTTTTACCTTTGTACGTGTCGTTAAAGAGGGAAAGCCCTGCCCTGTTAATTTTGTTCTTGAATCTGCCACTATGCTGACACATAGGTATTAAAGCTCCGCCCTGTACTGAAAATAGGGCTGGGAGCACAATCTCATTTGAATTTAAAGCAACAGTCACCAAAACGGCAAAATTAGGATCAAGGACTAAAAAGGGGCAGTTTTAAAGTGTTATAAAACATTATTTATAACTTATTTTGAGTTGAAACTTCGCATTAATATCACTTGTTTTAAATCTTGTAAAAAGGGGCATAATAGATCCCCTTTAACAAAAGAACCCATCACAATTTTTATTTTTGAACTCTTCGTTTAATTACTATTCCTTGTGTTGTTTCAATCCCCTGAGAGCTTTGTTTATCTTCAGCATGCAAATGAAGATATTTTAGATGAAATCTGAGAACTTCCTCATCCTCCGTAAACAGCAAAGTTCCTGACTTGTTCAAAGTCTAGAAAATTGCAGAAAAAAAACACTTTAAATAGACCATATGTATGGATACCCCAAACGGTGGGTGAAAAATATTGAATGATATGATAATATACAGTTGAAACTAGAAGTTTACATACACTGTATAAAAGGCACATAACCATTTTTTTTTAAAAAGTCAGATGTTAATGTGACTAAACTTTTTATCTTTAAGTAATTTTGTTAGTTTTAAATCCTCCAGATTACCAGTAGGGCTAATGGTTGAAATAGACAGGGCAAGAGACCTGCAGCTCTGAGTCTGCATTCAGACCCGGGGATTGAGGGAAAAGTCCTCATTTATAGTGTTTATATGAACACGATTATCTTTATAATGATATAAATTGTGGTTGTGTGTATATGAAAGTCCGAATAACAAATGTAGCCGGACATTAAATTACTGTTAATTTCTTTTAACTTTGTAAACTTTAAAACTTTGTAGCATTTTAACTTTGTAAACTATAAAATCATGAGTCTCCTCACGGTTAGAGTCTCATTGTGTGAGCCAACTGATAACAGCTGTTCGCTCCCCTCCTACTCCCTTGTTCTGCTGGCCACGGCCACTCCTGCCTCATTATGATGCATTTAAAAAAAAATTAAAAATTCTGAGGTAGACTTGAACCGAAAGTGGGGGGTTTCATGGCCCTTTAAGGACAACAGAGTGAATGTTTTGGAGTGGCCATCACAAAGCCCTGAACTCAATCCCATAGAAAATTTGTGGGCAGAGTTGAAAAAGCTTGTGCGAGCAAGACAGCCACCAAATCTGACTCAGTTCTGTCAGCAAGAATGTGGCAAAGTTCCAGCAAACTATTGTGAGACGCTTGTGGAAGGATACCTAAAACATTTAACCAAAGTTACAGTTTAAAAGCAAAACCTAAAAAAATACCAAGGAAATGTATGTAAAATTTTGATTATCTAGAAATTAATACAAAAATTCTCTCATTATTCTGGCATTTAGCAAATGTAAATCATTTAGGTAATCCTAACGGACCTAAAATAGTAAACGTTTAGTATGATTCACCATCAGACATTATTTTAAAAATGGTTGTTCCTTTCCTAAGATTGTATGTAAACTTCTGGTTTCAACTGTATATATATTTTTTTATTTTTGTGTTCCCCTTTGAAAACTGTTGTTCCACAAACTATTCACTTCATATATATCAACCCTCCCGTATTTGCCGGGATTCTCTCATATTTTACCATTCTATTCCGCTATCATCTTATCATTAAGTATGTTCCCATTTTTCTCCCATATTTTTTATCTTGTAAGCACCATGAAATTAATACAAGATCAACTTCTGTACACACTATTTAAAGTGACAGCTCTGTTATCAAACAAGTAAAGAGCAGCAAATGGATCTCTCGTTTTGTTTAGTTTGATAACAGAGGTGTCTCTGTAAGAATGCACAGATCTATAATAAAAGCGTTCCATTACTTTAGTAACTGTTTGTGCTCATTTAAGAGAAAATTAGTTGTTAAACAAAAACATGCAGGATGGACACGTTTACATATTATTAAGAGTATTTGTCTGTTTAAACACACACCCGAATCTTAAAGTGTCTTGCACTTTAGCTTCTCTTTAAATGGCGTGTACAGAAGCTGATCTGGCATCAGTTTATCATATGGAGCGCGTCTGTCAGTCAGTGCTTATACATGCATTCGCTGACTCAGAGGTTGCATAGGAAGGGCGACGATCACAGCTTTAATGGAAAAAAGTTTTCTCACCATCATATCTCTGCCGGGTCTCCATACATATGCCCTGAGTGGATCTTTGATATTATTTTCCAGCTACGATAATACTTTTGCGCACTTAAAACAAAATAACTACTTTATTTAAAAGTTATTTCTCAGTGTCAGTATATTGCACGCCTTCATAAACGCTGCACAGTGACACACACCACACAATTAATAACAGAATTTGTATTTTTGGGTGAACTAACCCTTTAAAACTATAAAATTTAGCATTAAAAAACCCAATGTGTGAACTGTAGAAATGCTCTTTGTGGTGCTTGTCAAGTAACATATGAGCAGCTTGAACATTCTGCACATCTGCTTTCGTGTTTCACCATGGTAACAGAAAATGAAGGCAGAATGTTAATTTTTTTGATTTCCTAGCCTCTAAAAACAAAATGGATTCAGGTATTCAGGCTAACTCATTATAGTCAATGACCTTTGCTAATGAAATTACCGACAGACAGAGCCAATTACTTCTGTAAAGGTGAACCTCTGCTAATCAGAACAAAACATGCTCTGATTTGGGCTGTTTTTCTTGCTATATTATTACTTTTGGGTTCATCAGAGTCCTCCAACTAACTTGAAGAGCTGTTATACGTGCTGCCATAGCTCTGGGTTAGCTCGTACAAGCTCCACTGCAAGAAAAACAAAATACATTTAGTTTTCTCTTATTTTCATTCATCCCATTTTCCCCAATAAGCATTTGTTTTTAACCATATGGTTGTTTTTCTTACCTGCCCAGTGTACGGTCTATAATAATTCCTGTATCTCTGCGGGTCACTGCTGTATCCGTAAGGCTGACCGAAAGCAGGTGAACTCCAACCCTAAAAGTATAATCCAGTCATTACTTCAACTTCCTGCAGAGTTGAAATTCTAATAGTAAACTTAAAACTTACATGTGCTTTCTGGGACGTGTAGTGATTTCGACAGCTGTATGGACCTCGCCTACGTCCTTAGAAAATAAAAATGCACATATTTACTTGTTACTTTTGAAAGGTCAACAACATCCCATCACACTGCATAGCCCACAGCCTTGGTATTTTGGGGGAAATAAATTGCACCTGCCCTTCTGTTACATGACAAAAATCACACAGTTGAACAAACCAAGTTCAGTTTTTATTAAGAAACTGCAGTCATTATAAAAATGATTTGTTAGAAAACAGGGTCTTTCATGCCCCCATTCTGATCAATCATTTAATATCGAGTATCTACCAATACAGAGAGCTAATCTGACGAATACTTCTGTTTTCTAGAGCTAGATGCAAAACTCAGAATATTAAAGTTGATCACAATTAGAAACATGGGACTACTGATATAAACTGTACTATCAAAATAAAAACAAATAGCTATAAATGCATTTAGGCATGTAGACATGGTCAAGACGATCTGCTGCAGTTCAAACCGAGCATCAGAATGGGAAAGAAAGGTGATTTAAGTGACTTTGAACATGGCATTGTTATTGGTGCCAGATGGGCTCGCGGTAGCATTTCAGAAACTGCTGATCTACTGGGATTTTCATGCACAACCATCTCTAGGGTTTACAGAGAATGGTCTGGAAAAAAAAAAATTCCAGTGAGGGGCAGTTCTGTGGCCGCAAATGCCTTGCTGATGCCAGAGGTCAGAGGAGAATGGCAGGACTTGTTCAAGCTGATAGAAAGGCAACAGTAATTCAACAAACCATTTATTACAACCAAGCTATGTAGCATCTCTGAACGCACAACATGTTGAACCTTAAGGTGAATACAACAGCAGAAGACCACACCGATGCCACTCCTGTCAGCTAAGAACAGGAAACTGAGGGTACAATTCTCGAAAATTTTAGTCCAAATTTGGCAATAATAACATGAAAGCATGGATCCATTCTGCCTTGCATCAACGGTTCAGGCTGGTGTAATGGTGTAGGGGATATTTTCTTGCCACACTTTGGGCCTATTAGTATCAATTGAGCATCTACGCCATAGGCTACTTGATTATTATTGCTGACTGTGTCCATCCCTTTATGACCACAGTGTACCCATCTTCTGATGGCTACTTTCAGCAAGATAACCCGCCATGTCAAAGCGCGAATCATCTCAGACTGGTTTCTTGAACATGACAATGAGTTCACTGTACTCAAATGGCCTCCACAGTCACCAGATCTTAATTCAATAGAGCACCTTTGGGATGTGTTGGAATGGGAAATTTGCATCATGGATGTGCATTTGACAAATCTGCAGCAGCTACATGTTGCTATCATGTCAATATGGAGCAAAATCTCTGAGAAATATTTCCAGTATCTTGTTGAACCCATTCCACAAAGGATTAAGGCAGTTTTGAAGGCAAAAGGGTGTCCAACCTGGTACTAGTAAGGGGTATCTAATAAAGCCGGTGAGTGTATATACACTGTGTATAATTATTTATATATAAATACACTTGTATATATGAATTTTTTTATGAATGAAACTTTTAGATAAAACAACATGTATATATGTATTACATATGAAAATAGTTAAACGCATACATGTATGTGTGTGCATTTATATCCATATAATAAACATTATGTAAATACAAACTTTTATTTTCTACACAATATTAATCATTAAACACCACTACAGCCAAATGTAAAACTTTGTGTTTTTGTCTAATTCATTGGTATGAATGGAAGTCAACAGACATGTGTGAGGTGTAGTGTGAGGGTCTCAAAATCTCAATATTGCACAGCACAATTGAAACCATCTCTTACCACAGTGATGAATGAGGTGTTTCTGACATCCTTGTCTGTATTTTTTGCGTTTGGGAGGTGTGGGAAGGAGTCTGCGTGCTTCCTCTTTGTACTGTGTTAAGAGCTTCAGGGCTTCTTCCGAGTTGAGCTCCACAAACATCACCTCCTCCAGATGCTGTCCCTGCACTGGCACTGTGAAGCTCACTGAAAACAGCAAGAGACATCAAAGAATTGTTCTTTTACCAGAGTGGACAAAGGGCGACGCTTGTGATGATTTAGGTTATAGCCTGACCTTTGGCTTTGAGAAGAGATGTCTCCTGAACTGCAATGCCCTCTTGCTCCTGGCGCTGTACGAGGCGGCTCCTCCACACCTCGTCGGGTGGAAAAACAACCACTGCTTTTCGCTGGTAACCATGGAAACAGAGCATCTTGTGTCGCTGAGCAGATGGATAAATGTTGGCCTTGGAGAAGAAAGTGAACTTGTGTGATGATATGAATGAAAAGACAGTTGATGAAGCTCCAGCACACTTTACCACACACATACTGCAACATTTGGGCAGCACGGTGGCTCAGTGGGAGCACTGGCACCTTACAGCAAGAAGGTAGCTAGTTTGAGTCTTAGCTGGGTCAGTTGGCATTTCTGTATGGAGTTTGCATTTTCTCCCCGAGTTGGTACGAGTTTCCTCCGGATGTTCCGGTTCCCCCACAGTCCAAAGACATGTGGTACAGGTAAAAACAAAACTGGCCATAGTGCATGTGTGTGAATGCAAGAGTGTATAGGTGTTTTCTCAGTAATGGGTTGTGTCTGGTAGGGTATCCGCTGCGTAAAACATATGCTGGATAAGCTGGCATTTCATTGCGTTGTGGTGATCCCTGATGAGTAAGGGACTAGGCCTAAGGAAAATTAATAAATGAATGAATACTGCAACATTACCTGATCAAGGATGTAGTTCCTCTTCTTGGCTGCAGCTATTTTGATGAGTTGACTGACACACTGAGTGGCCTGCTGCAGCATCAGCTCTCTGTGATTGGCTCCAGTGGGCTCCTGTAGTGCAGGAAAAGTTAATAAAAACAGTAGTGTTTAGGTAAATTAAACATTTTAAAGTTGACCCACACATTTTGTAAAAATGGTGGTATTGTAAACATAGTTGTGTTCAGTTGACATACATAAGTACTTTAAAACCAAAATAGCCACTTCTCTCGAGCCATTTCTCATCACGAAAAACCAGCTAACCAATAGCATTTGAGCCTTTACCTTAAAACTAGAGAACAATCTTAAACAAGATAAATGAAAACAAACAGCCTTTTTATTAAATGCCAAAGGGACTACAAAAATCCTGATAGAAGGGATTTGCCATCAAGCAATTAAAGGTTTAATTCTGATATTATGTAAATATATGGACTCTAATTGGGATTCGAATTAACCAGGAACCATAGTTCAGAACATGTCTTGGTGAGTCCAGTGATTCCCACACATAGGCTTTACTTGGGCAGGCAACCCAGGAATATTAACGGTTGCTCAAGTATATTCGATGGTGACATATGAATAATACTATTATTATCATCCTTTTGCACTTTTTTTTGTATCCACCTAAGATAGCCAAACATTCACGATTGATTAAACCAGTGGAAAATCTTCTCTTGCTCTGCACATTCCTACTGCTAGTTCTGTGAGTGCAAGAACTGTCAACATTCACACAGACAATCACGTGCTCTGCAGAACTAGAGAAGTGCATTTTGCACCAGAATGCATCTGGCCATAGTTTCTGAATCTCCTAAAATATCTGGGATTCGGGTTTTACTTTCTAAAGTTGCCGCTATTTGTATGCGTTGTTGCATTAACTTTTCGCAGCTGACTGTGTGTACACAGCTGCAAGAGAAACATTAAATGATTAATCATTTAATAGATGACTCCTATAATAAATAAGTAAAGAATAAACTTTACCATATACTCGGAGAGAACAAAATGACATCTATACTGGCTGCAAAATATTTGTACACCATTACAAATGGTTAATCAACTAGTTTGCCTCATTTAAATAATCTACACTTTAAATTCTTTATATTTTAATACTTTTTTAAAATAATCTTTATTTTTTATTCCTTTTTTGTTTTTTATTTTTCATTGCTGTATGTTTCATGAATTTAATGATGTTAATATATTACATATCTCATACATATCTTAAGTAAAATTACTTCAGAGTGAGTGAGAGAGAGAGAGCAGCCTTTATTTGTCAGTGGGTGCACATGGCTCCTAAATAGGATAAAAGTTAGAAAAAGTGCATTTCTTTTATTTCAACAACCGTTTTAAATAATTTTAACCCATTAAAAAAAGAAAAGGTTTATAACAGTGTTATAATAAACAAAAATATAGTTAAAAATCACTTCTTTTTTTGTGTGGATAAAAGGTGCGTTTCAATCCGGTTACCGCTGCAAGTATGTTTTAAGCCTTACTGGGAAGCACTGGAGTCACAGCAAAGATTAACGCCCAATCTTATAGTGTAAAAGATTTTTTTATTTGGATGTTTCTAGGCCTGTTACTGTGAGATTTCAAACAAATTTAAACCATTTGAGCAAAAGAGTTTATAAAGTTTGCTGCTTTAACAAAGATTGTGTTTAATTATTTATGCCATCAAGACTATGCAGTGTTGTTTTATCTGTACCTCATTAATATCAGACAAAACACATGAAGCTTTTTTTATTTTTTTAATCTTTGTTTTCATCTGTGCTTTAATTTATTTATTTTGTTGGATAATTTTCTATAATATATTCAGATTTTATGCAGAAAACCCAACCAATTGATGTAAAATTCCTTTACAAATAGAGTTTAAGACATAACAATATCATATATTCACATCACAATACATACTGTAGAAAAACAAAACATCACACTGTCAGTTTTTTTCCAATATCGTGAAGCCCTAGTAAATGTTCATAGGAAAACCTGAATCTTCTTGGATTTTCTTACCCTCATGCAGTTCAGAATGGAGTTTGTACTCAGCAGATCATATCGTTTGCTTGGGTTCTGCAATATATGAGCTTGAGCCCAGTGGGTTTTACCAGAACCTGGCATCCCAACCATCATTAACACCTGTGAAATGAAAACAAAGGGTAAATATGACTTTTCATAAAAATCTGTCGGATGTTTTCATCGAATACACATTTTCCTTTTCCCAGTGATGGGTGGCAGCTGGAAGGGCATCCGCTGCATAAAAATGTGCTGGATAAGTTGGCGGTTCAGTCCGCTGTGGCGACCCCGGATTAATAAAGGGACTAAGCCGACAAAAAAATGAATGACACATTTTCCTACCTCACAGTCACTTTTAGATGCTGCTGGCAAAGGTGCGCGAGTCCTCTGGCCAGGAGGAAGTGTTGACAGTGCGCTGAAACCAGCAGGAAAAGGATACCAGGGAGCATCTGGATCAAGATTTACTGAAACTGAACAGTTTTTGCAGAGAACATGAGGATAAAGAGCTTGACCTCCAAGAACAGAGGAGTTTAGGTGAAACGCCACTCCAAGAGAACGTCCATTCTTGTGAAATGAAAGTGTTGCTTCTCCCGTCTCATCAATGTGCTAGATAAGAAACAGATACAAAACAATAATGAACCTACATTTAATTCATCCAAGAGATCTATAGTAGTATTACAGATGTGCAAATTTGAAAAAAAAAAAAAAAAATTATTATCTTTTTTTCTCATATGTTTTCCCCCATTGCAATGCCTAAGCAATATTTTGCCAAGTGTGTTTTTGCGTTGGTTTAAGCATGTTATTGATTTTTGAGCCCATCATTCAATCTATTTTTTTACTTATGTAAATTATGTGTTCTTATGGTATTGAATAATATGCAAATGTTTAGATTATGTACACTCCTTTTAGTTGATGTATTGCATGAGAAAACTGCGGTAGTTTTCTTTTTTTTTTTTTTTACAAACAAGTTCTAATTAGATTTTGATTGTTTATTTTTTTATTTATGATTGTTTTATTTTTACGTCTTAGAATTTCACCTTCTACACTCTCAAAATCATTTCACTTTCACATTTTTTACACAATTACGTGTAGAAATAGCACAAAAAAAATCCATATATTCTGTCTTACAATGGTAATGTAATGTAATGTGTATTTATATAGCGCATTTATTGTGTATGGCCATACACCCAAAGCGCTTCACAATCATGAGGGGGGTCTCTCCGCACCACCACCAGTGTGCAGCATCCACTTGGATGATGCGACGGCTGCCACAGGACAACGGCGCCAGTGCGCTCACCACACACCAGCTATTGGTGGAGTGGAGAGACAGTGATAGAGCCAATTCGGTGGAGAGGGAATGATTGGGAGGCCATGATCGTAAGGGCCGATAGAGGGACTTTGGCCAGGACACCGGGGTTACACCCCTGCTCTTTCACGAGAAGTGCCTTGGGATTTTTAATAACCACAGAGAGTCAGGACCTCGGTTTAACGTCTCATCCGAAAGACGGTGATACTTTTACACAACAACAATCTTCTAAAATGCTTGAATGCAGATGACAAATCTGTTTTTGCAAAGTGAGCTAACAGAGTTTCTGCAGCTTTGGCAAAGTCACATTTATAATAGTTTTAGGACCTTTTATGATTATGAATTAAATTTAGAACGCACATAACAATTTTGGTCCTATTTGTTGTCATAATATAGCCAACTATATTTGAACAAGTACAAAAAAGGACTGGCACGGAATTAAGACAAAATAATAAAAACATTCTAATGTGCTGTGGGGATTTTTGTGTTACATACACATAGGAAAATTTAAACAAGTCTAAATCGTTTAACCTAGAACCCAGTACTTCATTGAATTAAAAAATGCATGAGTAAGCTTGGTTCAAACCAATCAGCGTGCTCTATTGTGCAAATTCATTAATATTCATTAATGTTACAATGTATACGGCAGAGGGATGCCACATTGTGTTGGCAAAACAAGCGTGTCTAGGAACATTGTTTACCCGAGAGCTTTTCTCTTTTGCAAATGGATATCCGGATTCGCTGCTCGTCTTCTCTTTATAAAAACGCGGTTCTAGATGCTGTGGATTGTCCTGTCTCTACAGATTTGGTAAGTGAGCGACCAGTGGTCTTTGTTTGTTGTCGTATCGAACTAACTATTGCACTGAGTGTAATCATGTTAGCACCACAACCAAACTATTACCGTCATGGAGGATTTTCAGCTCATTTTGTGAACGGAATAACACACGCGGCTTACCTGCCGAGTGCATCTAAGTTACCAAGAAATGCAGAGTTTTTTTTTTTTCTCTCATTCGCCGTGTGGTATCAAACATCTCATGAAAAATACACACTTTCACACTTTTTTTATTTATTTAAGCAGTTCCTTGAATCAAATATCTCGTTTGTCACGAGGGGCACGAATGAATTCCCTGAATGAAAGAGCCAAACTTCAGTTAAAGTCCACCATTTAATAAGTTGTCAAATAATTCGATTACAGATGTCAATGTAAACACAGTCACTTTCTACCCTGTGTGTGTGTGTATGTGTGTGTGTTTTGACTCTGAAACTCAGCGCGTGGTCAAATCGACACTCCCACTCCATCCCTCTTTTGCTCCTTCAACACTCCCCCCTAAATACAGCCGGACACGCTCACTTTTCTGGCTTTTTCCAAAGCAGAGGTGTGAAAACACCCTGCTGAAACAAGGGGGTTTCATGGCCCTTTAAGGGCCTACTCACACTATGCCATCCGTACCGTGCCCAGGCCCGTTTCCCGGATCGTTTGAGAAGTGTGAGTGCGCTGAATCGGGCTCAAGCACGGTTCACTTGGCCGGCCCTGGCCCGGTTGGAAGAGGTGTGCCTGAGCGCGGATCACTTGGGCTTTGGCGTGGTACGCTTGTGTGTGTGTGCAAAACGCGCCAAAGCCCGAAACTGAAAGCGATACGTGACTTTTAAGGGGTTGTTTCATATGGATTTATTAATCATTCTTACTGTTCGGTGATCGCAAACTGCAGTAGTTTATTAAAGACGCAAACTCCTCACAGCACGACAGCTGCGCACCTTCAGCAGACCTCCTCATTACTGCAGCACGAGAGCTTAATGATTGTTTATGAGCGCCAAAAGTGGCGGATCTGTCCGGTGAAATATCTGACTGCGTGTCACTGCATCCCTAAGAACTGTTTGGCGAAATATTTGACTGCATATCACTGCGTAACAAACGACTGAAACGATATAACTAGAGAAATCTCCACTGTGTTACTGGGTGAGAGCGTATGGCAAGCCGTTTTAGCATTTAAACCTTGTTCTGACTATCCATAAATATATTTAGAGATATCTCTAATTATATTTTGACTAGTTATAATTATAATTCGACTAGTCAGATTGGAGATATCTGCAAATATATTATGACTGACTAGTCATATTCCTCCAATTGACTTCCATTGAAAAATATTTGCAGATATCTCTAAATGAGTTTTGACTAGTCACAATTGTAATTAGAGATATCTCCAAATGAATTTTGACTAGTCAAAAATCCAATTCAAGATATCTACAACTGTAATTCGACTATTAGTAAATTAATTAGAGATATCTTCAAATATATTTGTAAATATCTCTAAATATGACGAATTAAAGATATCTCCAAATGTATTATGACTAGTAAAAACTCAGAGATATCTCTTAATTACAATTGTGACTAATCAAAACTCATTTAGAGATATGTGCAAATATTTTTCAATGGAAGTCAATGGAGGAATATGACTAGTCATAAGATATTTGCAGATATCTCCAATCTGATTTCGTACTAGTACAATTGTAATTGCAGATATCTCTAATTGTCATTCTGAGTAGTGGAATTATAATTATGACTAGTCAAAATATAATTAGAGATATCTCTAAATATATTTATGGAGTCAGAACAAAGATTTAAATGCTAAAAAGGCTTGCCATAGAGAGCGCTTCACTGAACAGAGCAGCAGCGATGACGTAAGCGTGCCGAGGCCTGATATGGTGTGAGCGCGGGCCATCGGGGGAGACGGGAGGGGGGACAAGCGTGCTTTGGCCCGGTTCGAGGCAACTGTACCTAGTGTGAGTACGGCCTAAAAGCGCTCCTATTCAGTTTATTTGGACCCAAGACATGGAGGAAAAACTAGTGAAGGTTTGAGTTAATAAAAGAAAGTTGAGGGAAAATGCCTAATTCCCTTCAAACCCAGGTGAGCAAATATGTAAATTTTCTACCCCATTAAAGGCTTCTTTCTCGTTATGTAGTTAATAACAAAAGATATACTGTTTATAAAGATGTGTTTTTGGTTGTGAGACGTAGTTTTTACAAAGTTGTCAGCGATTCTTCCTATTGTAAAATCATGCAATGTAAAAGCCCCTGTCGCCAATCCATATTGCAGTGTAAACAAAGCAGGGACAAAACGCTAGCCCAGATAGTCATGCAGTGTGAAAAAATCTGTAACACGACTGCTTTGAAAATCATGAAGTCTGAACTCGACATAACTAATTAACTAACTCTTTTGTCATACTTGATCATTTTAACTCACACATGAATAATTATCACAATAGCATTAAAGATAAATATTGCACATCCAAGTAAGCATACTCCAAGCTAAGCGGAATTTATTTTGAAACTTACTGCATAACAGCCAATGACATCTCCTTCTGTGAATGGCTCACCAAATGACTCTTCCTTTCCTCCTGTTACTATACTCCCCCGTCCATCAAAACCATACGACAACTCCACCTCTCCTGAGGGAGCGAAAATAAAATTCAAAATTGACACTTATAAAACTAACTAAAATCCAATATACACATTTCCGCAAAACAATGTTTTTAATCATCAAACTGTAATGAAATCGATCAATTACCTAATTGAAGACTACTGCTGTCCACAGACCAGCCCACTCTGAGCACATGTAGATCAGGGGCATTATTTGTGTTTAATGCAGGTGCTGACAGTCGCTTCACAAACTGCAATCAAACAAACAATAAATATTATGAAATTTCAATTATTGACTTTGTTGCCCTATACAACTTATGCAGGACATAAAGCTAAAGTTCACACCTTGGCTTCGAATCCGACCTTTCCTTGACAATAGCCATGGGTCATCCTACATCCAGACCACAGAAGAGGGAATTTCTCCCAGAAGAGTGGCTGACCGCTGCTTCCATTAGAGTCCACCTCAAAATGTAGGTCACCGTTATCTGTAAAGCAAAAGCACAGTGTTCCTGAGGACAGACTTTTATTAAGGTTTTACATTGAATCAGGTGATTTATTCAATATCTGAGCATGGACTGATAAATTTACAGGAATCCAGTCGAACAAAATCTACTTCAGGTTCTTCTACAGGCTCTGGCAGCTCTTCCACAGGCTCTGGTGTCTTCGCTCTGAGGGAAAAAAAAATCATAATATGTATAAAATTTTCGTTAATGGTTTATTTTAAAAAAAACTTCAATAAAGAGAGGAATTTCTTATTTAATTCATTACAATAACAATAATAATAATACAATTTTTCAAACAACGTGTATAGTATCAAGTAAGAAACACCAAACAAAATAAAGCAAAACAATTATCTTAAACAGGGTGCAAAAAAAAAAAAGAGTTCATCATCAATGACCTCGCATAAGATCCCTTTATGGCACCAAAGAAAGCCAAAAGACAGAAGATCAGTCATAGCTTTAAAATAATGGAAAGCAATTAAAATCCTAGACTTCAGAGAATTAAACAAGACCACTTCCAAATTACCATTCATTTTTTGTTCAAGTTTGTCTTTTCTGGTCTTGTAAATAGCAATTTTTGCTTGTCTTAACAAAAAATTCAGGAGTTGACACTTAACTCAATGTCTCTGAACATACTTAAAAGCACAAATAAAGGTTTTCTCAAAACAGACAAACAAATATTGAAAGAGAGTAAATAGTGATTCTTTATAGAGTGTATAGAGTGCAGAGAACAGAGAGAGAGAAAGGGATGTTCAAACCAGTAAATTGTGTTGATGTTCAAAACATTAAAGTCAAGTGTAATACAGCTTTTGTATTTTTTTTCTGCACTTTACTGGCTTCGGAAAAAACTATATTTTTGAGACTATATTTACCAAACAAAAACTTGCCACTATTCTTTGAACCACTTACCTGTTATCTTTTACACTGAATGATGACATTACTTCATCCATACTAAGAAATCTGTTTAAGTAAAATGTAAATATTGTATTTGTTGTATGAAGGTCTATTAACCTTTCTTACAAAATTTCCAACAACAATTATTGTCATTTAGAGTATTTTTTCACATTGTCATGACAAAAATCAGGCTTATTCCAGCTCTTCTAATGTCATCTAAAACATTGGTATTGTTTTATGCTACAAAAAGGTCAAAAGGTCATTTTCTATTTGGAAAATATTCCCATCAGTAGTTTACAGATCAAAACTTATGTTTTACTTACTTTAAACATAAGTATAAAACTATAAATCATAAATTTAGAAAAAAAATCAAATTTATAGATTCCGGTCAGTGACTTTAAAGAGACCTTATTATGAGTTTTTGAAAATTACTTTTCATGTAGTGCGTAACACGGCTCTAAGTGAAGTGAAATATCCAGCTAAGGCTTAAACCTGAAAGTGTGCCGTGTTTAAAACTATTGATTCATCTATAAAACAGTCGACTCATAGTGGTTCAAATGAATCGTCTTGATAACGAGTCTTTAGCCATGCCGGCGTAACATTGATACGGAACTTGAGCCCCATTCATTTGCTTTGTTTATGGATTTAAATGTGCTTATGAGCTCACGAGAGGGAGGGGGCATGGTTGAAATTACGGAAGTTTTCCGGGAGAAATAACAAAACGGGAGTATGGCAGGCAGGAGATGGGTCTGAAATGCGGGAGACCCCTGGGAAAAATGGGAGTGTTGGCAGGTATGCTCACACATACACTGCACTCAGACTACTTCAAAATTGTTGATAAGCCTTAAAGAGTGCATCTCTCTGTCTCGTGCTGAACGATGTCGACCAATTGGAGTAAGAAAATATGACAGTCAACAGACTGTCATCGGGCCAATCAGTGCAGATTAGCTTCGCACTAAGGAGGGGTTTGAGAACAAATGAAACGATGAATGAATCATATGGGAGTGGCTGGGATAATTAGGTAAAAATGAATGCATATTATAAGACAATTAAAGGGTTTTTTGACCTTGCATGCATATCAGCCGGTTGGAGACCCCCAAACCAGAAATACGACCCTTTTTAATGCATAAGAGGGGCTCTTTAACTACCAATTATTGCAATGTCTACATAACAATATCAGTACCTATTGTAAAGAATGTCCTCTTTGAACTCATAATAATCTCTCCCCCTCTCCTCATAAGGCTTCTCCGGTTCTCTGCTATCCTCTGGTGTGGAGTCCACGGTCTCATGTCCATCTGACGGATTATAGAGCTCTGCAAGAAACAGACAGCATCATCAACATTTCTTTTCAATATAATGATTAGTTTTTAACAGAGGTCTGAGACTTACCCTGTTCTTGCTCCTGTGGTTCTTTAGAAATACCCAAGGCTGATAATGAGCCTCCTGACAATGCATTTTCTTCAGCGTCTCTCAGGACTGACGGCTGTGGATCAACGTTAGTCTGCTGTAACCTCTTCTCAATAGCCTGTAAAGTACTCGTGGTCAGCGGCTCTGCGATGGCACTAGCATCGATGAGGCGACATGAACAGAGCTGCTGTGGTTCAGTCTGTGTACTTTGATCAGCAAAATCTTTCATGCTGGTGTTTGAAGAACTAGCGCACACTGGAGACTGCGTCCTAACACACGGCTTATGTTCATCAGAGAGAAACGCTGACGAATCTTCTGGAGGTTCTGTGATAGTCTCTTCACACACATTTTCCACTGTATCTCCACGTTTGACGGGTTCATTTTCAGCTTCAATCGCAGAGATTAGCCGAACCACAAGCTCGGCCTTCAGGCCCTTCGCTTCAAGTCCTCGCTCTTTCAACATGGCCCGCAACTCCGTCACTTTCAGCTTTTTCACTTCCTCCCGCAGCATTTTTAAAAATAATTGTCAGTTACACATTAAGACTTAAAAACTAACACATATGGGATCCAATTGTAAGGAAAAGGTCGCCGAGTTAAGCTTTACTCTTAAAACTTTTTGGGAATTTTCTTCCTCAACTAACGTTACCAAAACATACACAACAACCCGCTGTAGAGGATTCAAGAGCGTTGACTGAGAGCTGATTGGCTGCTGAGAGAGATAATCGTTGATTGGTTACCAGCGGTGACGTAAGCGAGATTCATATTTGTGAATCGATTCTCTTGAACAAGCTAAACATGTTTTGGAAAGATTTAAACTCAATATTTCATATATGTTTGAATTTTGTGGTTAAGAAAAAGAGACATTTTACATCTTTTTTCACTGTATTTACTCAAGAATATTTGGAAAGATTTGGAATTGTTTATTAACAAAAAAATGGAGATTAAGATAGAAATTGGTTTATTTGATGTGTTTTATTCTGATAATGAGAACTTGAACTGTAAAGGACAATATATTTTTCATTTGTTTATGCTGTTAGGAAAATTCTATAACCATAAGAAAAAGTGGCCTCAATGTAAACCAAACTTAACCCATTTTGTGAATGATTTTAAACAATATGTAAATCTTTTAGAACAATCACAAAACAAAAAAAGCACTGAAAACATGTAATGCTATGAAAACATTTATTTTAATGTAAATGTAATGTTAATATATATATATATATATATATATATATATATATATATATATAATTTAATATATATATATATATATATATATATATATATATATATATATATATATATATATATATATATATATATATATATATATATATCACTCTTTCAGAAGCTGTGAAATGTAATACCTCTCATTCTTGTGGCATTGAGTTAAAAAAAAAAGATTCTCTTGAAAAAATATTAGTGTCGAAAAATATTTTAATGGTGTATCTGGATATATTTGTGTTTATTTCAACTGATTTTAACACATTGGTAATCATCTCTGATCATGTCTTTAAGTTTGGTGTGACAAACCTCAATTTGTCTTTGATTTCAGGCAATTTGCTTGTAATTTTGTTGGGCAATAATGAGGATTTCTGATTTTTTGAGAAGTGTTACCTGGCGACACAGATATTTGCAGATTATAACTTTGTTTCTGAGAACTATAATCTGCAGAACATAGAAAAAAAAACTTTGTTCAATATTAATAAACATGCTTCCAATTAGTTAAGATTAATTATTTAGGTGGCACAGTGGCTCAGTGGTTAGCACTCTCACCTCACAAAGAGAAGGCCACATGCAGGTTCAAGTCCTAGCTGGACCAGGAGGGCTATGTGGGCTTGTGTGTATGTGTTTTTGTGACATGTCAGGACACAAATCTGTATAATGACATGGGCATAACACAGGTATTACAAAAAGCAGATGAAATATGAGGACATGATGTCCTCATTTCTCAAAAAACTTTTAAATCATAAAGAATATTACAATTATTTTAGAGAGTAAAGCTGTACACAGTCTGTGATGATGGTTGGGTTTAGGGGTAGGGTGGGGTGAGGGCAATACAATTTACGGTTAGACAGTATAAAATGAATGGAAACCTAATGTACCCACTTTTCACAAAAACAAATATGTGTGTTTCTGAGTGTTCTGGTTTTCCCCTACAATCCAAAGATATGTACAGTAGTATTTACACCTATGTATCACCTATTTAATATAGGTGAGTTGAATAAACTAAATTGGCCGTATTGTGTGTCTGTGTGTGTGGGTGAGAGAGTGATGGGTCATGGTTGGAACGGCATCCGCCTGATAAAACATATGCAAACATATGTGGTGGTTCATTCCACTGTAGTGACACCAGAATAATCAGGGAGATGAACGATAGTGAGTTAGTGAAACTTTTTAAAAATTCTTAAATAAAATGAACATTAGTTCCCTCAAACTGCAACAACACTAATGAAACTTGAAATTGTTTATAAATATATATTTTTCCCTTTTTTTCATAAAAGTCCAAAGATAAGCTCATCTAATATGTTTTATTTGCATCTATATATTAGTTATAAGTAGTGATGTAAGTGAGAACATTTTAATGATTCAACATATTCAGGCTCGTAGTCAGCCTGGTGAAAGGGGTAGCCTTTTTCTCAAAAAGTGGACTTTTCTGCAGTTATTGGGCTCATTTTCTGTTTAATTAAAAGCTTTAAATACTGCATTTTAGTGACATTTTAAGCACTATTTTTTTTGCTGGATTAGCTTGTCAGATGGTCATCATAACCACACATTTTGCTGAATGAAAAACATTTCCTAAAGATTCAGAATAAAGAAACATGAAAACAATAGCCTACTTATTCTTCAGTACAAATTTATCACATCATATATCATTAGAAAAAAATAGGAATCTGTTAAATTTTTTAAAATGAATTGTCATTTATTAGGCAAATAACAAACTAGCCAGCACATTCAGCTTGCCTACGGGCCTGATATTTGTGTTTATTGTTAGAAACTACAGCTGAACAAGGTATTTGTAGTACTTTTAACTATAATCAATACCCCAAAACATGCAAAAAATATGCATGCACTCACTTATATAATGAACAATTTTCATAATGGTATGTGACTTGAATCAGAGCTTTTGTTTTAATCATTGGGAAGGGGAGAAAAATCAACAAAAAATATCACATTAAATCTAAAATAATAAATAATTGGTTCAAAGATTGATTGGTTTAAAAAAGCATTAGATCAAAATAAAGAAATAAAAAACAACAATTTTGTAATTAGCTGGATTAAAATAATGTAATGTAATACTAACAAAATCATCATTACAAGAAACTAAAATTAAAATTAAATGAAAATAAATAACACCAACATTTGACACTAACAAATACAAATCAAATCAAATAAACGTACTAACTAACTAACTAACTAACTAACTAACTAACTAACTAACTAACTAACTAACTAACTAACTAACTAACTAACTAAATAAATAAATAAATACATAAATAAATAAACAAAATAAATAAATAAACAAAATAAATAAATAAAATAAATAAATAAAGTATAGCGAGTTGAAAGAAGTGTAATCATTTAAAATAATAAAAACTAAAATATACAGAATCCCATATAACACATTTAAAACATTTACTTTTACATAGATGCTTTTCCTGTACGTCTTTGATGCTTGTTCTAAAAAGCATACCAATAAAATGATTCGACTCGGATGAACGATTCATTCACGAATTGAACTTGTTTGCTCCGCCTTTCAATAGCACAATAGACTATATATATTTTTTATCAAGCAGTCTTTAACGCACCATTTACGTTTACAGCAGGCAGCACGGATAATCACTCCCAGAATGAGAATAAATCTCTCAGTACTCAGGCGAATGTTAAAAAAAGAAAGGCGATCTCTCTCTCGCACACTCATTGGTCAGGTTGAGAGGTTAGAGGTTAAAATGTTAATATCCAACATGGCGGCCCCCGTAGATGACATGTTTTCTCGCTGCGTGGATTCTGCCAAAGCAAGTAATTGCGTGGATGTCCGATTTATCAATAATGTCAAGGTATGTGACAGTTATCCTGTAACAGAGATTCACCCTTATCAAACAATGATGTTTATTTCTGTTTTATCGAGCAGCTCAGCTTTGATTATGGTAATCGAACCCCTCCCAAGTCAGCCGGCTTATTCCTAATGTATGACACAAGTCGATTATCTGTTAAATAAAGACAACCTAAAATAAAAAAATATTATTATGTTGTGACGTGTGTTTTTAAAATGTTTTAATCGTAATTTGTGGTTCAGACAGACTAACAATTCAAATTAAAATGTAATAACTCATATTTATATTATTGATGTTTATGTATTTTTTATTTTCAGGGCAAAGGATTATTCGCTAAAAAACCTTTCAAAAAAGGAGACACTATTTTTATTGAACGACCTCTAGTCTCCTCTCAGTTCTTGTGGAATGCCTTGTACAAATACAGAGGTGAGTGCATAGTATCCTGTATTCAGATGTTCATCATTATGTTGGTGATTTTGGGTTCTTTTTTAGGGACACCTTGCTAAAACCTAGTAGAACCTTGTTTTATTTTCAGAACTCTCTTAACCCCGCAAAGATTCATTCTTCATGTTTTTGCTCTCAACAAGATAAAAAAGTGCCACATTAGTGTAGATTTATTTGCTGCACTTCCTTGATGTGAATAAATACTGACATAAAGAAAATACTATATACAGTAGTATAAGTGAAAAAGTGAGTATTTTTGAACCACTCTGTAAAGTATGTGAGTTAAGCTGTTGTGCTACTTTGTGCTGCAGTTGCTGTGATAAACCAATCCAGTGGCTCCCAAAATGGGTGTCGGGACCCACTGGGGGGTCATGGGACAATGACAGGGTGTTGCTTGGTGATTAAAAAAAAGTCAAATAATTTTTATTAAACTATTAGAATTACAATATTTTATCATAACCCACAGAGGATAAAGGTAGTAGTTTTTATTAGTAAACAACAACAACATGCAAATGAAAAGCCATCAGCCCTTGCATAATTTTTTTAAAGATTAGTGTTTACGTTAGATTATCAACACCACAATAGTGTCAGCTGCAACAGATTGATTTTATAGCACCAGGTTAAACTTTCTGACACCTTCATGGCAATCAAATACATTAAAAATAAATACAGGCCACAAATGAATATTGAGAATTGGCCACCAGTCTCTTAAGTTGAGGTTAATATTAAATAATCTAATGAATAAATGACTATAAAATAATATGGTTGTTAGACTGTTGCACTTTATGTTGTCAGTATGCTCGTGTTTATATTGGCCTATTGTTTTATGAGCACGTTTGCATTATTATAACCATATAAGAGGAATTTGGGGATCATGAGTCGCTGGCAGTGTAATTTTATTGCTAAACAGTGTTAGTTTATTAATTAACTATTGAAGTCTTAAATTGCCTATTCTACAACTATAGTTTATTATGTGCTATGTCACAGTTTACTGTAGTGCAAACCAATGTATGCTGCAGTATTCATTACAGTTTATACATTCCTTCTAGTTAATGCTACAATGCTGTAGCCTTAAATAACAAAGTGTTGCAAATACTCTAATATATTGTTGTACTCTTTACTTCATAATGCTTCCAAAACAAGTATTTTTCCATATAAAAGAAATTAATAATGTGGAATATGCAGAAAGACTTTTAATTTTTCAGTAACCTTGGTCAAACGCTTCCGGTGAACTGTATGCCATTACAAAATGGGCACGTTTTAAGGTCTTTTTTTTTTTTTTTTTTTTTTTTAAA